GAGCGCTGAAAAACCATACTGATGACGCCTCACTACCGAGACCTGGGTAGTGCTTCTAATTGGTCGGGCAGTAACAGGTCACCAATATGTAATTTTCACGCTCGTTTCTCAGACGTCATCTCGCGGACAAACCAGTGGTGGCGCCGCGAAATGTCGGGCTAGACTACGAGTATTCCCCCATTTGTCCTCAGGGATAGTAGAGCGAGCGAAACGCAAGCGCGTGAAAATCACCCCACGCGAGAAAAGGCGACACGCGGCGTGTCTCCCCTTTCTCGCGTGGGGTGATTTTCACGCGCGCTCGCGTTTCGCTCGCTCTACTATCCCTGAGGACAAGTTGGGGTCTACTCGTAGTCTAAATGTCGGCTAATTTCTCTGAGGATTTGCCAGGAAAAAAAAGCACAGCAAGTTGGATAAAAATGCTACATATAAATAAGCACAACACTTTGAGTTCTCATAGGTATTTTTAATTTAGCTATCCACATTACACAGTGATGATGGATCAATTGTACCCTTGGACAAATAAAATTACATCTAACTTTAAATAAGACTCGTAACAAAACACAGAATAAATACGTTTGCACTCGATTTAGAGCCACGTGAAAGTAACTTCCTGAGTAATGTAACTTTGCTGTTGATTTTCTTTAAGAACGCTCAAAGTATTTTGTCACACTTTAAAGAGATTTAGAATGATGTTTACAACAAACGGCAAACTTTAATTGCTACCACGTGACCGATATTCTTTTTACTTTTCTCATTTACTCTTCATTTCTCTTTATATGTAATAAGTAGTTGCCTTTAAGGTCATATGTAACAATTATTTTGGACAGGTTGGATCTGCTCATCTCGGGGTTTAAGAAATTGTCAACTTGAACTGGCATCTACCCTTTGCCGTGAACTTAATTCTAAATCTCTATGTTACGTCATTAAATAAACAAAAGGAAATATTAAATACTAGGAAAATGAACATCTTACATTTAGCTCTGTGCCCGATTGTACATATCATAGTCTGCGAAAACAGCGGACATTTCGCGACACCACCTCCGCGTTTGAAGAACCACTGCAGAAATTCCATACTGATGACGCGTCACTACCCAGATCTGGGTAGCGCTGGCTTCTGATTGGTTGAAAACTTGCTCCATTCAATCAGAAGCACTAGCCAAATCTGGATCCTTAGATGTCACGTCACGCGGACTGTCCGCTGTTTTCCCCGGCTAACATATCATAGTAGTCTAAAACAACCCAAGAGTGGCAAATATGTTGCGGAAGTATATCAAATTAAAATTCACGTCATAAATAATTAGAAACAGCCTTCACCCAGAAAAGTACTGCTTAATAGTTTTCGTCGACTGATCAACATCAATTTTTTTTTTGATGAAAAGCATCCTCGGAGACCCAGGAATAGCAGGCGTGTACCAACTCACGAAAAGAACTCAGGAGATGCTGTTCGCCGATTGGGCACAATAATACAAAGCATTTTTTGCGCCCAATCAGGAGCCTGCGTTCGCTTGACCGTTTGGAAATGATCCGGTGAGAGTCGGTACCCAGGGGCTCTTCCGCTCGTGCTTGAAAAATTTCGTCGCGCCTTTTCTCCCGACCCGACTGACTGCCCCTGGGTCTCCGAGGATGGATGAAATGAAAACCTTCAGAAAATGCTTTGATCTTTAAACATATTCTCTCAACTACTTTTATAAGGCAATGTAAGATCAGTCTGGAGAATTTCTATATGGGTGTGGGGGCTTTAGGGTTAATACATAATACAGTTTGAACCACTTTGTTAAGGATAATAAATAGCACTCATTGGGCACATTAACAATTCAAGACAGTAACAGTGTGTGTGGCTGGAATAGCAACATTTCTAAGCTAATTAATTTATCATATATTACTTTATATGTTGATTATATTAATTCTGCCATCAACGTCATTACATGAAGGAAATAAGATGTTTGTATTTTGTCTCTTTTGACACACGTTCGCTTTCCACACGCGAAAAAGTCCATTTTACAGATGAATTTTTAAGGGATTTATATGCAACATACGCGTATCGCAATTGGCCGTTGAAATGCATTTGTTTCAAGGTGAATAAAGATTCCAACTGGCAAATGCGATAACTGCATGCGTACGCTGCAAATGGATTCAGCCCTGGCGTCCTGGTTTGCATTTTCCCCAACTCTATTTTTTGAGACGTTACATTGCAGACTGGAAGCTGCAACATTCATTCTAATTTCTGTTGATATTAGGGAGCTGAAGCAATGACGACGGCCACGTCAAAGAGAACGGCAAAAGAGGAAATAGATTTAAAGTGGCAAAACAACAACCCTACACGTGCATCACGCCTTTTTGTACATTTCCTTGCCGTCACAGCGCGACTACGATGTGAAAATGCTTAACTTCACGTTTTGTGGAGGACATGAACGCAAGGCAACGATCATCTTTTTCTTTTTGTGAACTTAGATACAGTCCTTTAGAACTCAACTCCTGAAAAAATCGCCAACATATGACAAATTAAATAAGTTGGAATAAGAGCGATGAAGTTTGAAACAGCCCAAGGTGACGTTTTCGCTCCTGTTGCCGTCGTCGTTGCTTAAGCTCCGTGTACCTTTCGAGGAATCCAGTGGTTTCGCCCCGTAACGAGTTCGCCCCGTTATAGTTCGCCCCTCAAGGAACCTGGTTCGCCCCCCAAAACGATCGAGTTCGCCTCATGTTTATCTACTAGTGTCAATACGCTAACCTTTTTAACCGATTAAATAAGGAGGCGAAATAATGCAAGATATATAGAGGGGCGAACTCGTCACAAAGGAGGCGTACTCGATTGGAACGGGGCGAACTTGTAGGGGGCGAATTTGCAAGGGGGCGAAACCACTTCCCCGAAAGATCTAAAGCACGCTTGGAATGTTAGCGGATATAAGGCTTGACTGGACTATAAACAGATGAAACAGCTTCCACGCTGGTTACAACACTCACAGTGAGCGGAGGGGGCTTTTTTCTCAGGACAAGTCCATTCCAGCCTTCCTTTCATTCCAGCGACAGGACACAAAAGTTCAGCCATCAAAATGGGCTATTCCGGACAATGGCACAGCCCAAGAGGCTTTTTCCAAGGCGTGGAACAGTGCCTCAACCAAATCATCGTGTTAAACTTGTTTCTTTGCGCTGTTCCTTCAATGCACAAACCACAGTACCAAGACCTTTCTTATTCAGCAGGAGACGCTTGCCCGTTACAGTAGCCACTGTAACGCTCCGAAACGCCAACTTTTATAAAAGTAAACAGGTCACGCTTAATTTGGCGAATTCGTTATGAAGAACGTTTCCAGCGAACGGATCACGTGAGTTCAAATAAACGGATAACCTCACGTCTATTTGTTACAACGATATTTGCGAGTGCAGTAGACCTCAATTTCTAAATTCCTTCACAACTATTTTAAGGAGATCGTTGACGGCACTGGCAGCATTCCGTTTTCAATCAACATTTTCAGAATACTATCCAAATAGATTATCTATTTTCCTCTTACTATACACGTTTATCAAACTCTGACTGACAGCAAGATTTCACCAAGACTTTGGCCAGTCGCTAGATAGCTACAAATCATTAAAAACACCCATCGCTTTTATTTGAACCCTTACATTCCACGCACAGCTAAACAAATTATTTCTCCCTACATTGTTAGGCGAATTATAGCTCGACACACAATAAACGAGGCATCGCTACGACTTATAGCTGTATCTGACACTCAGGAGGGGAGGGGAGGGAGTATTGTCTCCTTTTAAGGGTCACATAACGCCTGAGCTACGCTCAGACTTGTCTCCTCCAGGGTTTTCATTCTGATTTCCCAACGAACACCCCCGTCTCTTTGATACAGGTCTCCCGGGCAGGCACTTTCAGGCCGTTTGATTCAGTCAATCTTGAAATTAAAAGGATCTATTTTGGTCATCACATATTTGATCCGTTCAAGTGTAAATCCATACCTTGGTCACAAAACAAAAGCAGACCAACAGGAAAAACGTTTCCCTGTGATACTTCGCCTAATGTGTGCCAAGCTAAAATTTTAGGGATTGTACATTGATAAACTTCCAAATCTAGTAGTCAACACTTAGCTTTCATAACACGACAAATACGTTGATAAATAAAGAGGGTCAGAAATGACACTGTACTGTTTAGCTCCTGACTGACCAACAATTAGGGAGAATTAATATGTTCATCTGGAAATAGCAAGGTTAAAAAGAGCTTAGGGTGCTGCTAAAATTATCGTTTAATTTTTGTCTAAAATTCCACCTACCTATCTTGTTAGGCTCGTAAGAGGAACTACCAATAAATAACAATATATCGGGCACTGCAGCAGAGCGTCTACTCGCCCGCGCCTTATGCTGGTCAACAGCACAATACTCATTAGTAAAATCCAACTAGGGGTCTATCATCAATACTCCGTTCTGATTGGTTCAGCCACTACTACGCTATATAGCCCACTAATAGCGAAAAGCGCGGGCTTTTTGGCGGCAAAAAAGGATTAAAGTCTAGCTTTAACTAGCTGAAGTTGTTTTGTCTCGATATTTTTGACCAACTAGTTGGATTTCGGCCTTCGGCCTCATGGGCTATTGCCCATTCAAGCTCGAGGAATAATTGTTAATTAGTACATTCGTCCATTTCACGCTTACATGTATACAAAGAGAAAATAGCATACGCAACTAGCATGTATCAGGTCTCAGAAAATGGAGAACGATAGTGGGGAGGGGAGGGGGGAGGGGAGACTTTAAGGCTATATGTTCACACTATCCTGCATAGCTTTTGAACTGGCACAAAAACCACACAGGATAGGGCTTCTGTTTACACAAGAGAACGGTGATTTTGGCGCGATTTTTGTCACGGAGCGAAGCTGCGCCGCGCCGAGTCGCAGAGTGCGAACATAGCCTAGGTATACACCAATAAAAAAGGTTCACAGCGCATGTCTTCATTGGCTAAGGAGTGCTTATGACCCGATACCCATCGCTCAAGCCATTCACCGAGACCACAGTGACGCTACCAGAGAACTCGGGGTCATATCGTATAGCCATTAACTAAGATTAATCACTACTATATAATAGCATTACGCTTAAAATCAAATAAAAGATCTACATTAATAACGCTAAAAAGCATTATTGTGAAAGGCTTTTTTTCTTTCACATCAACGGCAATAACGTTGAAACACTGAAAACAATTTCTTTCCATAAATTCTATGAAAAAAATTCAATGAACGCGCACAAGTCAGACGTCAAATCCTCGAAATCACTCGTGCTTCTTGAGGAAGAAGACTGCTTTCAAATATCAGACATCAAAGGATCATAGTCGCCCGAACTTCGCGGGCTTTGCAGTTGAGATGAGACGCCGACACAGGGCAAAAAAACGTATTGTTTTGCAGGGTAAACGACATAAAACGTACCTCAACATCGGCCTGATTTAATAAAGACCAACAGCGTTTGCATTTGGCGGGCGGAAAGGTTGGAATATTTAGGTAATTAATCTTTTGATAACTCTGCAGAGTGGGAGAGTTGTCATAAAGCTTACATCTCACTCTCCAGCTCAGCATCCCGCACGGGTCTTCTCCGAAAGAAGAAGGAGTTTTTCACAGGAGGTGGTCCTTGGAGCATGGGGACTTGATTGTGGTGTGTGATCACAATCTAAAGAACAAGACAGAATGCATAAAATAAGTAATCAGTGAACGTGACGATGTATTAAACATGCCCGCGTCGACTGCAAGAGTTTTGGAATAACAGGCCCTTTTTACCCTGATTTGGACCTGTTTTTGCCCGGAAAAACCGGATAAAATTTGGCTTGGAGAGCACCCAGCAAGGTTTTCCATTTTCTTGGTGAATGATTGCGAAAATCTTCACTTAGTTCAAAGAAAGGCAAAACGCAAAACATTTCTTATGAGTATGACTTCGTCACCAAGAGAAGTAAAAAAAGAGTTTACCATCGCTAAGGCTTTGGGCAACCTAGAACTGACTGACTGCGCCGGAGAATAAAACCAACCTCGTTTTCAGGGTCTCCATGGCAGATCATGGAAACGAGGTTGAAATGTGGCAAGTTGAAAATGCCTTTAAAAGGTAAGATAGACCAGATGGAGTTAACAGTGAAATGTTCTTGTCGTACCTCTGCAGGAGGCTGCATCCACGGTTCTCCATCAATCTGCATTGGAAATAGTTTCCTGGACCTGAAGAGAGACAAAGAAACTCAGATGATATATCTACAACAAAACTGACTGTACGATGCATCACATTCGACAACACAAATAGAGTTCCTGGTGAAAAGGAGTATATTGCAGAGGAACCCTGACGCCATCATTCCTTTTTAATCCACTTATTCCAGAATAGGAATAGCAGGTCAAGCGAACGAAAATTCTGGGTTGTTTTGTATTCGTTTTCCAGAATAAGGTCAACACCTAACACAAACTTAAACCTGTCCTCACCCATCCCCTACTAATCTGCTACACAGCCGTTTTTAGTGTCGTCACACAACGTTCTTTCCCACAAAGAAGCGTTGCGTGACGACAATGAAAACGGCTGTGTAGCAGACTAGTCTCCTACAAGACATATCTAGAAATCAATACACTTTCAAGTCCCTCAATAAGCTGGAAGAAGAAACGTTCAGCGGCGGCAGATGTAGAGGAAAGGTGTATAGTGTTTTAGGTGATCTTTTGTTCCCCACCAGAGTGTTTGGTACTAACAAAAGTGCTGATCACAAGAGCCGGGATGGCTCGCATAACGGAGATGACTTTTATCCATGTTTGAATGATGCAATCTCACCACCGGAAGCTGAACTAAGCAGGCTGGCTCGACTGTCACGTAATTTCACGACTGTCACGAAGGTGATTATAGTTGCATTCAAATAACTTGCTGCGATCTTGGCATAGCGAGTCAGCTCGGTTCATGAAGTCAGCCTTTAAGTCCTTGAAACTAAATTTGCTACCGACGACGGATGCACATAATGTTGTACATAATGGGTGTTTATTATGGGTGTGTATTATTAACACAGTTGAAACTGTCCATAGAAATCTCACTTGCACTTGTTTACCTTATTGTGATAGAGGAGCACTGAGCCAATCTGAGACCATGTGCTCTGACACCAGCGATGATTTGTCCCACATCTAAAGAATTTTTAAGTCCTACCACCTCAAGCTGTCCATCTCCTATGTCTTAACATGCAATAACAACAATTAGAGACGCAGAGAGGTTGGGAAGACACCACTCTCTCAAATGAGCTATCTGTCATTAAAATCTAAGACCAAACAACATAGCACACTGAACAAAACAATTCAGCGTTAACTTTCTGCTACATAGAAATAAAACAGGCGAAGATTCACAAACAAACATTTTTGTGACAATCATACATTTTAATAAATTCCACAAAGGGAAAATAAATTTTAACAGTTAGCATTCACGTACGTCACAAAAGGAACGCATTTCAGAGTATCGAAATTTAAAAAATAATCACAAAAGTACGGAATACCAGGTGATTTCTGCAAAAACGAAAGTCACGCAGTGTTACACAGCCCGAGTTGTTGTTCTGTGGGAAAAAACTTGGCGAGTTTCTTTTTTTAGTGAATTTTGACGGAAAATATTTTCTATCTTATCTGGCCACTGGAGTGTGAAATTGGGTTTAAAAATTCTTCGCCTTGGAAATCGACTTGCTACTGGAATTGTCTTTCATCTGATTGAGCGGGGAAGGGTGGACCATACGTGTCAGTCAAACGACCACTTCCTATACACCACATACCTTGTACTGCCCACTCTAAGTCATTAGATCTGCCACTTGCTCTGGCACGTGACTTTCTAACTTTCTTCTTATCTGTTTCACCCCACAGGTTTGCTCCTCCATACACACTGGGAATATTTATCACAGCGATTCCTTCAAGCTGAGGCAGCTCTAACGGTGTACCATCGCACTAAAGAATGGGTGAAAATAAGTAAGCTTGAGGTTTCAAGATCCACAGTTCCCACGCTAAACGTTTGGAATAAATTAAGATTTCTGGGTAACCGAGCACCTAACCCTTCCCTAAGTCAACTTAACACTTACTTCTCACTTCGGGCAACATTGTGACTTAGGGGAGGGGTAGCTGGTCAGATACCCAGAAACCTCAACAAAACTTTGAAAGTCAGCGACGTTACGCACGCCCAATTTTAACTTCTTAAAACAGGGTTTGTACAGATTTTTGGATCCAACATTCCAGACTTTTTCCAGACTTTCCAAAACAATCATTTCTTTTTCCAGACTCGAGGTTATCAAATAGGGGATAAATACCGCACTTTACGCTCAAAAAATACAGGAACAAAGTTTTTTCACGATGCACTGCAAACGTATCGGCGAGATTGAATACGACAAAAACAAAAAAAAATTTTCACTTATAAAACACTTGTGTAACTTTGGAAAAAAACGCTCAAGACTTTTTATCATTCTCCCAGACTGTACCTCTATTTTCCAGACTTTTTCTAGGTCTGGAAAATTGCTGGGCAAATTTCAAGATTTTTTCAAGAATTCAAGACTCTGTGCGAACTCTGTTAAAACCACGCGAACCCGTAATGAGATAGGCTAGCGTATTCAAGCATTCTACACCCAAATATGGCGGATTAACTTGCCTCGTCTCCGTTGTTCGCGTGGAGCAGCCCTAGTTAATGTTACAAATATTGAAAAAAGGTGGTAGCTGTGAGGACGGTTTTTAAAAGCTGTTTTAAATACTCAGAAGACAAGATGTTCCAGTGCATTGTTTGACGTATCCAACAAGTGACAACAGAAACAACAAAGAAATAAAACTTACAACAATTTCAATATCCTCGTGTAAATTCTTGCATGTAGCTGAAATTGTCTCTGATGTCCCACACTCAAAATAACGAAGTTTGTTCTTTAACCTGTGAAAAAGCAAAGGTTTTACGTCACACCAAACAAATCTACGGGCCTAATATCAAAGGCCTTTGTTGCAGTTTATGTACCTGCTGTTAAACTTTTCTGGATTCTTTTCTCTTTGTAAATGAAACTTCAAAGCCACAGATGCATCCTAAGAATTAGAAGAAAATTGTAGTGAGAGAGGTGAAAAGTAAAAATCCCCATGAAAGTTTTGAAAAACACGTCACAGGGTACCGGAGCGGAAATTGAATAATCCTGTAAATCCTATAATAAGCCCCTCTCCTCCCCCTCCCCCTCCATTATTTCAGGAGACGAAAGTTATTAATTCCTCTTCTCCCTATCTTTTATGCCCCTCTTAAATGATCGACTGTATTAATTTATCACCGCTGTAACACTTCTCCGGGAATGATCTGGTATGGTTTATTTACGTCCTGGAAGTTCGGATTTTTTTCTTATGACGTCCAACTTTTCATAGGGCTTTTTCCACTTTGCATTCTAGTACTTTATGGAGAATTGGTACCATCATCTTCACAACATTAAAAAAGCCCTCTTCTCTATCAAGCCCCCCCCCCCCTCCCACTAACGTGCTAGAAATAAATAAGCCTGGGAAGGGGGCTTCATCGATGACTGCTCGATCAAATATCGATCGAACGATTTCACAAGGTTCATCCGATCAAAATTCGCGATTGGGGGAACCAAACAGGAGCGAAGCTCGCTGCTCGTAGACTAAAGTAAGGGTTATTTTAATAATGAATTAAACATACCACTCCAATGGAGAAGTAATTATTGATGATATCCAGAGGAGGTGGGTCTCCAATGTCTTCTGAGTTAGTTCGTTTGAACGAAACTGACCACCTGAAATTAAAACAACTTATTTGATTTTGCAAGACAAGTGCTTAATCATTAAAATAGACCACTTTACTGTTGTGTAGTCTGAGTATCCTAGCCTTGAGAGTAAGCGAGGCTAGAAGTGACTCTTTTGACGGACACCATACTGCTTTTGAATGGCACTGTTTTTGTGAGAAAAAATTCACGGTCAGCCTCTCTTTCACCCAAAGGCTAGGCTGCTTAGCAAACAACTGTATATGGTCCTGTTAGTTATTAGGTGGTATCATCTATCAATATTCTTTATCATTCGATGCAAATGATTCTTCCTTTTCATTGGCCGAGAGCCCACCACGTGACCTGCAAATAACTGCCTACAAATAATGGTGTGATCATGCGCAATGTCGTTCAACTCCTTTTGCCTGCAAATACTATTCTGCTTACGCGTAAATGAAACCACACTTTTCACCTTCTTGCGATCGCTCTTGCGTGAAAATGGCAGATCGCTTCGCTTCCCGAAGATATTCCTTAAAAAACAAACTCGGTGATCGAATGATAAAACAAAAATTGTGTGTGCGTGAAAGGGAGGCGGAAAGGGGTTTAGGCGTGGCGGTATTGGAGTAACCAGGATTAAAATTTTGCCCCGTTCTTGTATTTTACATTTCTATGCATTGCTTGGAGTAGCATTTTGTGTTATCATTACTGTATCTCGGAGTAAGGGCTGAACAGTATTTTGTAAGCTAGAGTTGCACGCTCTTAGACAAGAAAATCTTACTTAAAATTTGGCTTAATCCTGGGTTAAACTAAACCATATTTCGAGAACCGGGGTGTATTAGTGGGTAGTTAGCCTATCAAAAGACGGAACAACAAGTACCTGTCCAGGCTTACGACCGAACTCTTTTGAACGAGACTTAGCACTTTAGATATACTGCCGCCTTCGTAACCTGAAAGAAAAAACATAATATGGGACAGTTAACTCAAGGCGTTTTTATTATGAGCTCTAAAGTAAGATCAAGACAGGTTAACTCGCTCTATTACTGTAATGGCTGAAACTTCTTAATTCATTGACCTCTTCTCAATAAACAACCCTTCGAATGCCTAACAAAACACAAGTTAGACTCAAGACCTACAAGCTGCTGTTACTGAGTTTATTGCTTACCTCCTCCCCACTTTAAACATCTTGCCAGATCATTTCCTGTGCCTGTTGATCAAAAACAGTATTAAATTTACTCTACCCTATAATAACATGCTATAAATTGATTGGAAAGTGTTCCTATCATCATTTTCTTGTGAGTAGGTAAAATGAAAAAATGCTTTACTTACCAAGAGGTAAAATGGCTACAGGGGGTGGTTTCTTTATCTGTAATTTATCTATTAATCGAAAAAAAACATATAAAAGTTCAGTATAATTTTATGGATACTGTGGATCAAGCAAGCAAAGTTAACCCAAATCGTCAGTACAGTCGAAGCTCTCCTCAGCTGACTAACCTAGAAGGGGGGGGAGAGGTTGGGGGGGGGGGGGGAAATAGCGCACCATCGGCCTCAGGTTTTTTAGACAGACGACGTTTCGCTAAAAGCTTCAGTAAGCGACCTAAGTAAGTCGCCCTTGTGACCGACCAGCTCGAGTTGCGACTGCCTTCATGAATTTGTAGCAGGATTAGCTCAGTCGGTAGAGCGCTTGACTGGTGAGCGGGAGGTCGCGGGTTTGATTTCCGGGACCGTACCAACACTCAGGGTCTTAAAATGACTGAGAAATGAACACGTGGCTGGGACGAGCACGTGTCCCCAAATAGCACTTTCGTGCTAAATACATTGACACTCAAATAAAGTGCATTTTTTTTTTGCGAGATAGTCGCTTATAACTATGAGGACTTTTACTGAAGTCAACCAAAAGTACACAGTAACAACTTTCAGGGTTTACTCACCGATTGTCGCTAGTACCCAGCCTGCTGTACCATCCCCGCCGCAACAAAGAACACGAAAATCAGACACGCCTTGGAAGAACTTTAGTCTGTAAAAAAAGCACGTAATGGGACGCCTCAACAAAAGCCAACGCAGTAAAGCACTAGCAGTAACTTTACATTTATCCCGTTGCAAACTGCACTTTAATTCTTGATCAGACTGTTTACAGACCCTATTTTCCCGTAAGATATCGTGATCAAATGCTTATTTTTACGGAGGGCCATCTTCCTGTCAAATGTACCAAGGAGGAGAGTGACAAAATGAAGGAAATCTTGTGTTCCGATAGACCTTTAAAGCTTGTATGTTTTGTTTTCCCAATTCAGACCAAGGTTGAAAAGGTTTGCAACATCCGTTTATAGCCACCTCATTTGCCCGTGGGAATTTTTCAGAGTTTTTGAACTTGAATTTTTCAGCAGGTAAATGCGACTGCTAAGGCTTTAGAGGGTATGCTACAAGTGAATTTGCTCCAAGTGATATTCTGAAGAGAGACTGCCTTTTATCTTCTCTTAAACTATGTATATGTTACAGGTCAAATTTGATTTCAGGTTAAAGTTTTTCAACCGAGGTTGATTCTTAATTTCTCGTTTTCTAGGCCGGGCTAGGAGACATTAGAAATTGAGAATCAACCTAGGTTAAATCAAAATTAAACTGAAATCAAAAATGACCAGTAACATATACACATGGACGTGGATAAGACGACATTTCACGACATTTGAACGAAACAGTTCTCTGCGGTACCATAACATGGTCTGAAATGGAAAAACAAAACATACAAGCTAAGAAGGTCTACTGGTTACCCAAGGGGGAGGGGACGCAGCTGTAGCCCACTATGTTCTCGCTTTTGGATATGTAATAAATCCTTTATTCCTTTTTTGGTCAATAGTCTTTAGATGGCTGGATATATGAGCATCGTTCTTTTTACCTTTATATATTAACAGACCTCGATTTCCTCTGAATCCACAAAAACGCATGGCATTATAAAAACGAGTTTGGTCAACATCCTTACTCTGGCTTAAAAAAATAACCTCCAGCTCTCTACTGAACCTTTCTATAGAGCCTTTTCACTCCTTTTCTGGAGGAAAAGAATGTTTTTATACACGAAAAAGGTTCACTCCTACAGGATTGGCTTGGGACATCAACATGGCCGCCATTTCACTGTCTGGGACACCAAAATGGCGGACGAGACGTCATGTAAAAAACGCTCTAGCGTGTCAACAGGTTACATACCCAGGACCAGGTCCACCTTCGCCAAGATTAAAAACTTGTCTTGGATTAAGCAAATACTGGAACTTGTGCAGTAACCTGGAGATACAGAAATAAATAACTACCATCAAGGGCATTTTAAAGACGTTTTCTGCAATTTGCCACTTTCGCATTGCCCATAATGCAGCTTGAATACCACCTGGCCCATCCCCAAAGAAAAAAAGTTGGCATAAGAATTGTTTTCAATGTCTCCTCAGTATTACATTCGACCCAATAGAATGCAAAAACAAGGCTTAGGAAAAATAGGGAACTATAAACAAGGTGTATTATGGGTAATGTGAAAATAGCAAATTTTTTACAAAGTTGCTATTTACTGCGCTTTTCACTAACACGTGAACACTGAAGTTTAACTTCAACTTCCCAATCGCGTTTTTCGCTGCATTCAATCAGAATTACCGTCACAAGCAATGAACCATCAAGCACACCAAAACTGCCATAAAATAGAACGAAATCCACCAATCACAAACCATGATCTTTTCAACTCGTTAAAATAAACTTTTGATTTCCGAGAGGTCCACTAAGATAATTGACGGCAGCAAATAACCCAATTGTTTGTTCGGTTTTGAACTTCAGAGTTCGCATGTTATTGAAAACTGCAGTAATTGCACATTGGATTTTTTCCTTGCATTGCCATTGCTGTCTGAAGGGATTTCAAATGTTTGAGTGAAATCAAAAGGCCATTGAATTCCTCCCCGACTTTTGATCCGTGTTGCCCAAAACAAGCCGGAGGATGCATGGACCACATAAATAACAAATCCAGTGTACATTTTTTTAATCCGTTAATCTCAATTTCCTGCATAGATGAATTCCCTGGGTAAAATAAAAAAAAGATGACTAAAGATGATCGGTGAATAATCAAGGGGAAAGCGAAACGAACTACCCTGCCAACGACTAATATCACACAACCTGAAGGATCTAAAAAAGGACAGCGGATGAAACAGAAATTCTGCACCTACCTGGCGCCTTGTCTACCGCCGCTTTTGGGGTTTATAAACACTGCTAACGGATGTGTGCCACGCAGAGGTGAGATCTGTGAAGACAACGAACTGTATCGTAAACAGGAGCAAAGTAAACGTCACTTCTTTTAAAAAGGGGAAGAGCTCTCTCAACACTTAGTAGTGCGCGCGCATGAACCAGCGTCATTTTGGCGGGAAAATATGATATCCGTCATCATTCACAACGTGTTTTAGCGAGAATGCAGTGGCGGGAACACATTATCAAATCGTATAAGTTTTATCAATTTGCCATCGGAAGAAGCCCTAAACTCCTTCAATCAAAATAGCTCTGTTACTTTTCTGGTGAATTAAGTACAATGAAGCTTTCCGGGGAGTCTATGTTTTGAGAAGAAAAAACTTTAAGTTGAATCTCGTCCTCGTGACAGTCCTCCTCCTCGAATCTAAAGGCCTTTATTTTTAACAATGTTAAGTTTACATTTTACCAAATTACCAGAAACCTAATACCATATATAAAGACGGTGGATGATATCAGTTGTTTCGTTCGTGGCCAATAACTATAGCACTTACTTGCATTGGCATGCCCTCAAAATTGACGTAAGAGTTTGCTCTTTTTCTATGCGCCTCTGGGGTTGAGTTTTCCTTTTTTCTGTCCTAAAAAAATTGAAAACCGCAGAAGAAATGTGCATATGTATTTCATATAGAAAGTAAAAGCTTGATAGCTAATCAGTGCTGGTAGATAAATGGTTGTGTACACAGCGCGCAAAGAAAGTAGTGTCCGATAGGCCACTGGGGCTAATGGATTTTGCTTTTGGGCTAGTGAATTCTGTTCTTAACTTGTCCGATGGGCAAGTGAAGTATTTTGAGGAATTCAGCTTACAGAAGAGCTGTGAAATCATCTCTGCCCGTCAAAAAATTTTGGGGGCTAGTTGAAATGACGTTTGGGCTTAAGTAAATGCTAGCCTCAGTTTGTCGGAATCGCAAGCTGTAGAAATGACTTTCTTTGCACACTCTGTACAACAGGATTAACTACCGACGAGTACTCGTCGATTAATGACACGCGTGCGGGTTGGAGTAACACGCGCGCGTCAAAGCGGGAGACATTTCATTAACCTTATTCTTTCCTAGCTTCGATCATGGAGGCCTGGCCCCAGTTGTACAAAAGGTGGACAACACTATCCAGCAGATAAATCTCTATCCAGGGGATAATGCGGTTGGTTTCTCAATTAATTATCCACTCGACAGTGATTTATCCGGTGGATAACGCTATTGAGCTTTTGAACAACTGGGACCTGTAGTATAGTTCTAATTATTGAATCTGTGAACAAACCGAAGATGTCATGTGACCATAAAAACTTCACCCCATCGTCGACCTCCATCAGTACACACTGATGCGTGGCTCTGTTTGATTTTGGATATTTTACAACATAAAATTAGCTCAAATGTTTATTTCAAGCTTTTTCAACAGTTACGAGGAAAACTGGGCCGAGTTGACTTTCGCAAAGGCTTCTGGGACTGTTACTGGTTCTGACCAGCGCGTCCCTAGTTACGATTCCACAAACAATTGCGGGACACAATTTAGGCTCCAGTCCCCTTCTTGTTTCTAAAGTGGCGAATCGGCCACTTGTTAACAGTAAACTAACATACCAGTCCTGCTGGGGAGATAGATACTGGTGGCAGTATGTGATCTCTGTGTTCTCCGAGGTTACACTCTGGGACGACATGCGTTGCACATTTATTATGTACCTAAAAAACCAACGTTATACACCACCAATTAGGCTAAAAAAAAACAGTTCGATGTTTTCACTTCCGCGTTCAAAACGACGGATGCACATGAACCTGTAACATTTGCGTGAAGGATAGCTTTGACAGAGTTAAGGTTCTCTTACGTTTCTGTGGTAGTACCACAGGAAGGCCAAGCTGGAAATATAAGCATCCACACGGTTTGTCTGTTTGGCAACACCTTGTATGAAAAGAACCGATGTGATTATTTCACTGAAACTATGAATGAGTATTGAATGAAAAATCCATACCCCACTTAACCTCTGTGAGGTTTTCTAGTTAATTTTCGACCATTTAAGCAGTTGTTTGTTCTACTATAAATTTTTGTTCTATATATCATCAAAACACCGCTTAAATAGCCAGGAATCGAGTAGAAAACCACTCTGAAAGTAGAAAAGCGTGGTAATTAAGCAGGGCAAGTTATCACTTATTCAATAATCGTTAAAAGTCTTACACCATACTGATATGGATGCTTGTATTTCATGCTCATACTACCTGTGGTTGTATATGTTTTGAATGTAAAACTTTCTGATTGGGAGATGATAACTTGGGAAACATAATAACTTTACTGCAGGAAATGAATGACAAGAGTAACGAGTTGATGGATGAATTTTTGCTCGAGGCTTTAACCCCTTCCACACCATGGAAACATAAACAAAGCACAAGACGGCAAAGGACTTATGTTTGACTTTGATTTCAGTTAAATTCACAGCGCGTATCACCCGGCTGGTTTCCTGTAGAATATCACTGTCAGTGACCGATCGAAGCATCATATCACATCCTATTGTAAACAAGTAGGGCGGTTCGCGCCGTGAATTTAACCGGAATCAAGGCCAAACAAAACTTCTTTTCGCCCTTTGACACGGTACATTGAAACAGCATACAAGTCGCAGATACCATCTTCGCTTTGACAAATGGCCACGCACGTACTGTCACCTTTTGAACAGGTTTGCAGTGGCGAATTTTGAGTATTAAAGATGACAATCTGATTTGGGGCTATGCATTCTAGTCACAACCGACAGGAAAATCTGTCAATCTTCTTCCCCCACAACCCATAGTGCAAAGCGACAGAGATCGACCCTGTCTCATAAGTACTTACAGTAACTTGGCACCATGCACAGCGTAATCCAGTCAGACAGTTGTTACTTTTCACATTTTTACCGCATTTAAAACACTTGCCAGGACAATTCCCTTCCGTCCAGTGATGATCCATGCTCTGAAAAATCAAAGAAACAGAATAGGTGATGTGGCTATAAGCGACTTTTTGCTGCTAAGTAGGAAAAAAAATGCCTCTCGCTTAAACTGCGTTATCAGTAAAAGGCATCAATGTCACCACAGGACACCTAAAAAGACTAGCGCTTTAGCGATAAGTCAACCAGGTTTCTCAAGAAATGGTAGTCTACAGAATAGGCGCTATTTTTTCACCTTTTTCCATGCGAGCCCAAAGCTATTTATTCTGCTAAGGTGCCCTATCCCTAATTGATCCACGTTACGAGTCGAAAAAACCGTGGAAGGCTCCATTATTAAACAAACATTAGAGAAGTTAGACAAGCTAATGTCCCAGATTAGTACACACGCGTGTTTGACTGATTGATCGATCGATTGATTGATTGATTGATTGATTGATTAACTGATTGATTGATTGATTGATTGATTGATTGATTGATTGATTGATTGATTGATCGATCGATCGATTGATTGATTGATTGATTGATTGGAGGTTCATGTTTCATTGCGGCCGATGGAAATGTCCAAAGGTGCCTCGCGATATCGTTTTCATTTGCAAAACTTTTTAACATTGTTGTCTGCCATTCGCCTTTCTCAACACAAGAAAACAAGATTCCTTATACTGAATTCTAAATTGACTTGTTGTTATTGCTAGAATGCTTAATACAAAGAGCCTATTATGGCTCTTCTTAATACTTATCACTAACCATTTTTCCACTTCTCCTTGACTGCTTGACATATGTGTTGATACAAGATGCTGGCGCTCTCTGAACGCAGCGTTCATGAACTGTGTACTTGCAGACTGCGGAAAGACAATAGATTCATCACGCAAAAATCAGGCAATCCACGTACTATCTACATTATAAATGTTCATCTATTTAAAACTGACAACAACAACAACAATGATTTCGTTTCAAGTACAATGATATCCAAGGGTTAGGGTTAGTTTCATTTTCCTATTTTGTTACCAGAAAAGTTAACAAGGTTATTTTATTGAAGGAGCTTAAGATCGCAAAGTAATAAAACCTTCAACATTTTCCCGTCACTACGACATTTCCGCTAAAACCCGTAGTAAAATGACGACGGCTATAGCTTTTTCCCACCAAAATGACGCCGGTTCACCAGTGCGCTCTCCCTATATTGACAAAATCCCAGAGAGCTTCAAAGTAGGTTCCCCGTTAAGAACTTCTCAAAAACAAAAAAAAGTCCCACCAAATGACGCCCGTTCACCTGTGCGCTCTCCCTACATCGACAAAATCCCGTTCCCCGTTAAGAACTTAAAAGTTCTCCCCGTACTTACATGTCTCCATTATGATTCTAAAACAAAGGGAAATAAATTTTAACCAGCAATGTAACCTTTTCTTGTGTTCTTCATCAAATTATTATCCGTGTCGAAACACAGCCTAACTCAAGGCGAATTTAATTTTAGGGTACAAACTGGAAAACGCATGGCCTATATCATAGAAAGATTATCTATCTGACTTACATAAGCACTGAAGTCCTTGCTTGCGCCCAAACCCATTTAAAACATTGTGACACATGTTGCAGTAAGCCGGTCTGCTGAAATACTTTTGTCGCCACTGTTGAGAAGAGAATGCATAAAAAATACTTTAAGAATGTAGGAAGATGCTGGAATAATAGTTGATTCAGCAACAGGACGGGAACGTCAGTTGACGACGGGAAAGCGCGCGGAAAGGACTAACACGACTTCCTATGCCCAATTTGCCGCTCTGCCATTGGTCAAACCAGTTGTCTGATTTGCCCGCGCCGTCGTCAACTGACGTTCCCGTTCTTTAGCTAAATCAGGAGTGCCTGGTCTCATGTCAAATTCTCTATTATTTAATTTTCCAAGGGAAAAAAGGCAATTTCATAGGAGACTTATATGTTTACCAGTAATAACATGGGATCCCCCAATTAAGCTACAAAAACCTATATTATCAGGATATACCCATTACAGGATGTTACACACGGTAACATAGAAATGCAAAAGAAAATTACACTGAAGTGAATTGTATTGTGAATAGAAAATCAACAAGTAATGATACCTGGTGCTGCCCATCATCTCTGATTTGCTGTGGGTAAAAAAGAAGAAAGAATAAGTTATGGGAGTGTCAACAACTTTCATGAGAGTAACGCGAAAAATTTAGGAATGGTAATGGTATAGCCTCTCATTGCTTCCTAGCCAAAAAAAAAAAATAAAATAAAATAACGCCTGATCTCAGGTTAATTGCTTCCTTCCATAGCAGACGTTTTGCTAAAGTGACCTGACATTTTGTTTAGGAGAGGCGTTCCAAAACCAAGCTTCAATATAAGACTGTGTTGTGCAGTTTTAAGATTACATGGGTATGTTGATTTATAAATTGAGGATATTACATGCCCGCGCGTGGATACGAATTTTATCTCCCATTGTTCAACTCCATTTCCCTCGAGTGAGCACAGCGAAGTTGGATGTCTCTACATATCTCCAAGCGACAATGTCATGCTCTATTTATTGTATAAACACCAATGAAATACCAAACCATTTTACTTTGACATTTTTTTGGCTGCAAAAAGGTTCAATTTATTTTGTGGCTGCCATAGCAATGGTGATCTTTTGTGTTTGAACATGTCATGTTTTCACGCAAAAACTCACCCGGTATTTCCTCGGTGTTAAAATGATATAAATGATATTTAGTCATTACAATACTTACAGTTTCTAAACCAAGCAGAACTCTGAGAGGAATTGTGGTAAGTCCTCCCTTGATCCACTCATCTAAAGATATCTGTCCATCAGCATCATCATCCAGCTCTACCAACATGTCCTGCAATATCTATAACACGCAATAACATGAACGGCATTATCAACTGCACAGCATTACCAACCTCTCAAGATAATCTTCCACACCAATACCAAAATTTCCTGCACAATATGCCACTGCTTTACGAAGATGCTGCAAGTTAACCACAGCTCTACCAATATTGCACAAGATAACATCACCTGCATGATATATCGCATACCACAGCACTACCAACAAGTTCTTACTGTAAAAAATATCTTTACAACAATACAACTGTGCCCGCAAAAGCTTGTCTGCCAAGTGGTGCATTCCCACTGCATCCCTCAAGAACTGACATGCTTGCAAGCTAATCTAAACAAAGTATAGAACAAGGCCCAGTTGTTCAAAGGCACTAACCCAGGGTTACATTTTAATTCTGGTTTCTTTTTCTGTAGCCGGTTTAAAGAGATTTCTTCAATACTTTTCTCTATTCTATTTACAAAATCCTCTCAACTAATTATAGTCAAAGATGATTAAGCTAAATTTGCTAATTACGCTTTCATATCTGAATTCAAATTTCAGACCAACTCTAGGTGATCTTAACTCAACTTTGAGCCCTGAAGTACTAACCCCCACATGCAATAACTATTATTTGCCAGAGCATTATACCTTCAACAAGTCCTGCAAGCTAAGGGTAATCTTAGGCATAGCAGCCTTAAGTACCTGCTCTACATGCACATTCTCTAAAATAACATTCCAACATGAATATCAAGTGCTTTAAAGTCTAGTTTTTATGTGATAATCATGACCATCTCGAGCACTTCACTTTTTAAGAAGAGAATCAAGATGATCCAGACAACAACATGAGACCAGCCCATCCATTTATATATACTTCAGCATTTTCAAGCAACTGCGATCACCCTTATAATATTACATGTACATAATGTCCCGCATACCACCAGAGATGTTTCCATACATGTATTCATACACCAAACATTTTGAAGACATTTTGAATAATCCAGACAAATTATACAGAAACTGCGCTTTATTCGCCAACTCTAATACATGTGATGTCACAATAGTCATCAAATTTCTTGAAGCACTTGCATCCTTTTCCCTTCCCGTATGTTAATTTGCAAATAACAATTTCATCTGACTGCTCAAAAATGTGTGCTAAAGAGGGAGGCACATTTCAGAGAAAACAGAGGAGTGCAGGAATATTCTAGAGATTTTGTACCATTTCAATGACTTGATTTACCAATTGCAGGTGTCAAATTATTTTACAACTGCCGCTATTAACCCACATGCTCTTTAAATGCATAGTTTACATCTTCTCTACACAGTGCACAGACAAAAAACTTTTTAAGATAATGAAATATAAAATAGAATACTTACTGGCTTGAGTTCCGTGACATCCCAACCAAGATACTGAGCTACGCTCATCATCTGTTGTGTAATACACTCTAATTCCTTGAACAAACATGAAATACGAAGTAAAAAAAACTTTAATTATATCCACCTTACATAGAATACGGCATGCTGATTCTTTATGTCTTCCAAAGCGTTAAGAGACTGTAACTTCTTTGTTACATGACTTACACATACCATGATGCAAGCCTTTTTGCGCAACAGAAACAACAGTTGCACTTTGTACGACTGTACCTGTACACTTAGTCTCTAACTTTTACTAAAATGTATTAGCTACATTAAAATTTAATTTGATGAGCAGGTGACCGAATGTTTATTATATTACATTTTATTTTTCTCTATTTCTCCCACTAGTTATACTAGCACAATAATAATTATTGTGAGTGTTAATAGTGAAGTAGAAGTTGATATTTTTGTCCTATTTCCCTTATATTTAATGTAACTTAATACAAACGTGTTATCACAAAGCTATATTTGTCTACCATTTTATAATTTCTGCTAAGTAGATTCTGAGTTAATTAACCACAGCTCACCTATAATCAACACTAGGATTTAAGTGCTCTCTGGCACTAAATTATTAATGGTTCTAATTTTGCAAGTGATATTTTATCCACAATTCCCCTCCAAAAAAATTTTGACTTCGGAAAAACATTAAAATAATAATAATAATACTAATAATAAATAAATAAATAAACCCTCCCACATTTAATTCAACTTAAAAAAAATCCAAAAGGAATTGAAAGAGACACATTGAATGCATTACACTTGCCAAGTTTGCAGGAATATGATACTGTAATACAACAGCAAAAAAATAGTTCTTCAAAGGATATATTTGGGGCATAAAGTGAATTTAAAGGAAAAGTGGAATACTGGCATAAAACAGACCACATAAGTTGACTTTCAATGGCATTACTGTGTACTCACTGCACTGTAAGTGAGAAATATTTTAGTTGTTGTTTTTCCTAAATTATCATTTTATGTGCTCCATTAAATTCAGCATAAAAAAAGTAGTGTCAGATAGCCTGGGGCTAGTGGACTTTGCTGTCAGGCTAGTAAATTCTGTTTTTAACTTGCCCAATGGGACACTGAAATTTTCTTGGGGGGATTCAAATTACAGAAATACTGAAGTCAATGCTACTCATCAAAAATTTTTGTTGGGGTAGTTGACTTTGGGGATGAGAAGTACATGCCAGGTAGAGCATGCCCGAATAGCAAGCTGTAAATTAGACTTTCTTTGCAACTTTAAGTTTAAAAATCAACTTGCTCAAAATCACATAATCAATTCCCAGCACAGAAAAATTATGTTAGCAGGAAATGAAAAAGCATATAAATATTAGGTAACCTGTAGAATTTTGGCTGTGTAGCGCTCAAATTGGCTGTTATGAACAAAAGAAAAGTTGAGCTTCGTAATACATAAGGAAAGATTTGAAGACAGTTTTAAAATTTCAAAATGGAAAACCACTCACCCATGATTGGGTGGGAAGGGTTGACAAATTCTTTTCACTTACAGCAGCCATTGAAATCACTACTTTTGAGATGCATGTACAGTTGTATACAGCTGAAAATTAACAGGTTGACTTATTCTTATATGCTCTTTTGGTTCTAGTCAATAGCATATTTTTACAGACAAGATTGTTATTGTGGTTACAGTTCAAGGTGATCACACGACCACCTACACTGTATTGCAAAAGGACAATTTGCAACATAGGTAGGCATTAATTAACATAGGTATAGCACCTCTAATGACCAAATTCCACAAGTGCGCATTGGATATGAGTTGGCCATCTACCATCTCACATCCAACAAGCACGAGTGGACTAATTGTTTTATTAAAATGCCCACAAAATATCGAGAATTCTTCCCAACTTTATTTGTAAAAACAACAGATTTTCAGCTTGTCTTTAATAGAGCATGGTATAATGGCTCATATACCATGATGGCTAAGCCAATCAGAGCTCTAGAATTGCATTATCCAATGACTCAGTTTTTAATGATATATAATATACACACGACTGTCTCTCTCTTAACAGAAGCCTCTATAAGACGGACACATCAGTTTGTCCTGACTTTCTCTACTCCCTTTAATCAACTCTATATAAGAGAGGCATCACTCTTAGATGGACAGTTAGTGCTAGTCCCAAAGGGGACATCTTAGAAAGAGGAGACAGTAAGATCATTGTGTAGCTACTGCAAAACAAGTAAATGATAACTAATTAGTGTTACCTGAGAATCAAGATACTCGTTTCCATCACTATCATACACTCTAAAGACAACTGAATATAAAGAAAGGAAAATAATGTCATTCATAACAAAAAATACATACTTATTTTCCAAAGCATGAGACATTTACATCTTGACACTGGACATTTCTTCTTAATTCTAGCAACATGTGGCAGACATGTCACATAAAAAATAGGCAGGTACAAAAGTCGGACCGGATCAACTCGGACTGCCTGTCCGGGTCGGATCAACCCGGATCGACTCGGATCGAATAAAAAAAATAAAAATAAAATAAAAGTGGACTCGGATCAACAAAAAAAATAATAATTTAATTAGCAAAACTGAAAATTTAACCCATTTGGAGGGTAAAAAAGGCCAGATAATCCTTTTTTTCTCCGTGGCTTTCAGCAGCCATTTTGTTTTACTAGTGCCAGTTCCTCTCGGATCATGTTAGGAACTCATGGTTGCGTTACACGACGCGCGCGTTCTGTTTCAAGGACACAGATATAGATGACCTAGAGGAAGGTAAAATCTCGACCATTTTCTTCATTCCAAAGAAAATGATAGTTTCAGTAGCCTAGAATGTATGTATTTGCTTATTTTTTAGTGTACTGAATTATTTATGAGAAAAGCATCAAAGGCCTGGTCTGTTGATCGCATTTAGATAGTTACCAAAGAGTCAGACTGAAGAGTGCTCTCATTCTTGTTTGTTTTTTTCTGCAGGACCTTCTGAAACTTGATTTTAATGATACACTAGTGAGCAGCACACGTACATTTCCAGTGAACATTTTCAACTTGGAAGGAGGAGAAACCATGCTCGCCCGGGACAAAGAAAATTTTCATGCCCCTGGCAAGGATCGAACGCGCGGCCCTCCGGTTCAGTGGTTAGAACGTCGAATCTTTATAGTATTCGGAGGGTCGCGAGTTCGATTCTCGCCTGGGGTACGAAAAGTTTTGTTGTCCCGGGCGAGCATGGTTTCTCCTCCTTTCAAGTTAAAAATGTTCACTGGATGTGCGTGTGTGCTGCTCACTAGTGTATCACTAAAATTAATAACAATAAAAATAGAATTAATTTACGCAACCACGAGTTCATGAGAAAAAAACAAAATGGCGGGTGAAAGGTAAGTGACACCGATTGATTTTATTTTTCTTTTTATGATCCAAGTTGATCCTAGTCCACTTTTATTTTATTTTTATTTTTTTATTTGATCCGAGTCGATCCGAGTTGATCCGACCCGGACTGGCGGTCCGAGTTGATCCGGTCCGACTTTTGTACCTGCCTCATAAAAAATGTGTGATTTTTTTTTCCTATTGTGCACTTTTATGGTAATTTTATGGCAATTTTGCTAAGCGATGGTTACTGTAGCACACATCTGATATCACGAAAACAGGTGAAAAGCTAGAAATATTACATAAGGAAGACAGTTTCAACTAGGGATAAGTTTTGAATCCCCATTAACAAAAATTACTACATCTCTTCCAGCTCTTTGCTGTAAGTACAGGTAGTAAAATTAATTTATTTATTTTATTGTATAAGCAACAATGAAATACCAGGTGAGCTTTCACGTGGTTAGTGAAAAGATCACTGTTGCTATGGCTTCAACATAAATTGCGCCTTTTGCGAAAAATATTACAGTGAAATGGTTTGGTATTTCACACTCGATGCAATAATAGAACTCTACATGGCTGCCTGGTGATAATAAGTTTCCCTTCTTGCATTAAAAAATATTTCACTCATTTGCTGTGCTCATTCTTGAAATATTTTCAACATTCAAAGAGTAATTCATTATCTCCACTTGTCACATAATATCATCTACTTATATGTTCTTACATTCCAGTTTGTCCTCCACCTTGCCGCCCTCCAGCATAGACAGATAGCAAGCGATCTCTCTTATCGACACCATGGGTACTGTGTTTGCATGTGGGTTCACATTCAGAAGGTTAACTTGTTCGCTGGACATTTTCTTCCTCTGTGAACTGGACCGTGGGTGAGCTGGTGGATGCTCATTGGCCACTTTGAATGCTGAGAAAAACAGAACACATGAAATACAGCTAATAACACTTAAAAACAACTACTCAGAAAGTTTATTTCAGCACAGTTTTATTTAATTTCTGACAGCTGTAAGGCTGACATCTATGGCCATGGGGGATCTGTGTTAAAAGCCCATGAGTTCAGACTTTATCTTAAAGCTTTCTGATGCCTGATTTCACTGTAAAGAAATCTTTCAACATTTAAAGCTACTTGTTATCAAAAGAAAACCAGGAAAGCACAATAATACTGTAAACCAAGTTTCCATCATTACAAAAAAATGTAATGAAAATGATCTTGCTCTCTTAATTCCACGTAATGCAAGCACACAAACCTAGCACCTTACAACTAACAAGCTAAGGGGATCCTCTTTACTAACTAGGCTAAGACAACAGCCGACATTTCATGACGCAACCACTAGTTTCCCCAAAATGTGATGTCTGAGAAACAAGCACAGAAATTCTATACTGTTACAGCGTCAGAACCTGGATCTGGGTACTGCTTCTGATTGGCTCAAAATTTGCTTCAACCAATCAGAAACACTCGAAAAACTCGAGACATGCACCTGGAAGACTTTGCTCATGAAAGTATTTATTAATAAGTTTCTGATGTGAAATTGAACAGGCTCACTCTACCATCATTTTTATTCAAAATGAAATTCGGAAAATGGTGAATGTTGAAAGTTTTTGGCAAAGTTGGTCATGATTTTCTATTCCTATGCTGCAAAATTGTTCATCAAGCTTTCAACCTTGATCATCTTTATCAAAGTTGCCTTTTTCAACCAACATAGATCAGGAAAATAATTTATTTAACTTTATCGCAAAATTCATTCTTCGCACTGGGTTTTGATGTTTAAATTTAGATCTTAAGTCAGGTCTAATGTTAAGTTTGATTTTGTTGATTTAGTTAAGTCTCTTAGTAAAAGAAATGTTCACCTTAACCCAACCCTTTTACAGAGAAACAAAGTCTATCTTGAACCCGTCCATTTCCCAGCTGTACCAAAAACGTAATTTATAACCAGCATTACCGTTAACTATTAGTTGTTATTTTAGCAGCAACAAAGCAATGATCAAAGATGTTACAAAAAAATATAATACATAAATTGATGTTTAAGTGAAATAACTCATGCTTTATATGAAGTCAATTTATGATTAAAGGATGTTAATGTAGTCACTAACCCATGAATGAGCCACTAGAATGTCGCCGGAAATGGTGTTTTAAATCAGGAGATTTTCGCCCCCATGAGCCGAGCCCTAAAGAATCTTGAGGCGCCAGAGAAAGAGTGAGTGATGGTTGTGGTTTGGGTATCGTATCATTATTATTTTTAATGCTGGGTGATCCATTAGGTTTAGCACTGGATTCAGGTTCATCATCTTTGACTTTAGATAGCGTTATTTCTGGTTTATCGCCAACCCCTACAGCTGCTGCTGTGGCAACCAGCGCTGCTGTTCCAGCTCCACTGTGAATACCTGGAATTTCTGAAACTGAATGTGTAGTTCATGATTTAAAGAGTCATTATAGTTTATGAACTTTTATGAATTACAGGTGATATTTTACTGATTAAAGTTGTTATCTCATTGTAAAAATTATTGTTGGTTTAACAAACATCATGGCAGGTTTGAGACCAAAAAATTTATTTAGTTTCTTATTAAATAAAGAGATTATTTATTTAATATAAAAATTCCAATTCCTTATGCAAAACTTAAGTTCTCAGCTTCAGTGGATTAAATTTATTGATAACCTTCAACATAAGCTAAAGAAATATATGTTACAGGTCAAAACTACATTCAGGTTTTTAAATTTATTCTCAATTTCCTGTCTCCTAGCCCTAATTCATGAATAATTAAGGCTAAGAAACTAAAGAAATTGAGAATCAACATAGGTTAAAAAATTTTAGCTTGAATACAATTTTGACCTGTAACATATATACAGACAGTTTTATTCCCGTGATGTAATAGTTGCATAGGAAACAAAAAATATATAATTTTGACACTACATCAGTAGAGGGAAAATTCAGGTCACAAGTCAAGTCACATGTAATAAATTATTCAATCCACCCTGAACAGGTAACTAGCACAGCCAAAAGCACTGATTTTTTTCTCTCTGCCAGTTTAGAAACAAAAGTTTATAACATTAGTTTAACACATGGTTTGTCTTCAGTTCTTCTAAAATTCTATAACCTGAACAGTTAGTTGCAAAATTAGTGTTGCCAGCATATTGTACCCTGGATGTCTTATAAAAATACAGTGTTCAATGCTCCAATTTATGTTACTTTTTAATTGACAGGCACAAATCTGAGGATATTCTGGTGTTAAGTGTATAGTAATAATGGAACACCGTACTGATTATACAAAGGCTTACTTTAAGAATTCATAGAAAGAAAACAATATCAGGGTTTTCAACAAAATTTGAAAGAGGAAGCTGGATTGAGTAAAGAAACTGACTGTTTTATCAATAACATGCAAAAAAATCTTTCTTTAATTACTGAAACAAAGGGAGAAAAGTAGCCATCTTCTCTGAGAGGAGCTACATGTAGAAAATGCAATTTGTGGGTCATCATTGCTTATGAAAACACACAATAATAAACAGATTAGTATATCAACAATCATTTGAGTCAGCTATAAGTTAACAGAGCTAAGAAGAGATGGTTATTATACGTATATTTCTCCAAGTTAAAGGGACAGAGTTTTGATTATGCACATGCGCGAGCGTCACCTGTTTTTTCTTCTAAAGACAATAGAACTGTCATATTGACCAGACAAGATTTCTTTCCAGACCACACTGCCGACGGAGATTTGTTGTTTACATTCTCAAGTAATATTTTAGACTTTCAAAGAAGTCTTTCGTCTTAATAAAAAATTAGCTCACAGCAGGAAGACTCATCACGATTTTATCGCAAGCAGGGCCACCTCGTGACCCGAAAATCTTGTTCCGCTCGCTTTAAAAACAGCTTTTCTAATGTGAAACTTGAGTCAGAGGTCAATTGTTCCAAGTCCCGTAATATTCATATGATTTGCTCGCGTTCTAGCCTCAAACGTTTGAAAGACATAAATAAAAGTGCAATCTCAACGCTATGAATCATCGCAAAGGTTAGTCAAAAATTATGTTATGATTTCATGGCACTAGTTTTTCTAAACATGTAGCCCCTGTTTGTTTGATTTGGTGGGCTGTAGGAAGGTTCATTTAAAAGTTTACCAACACGTCGTTGCAAAACATTCTACTTCACGAAGTTTAATTTGATGAGATCTCTTCAGTCACACCAATGTCTCAATGGTTTCTTTCTTACAGTCTTTATTGTTGCTGTTTCATTTCTGCGTTTTCCTTTCACAATTATCTGAGCTCGTATGGAAGCTAGCAGAGGAAATAAGCCTTCAATTGGCATCAAAGTGCTTCCCATCTTTTGGTCCTCTGGCCAACGGCAATAAAAGTAAAGCCAAAAAATTCCGATTTCGCCCAAACCGAGACTTAACAGGAACAATATATCATTGATCTGTAGTCCTGAGAAGTTTTAGTGTAGTATTGAACTTGCCCAAGTGCGATGCAAACGGATGTTTCAAGGTTCTCTCACTCTCCTGGCATCTTTTGATTTCACGACATCCTGTCCAAAAATCAAAGTTTGGTGCATGTGCAGTAATGGGATACTGTTCCTTTAATAATAATAATGCCTTTATTAACGTGTCAAGCAAAAATCTAGCAGAGGGGATTCCCCACTGTTATTAGGGAACAACTAACTTTCTAAAATACAATCTAAAAATACAAAACAAATTAATATAGAGTCGAAACTAGAATCTACTAAGAGTTAGAATTAGAAACTACTAATGATAACTCACTAACATATGTACTACAAAAACGCCATTAAAAATTATCAAAATTCTAAAATCTTGTAACTAAAATTGTAATTAACAAAATTTAAAATTACAAATTTCAAAGGTAGCAGCCACAACATCCATCTAAAATGTTACTTAAATCAAGACTGCATATCCGGGTCTTAAACTGCTTAAGACTGGCAGCCAAACTGTCTTTGCTTGGTATCTTGCTCCAGAGTCTGGCACCTAGGTATCAAACTGAGTGTTTTCTGTGTGTAACTGTGTTAAAACTAGCACAATGTTTATTCTCTCACAGGGCAACTTGCGGCAATACAAATCCCAACAGCTTGCTCTATTACAGTGTTTGGTGGTGCATGTAAAAATCAATGAACTTTTGGGAACATGAAATCATATTGGAAACAATGAGAGCTCACTTATAGTTAATGATATGTTGAGCAGATCGAGGCAGAGGTGATTCAACAAAATAATTATTATATCCTGGTAGAATTAGAGCATTTGAACCTCCAAACATCATTATTACTGGGCTGCCTGTAACGCAAGCCAATTATAATTTCAGTTCTCCCTTTGAGTTCACGAAACGGCCTGTTTCAAAACTGATGCCCATAGCCATCCTTTAAAGTGAACCTACCGTGAACGGCAGGTGGGTTTGTATGCAACGTGAGCATTTCTCTGATTCAGTTTCCTAGCCCCAACATCATCAATTGACTTAAACCTGAACAGTGACAACACTTGTTAAGTGACTCCTATGATTGAATTGCTTTAAAAAAAAAGCCTTCTTGATTCGTAATGTCTTCTGGATTCCTGGGGGGTGGGGACAAGGTATAAAAAATATTTGTGCAAGGGAAAATCGAATGAAACCACTTGAAAACACCATTTCTTGGTACCAGACATACCCTCACATCTTCCCTCCAACGGGTGGATGTTTTTCTTCGGAGGCGACCAAAAATTAATGATCGATGTAGTACATGTTCACAGTTAATAAGCACAATTTACGAGCAAAGTAATTTATACCAATATATTGATGAAACTATGGTTGAAGACTTGATTGTAAGCTGCTGTACTGAAGTGAACAACTCAGTTGCCGATGAGTGTCAGATGAATCCTGATGTTAAGAAATGGACGTCCATGAGCAAGGGAAGTGACAACTTTGATAGCCTGCGTGGCAGGCATTCGAAAGGGAAGGGGAAGGGAATTAGTGCGCGAGACCAAGCGCAAGAGAGGAGGAATGAGGGGAACACCTGCAAGGAAGCCATTGTTTTTGCCATCCCGCCTACTAATTAAAAAAATAACAAAAATAACGCAACTGTGAATGACTAGCTGTCAAATAAGTCTGGCCACAATGCAGATATTCTAGTCATATTTCTCGCACTGTTTTTCGTTTGCTTTCCGAAAACAAGAAATCTAAAGTAAAGGTACTATAAAAAAAGTTCAAATGCAGTCGTCCATCGAAGGAATCTTCCTTGAAAGTTGCAACAACGAGTTACATAAAATCCAGCATAAATCTATTCAAGTTGTTGCTGAAGGAATCGGGCTGAAAAACTAATAATAAGAAATGTAACGGCTCGGCACAACTTTCAATGCAGTGTTTGTATGAGAAAAATTAAAACACTTTGCCGTCACGCACTCTTTGAATTTCTATCAGGACAATTGGATCCAGCCGAGCACACAAAAGTAGGCTGGTGGCGGGGAAAGAAGAGCTGAACTTTGAAGATCTGCAAGAAGGCAACAATTTATCATTAAAGTAAGTTCCTGGCAGTTTTATAACTGGCAAGAAGAAGTCCTCAACCAAAAATCGCCAAAAGTTATAGATCGCTTCGTCTTCAATTATCTTGCCATTGATAATGCAGATAACAAGCACACAGGCAGCATGATTTTTCCTTTCTTTCTTCTGGCGAGTAAAACTGACAAGCTGTTGGGAGATGATACTTTTCAGAACCAGTCAGCAAACCTCATCTGCTGACAGGCCTTTTAGTTCATACAGTTCTTTGACTGCTTTTTTTCTATTCTCTTTTTGAGCTGAAATTGATGCCTTCTAATGATGAATTCCCGTAGAGAAATCTCATCATGCTTCACTAACGACATATGTTTAGTTACTCAAATGGTGTGATGTTGATTTCAACCAACTGGAAAAAGGTATTAAGTCGAAGATTGACATTTAATTAATTCTGACCAATCACTATTTTCACGCTCAGAATCTGAGCGTGAAAACGGAGAAAACAATGGCGTCCTTGCAGGCGTTCCTTTCCTTTCTCCCTCGCGAACCCAAATTCCCCCTCCCCCTTCCCCTTTTAACGCCTGCCACGTAGGCTACAACTTTGCCATGTTAGAAGACTAGCTTTTCATTTTAGTACTTTCTCCTATTAAATGCAACACAGGCCACTTTGGAGGTCTAAATTTCAGCTAAGGATAAAGAAGACACAGACAAAAATAGGAACTTTGAGAATTTTGCTCACAAGTTCAAAGCTTCACCTGGATATCTGCTCCGGGAGCTCCAACTTGAGGTAAATAGGAGCTATTACTAACAAGGTTTGGTTACTGAGTAGAGGGCATACAGTTGTTTTCAAGTGTATAAGCCCTGAGGTGTTGCTTTTGTTTGTATCAGTATCTAAGCCTTTATCATTAAATTTGTACGTGATCTTGTTATCATTTGTTATGCTTCTCCTCTATTCTGGGTGTTTGCCCATTCAGCAAGCACAATATTATTGACGTCAGCATAGGCGAATTTCAAAAAATTTTTGAAAGTTTACAGCTTGTGTGATGTTTCGTGCCATGTGTAGCATTTTATGGAGATGTAATCTGAAACCACCGCAAAATGGGAACTTAAAAAGACTATAATCGATTTATGTCTAAACATAACACACAGCTTACATGACCTAAAGGTGTTTTGAATACAAACGAATACTGTAAATGTGAGTGAGGGGCAAAAACAGTATTAATATGAACCAAGGGGTTTTAATAAATATAAGGGTCAATTATTGTGCATTGAGATGAATCACTTGAAAAGAGAATTTAGTGCACGTGATCAGAAGTAAACAAGGACACATAGTGCATTTCAGTGCGTTTCAGTCTTTTTAATATCCAAGGACTGTGAATAGTGTTTCGATATTGTTTAACTAGCACAAAAACTTCCGAGGAGTTATAAAACGGCATAATATTATTTTCTGCCATGAAGAAAATTTAGTCACTGGTGAGACAAACAGCGAACTCGAGCAAATTTTTAACTCATATTAGTAACACAGTAAAAAATATGTTACCGATCGTTTCATCTATCATTGTTTAAAGTTCATGCTGATGAAAGCAACATGCAAGCAAGAAATCTTTAAACTTTTTTTAGGTCACAAAATGCAAAGGATTTTCTTCTTTGAAGTTAGAGAAAAATACCAAGAGAAAAATCTTTAAACTGAATACCTTTTATCTTGTGGGAAAAAAAATGTGATTCACATGAAAACAGTAGACCACAAATGAGGATCATCTCAGTGTAATTATTAATGAGGCCCATGGATCAGGATCATGGATGGCTGTCTCTTTTAGTAAACTTCTCGTTTTCATACAATACAATATTTCTGTCCAGTGTAAGCCCAAGCAGAAGCAGCCCAGTAAATTCGCCTTTTGGCGAGTCTAGTTTCTTTCTAAAGGTGAGGATAGCCAAATGAACAAATGGGTCTCTCAAAATGGTTACCCAAGCAATTCAAAAATTCTTGAAAACATTGCTACACTTAAGTGATTTTGGTTGTGAAGGCACTAAAAAACTCTACTGTATCCATAAAATCTTTAGGCAATACTTCAAGGGTGACCAATACCAATTTTCTCCCAACAATATCCATACATCATCAAAAGGAAAGGTTGAGAGAATCAATAAAAAAGATAACCATAGGAAAACATCTTTGGTGTTTGATCAAATTCTCTCATCTATTTCTTTAAGGAACTGTATGGAGATCAGTTTGGAGAATTTGTACAAGGATATTATGACTTAAAAGGTTACGAATGGTGCCTGAATTAAAGCACTGCCACTATGTTGGATATACATGTAACAGGAAGATTTTTTAGTGCGCATAGCTTTATTTATGACTCTGCTCCCGAATAAAAGAGCATTTTAGGGGCTTCTTTTTGGTATGCAGGAAAATAAGAACTAACAAAGAGAAATTAAATCTGAAAGAGATACACAGTGTAGGTAATCACAAACATTTCTAAGATACAAGTAAATGTACTTCGAAAAATGACTACTAAAAAACACATGCAATTGCAAATTTTCAAGAGATGCAAGTAGACTTACGTCTCCTCTGATCGAATTTGTGGACATCTTGTTGAGAGTTTGAAACAACTGTAGCAGCCACACTGTCTATGATAGTTTGTGACAGTGATGGTGAATTCACAGCAACTTGTTTGTGAAATGCCCAGAAAAGATGTTGGCACAAGTCTTCACTGACATCATCTCCAAGATACGCCGACATAAACAACTTGAAGCCCTCATAGTCCATCGGCTAGAAAATAAGTCACACATGAAAGAAATTATAGATTTGCTTCAGCAGTAAGAAATATCTTTTTTCTCCTACTCACTTTATAATAAAGGCTACAATAAAAGTTATTATCTTTGGCAAGCACTAGCTGGTGGTTCAGAGACTGAGGATCAGTTCCCATATGAACTTTGTATATGTAACAATTTACTATAATCATACACAAATCACAAGGTACACTTGTACATCTGTACTTTTACCTGTGGGCAGGAAATAATTTTTTTTCATACTAATTCGAAGTTCCATGGCAAACAGACAAAAGAGAGGTTAAGCATCACATTTACGTCAAACGGCAACCGCGAATTTGTATCACCTGACCAAGTTTCCCTTTGCTTGGCTCCTACTGTTAATTATTGCTACACATGAATTAGTAGTACAGACACAATTTTTAATCCATAAGAATTTTCTGAACTGTTTTTACCTCCTCACTTTCTATTTTGCGAAATTCTCAACCTGAATGTGCCATTTGCCGTCTGTCATATACATGAAGCTTAAACTCTCTATACAGTGTGCCTGTACATGTGCTGTGCTTATTATAGACAACAATTTTGAAGAGATCCGTTCATTTCAGATTTAAACCCATCAACAATAGATGGGAGTGGGGAAAGTGCCTGGACAAACTGATGGAGTTACATGCAAGCGCGGAAGCCGGTAACCATGACAACCCTGTGAGCGGCAACCACCAGACACCGTCACACTGAGAACCTCAGTGGAGAGTTTGGTAAATACTTATCAACACTCATCCACAGGGGTGAGAGGGCTGGGAGTAATAAGGCTTAACCGTTTAAACCCGAACATCAAAATTCAAATTCTCGTTCGTTATCCCTATACGTTTTCAATAGAAGTAGTGGGGAGAATTTGTTGAAGTATCAATTAGATTCATCTTGAGTGATCATGTCCGTAACTCTCATGACCACTCTGTTTTACAAAGCAGTGATATTTCTAGGAGAAATTTGATGCTGATCACTCTTAGGGCTTAAAGGGTTAAACAACTGCATGCAAAAGGCACAGTCAGCGAAAAGAATTGACATCAGCATATGAGTAGTAAAGAAGACCATTGTACAGCATTGCCTAATATTGAACACATACAGTGTAAATCTCAGTTGAAGGCAACTACATTGCTTTTCTATGCAAAGTGAGACCAGCTTAAGAAAACAATGACTATACGATGTGATTTCTCAAACAGCCCAAAATGCTGGTAACAGTACACAACTACATGTACATGAACATGTATGCTAACTTTTGTCCTGGAAACAAAATTAAAGCTTTCAAGATTCTGGCATGTACAGAAGACAACATTTTTGACATTTCGCTGTCTTCCCTCTTGGCTGTATTTTGCATTTCTTTCCTTACTTAATTGTTTCTCTTTGCCATTTCAGCAAACAACTTTATTCTGCCAAACTTCGATAGTGTTTTTTAAAGAGGCCGCTTTCCAACCACGTAACTACAACAATTGCAGATTCTGGAGCACTGAAACAAAGTTCAGTGATCAGAGTAATGATATGGATGTCGTACTGCTGTTCAACAATAAATTGTAACAATGACAAGCCACTGTTCCACAAACTGCTGAAGCAAACTTAAGTTCTACGTTATAATCACTACAATCTGTCAGATCACTGGACCTATTTAGTTATGATCACAGCAATACAAATATAAAAAGCAGGCTTAATAAAATCTATTAACATACTGTACATGTCTGCACATCATAGCACTGTAGGCACTCTTGTGACGGGTGGTCAGTATGTATGTCCCTACTCCAGGGTGCAAAGAAAGTCAGTTTTACAGCCTGCCATTCGGGCAAGCTGTAGCTAGCATGTACTAGCCCACAAGTCATTTCAACTCGCCCCAAAACCCTTTTTCATTAGTATGATTGCTTACAATCCTTCTGTAATTTGAATTTCCCCAAAAAACAGCACTGTCGAGCAAGTTAGGAACAAAAATCACTAGCCTGATAGCAAAATCCAATAACCCTGAGCTATCGGACATGACTTTCTTTGCACGCTGCTACTCTGAATTTCAAAACCTGTTGTTCCACAATTTGAGAAGGAAGGCATGACCCTCTCAGTGTTGTACTTATTGTTGTCGTTGCTGTCGTAGTTTTACAATTTTTAAGAATAGTTTTCCACAAGATGAAAATGAAGTGTACCTACAACTACATATCTACAAATCAGAGGTCCAGGCCTTGTTAGGTGAGGGGAGAGGCATACGTTTGTCCCTAGTCTGAATTCCAAAACATTTTTACAAATGTAACATATTGAGAAGGAAGGAATGACCTTGTTGGTATTGCACATATTCTTGTCTTTGCCGCTGTCAAAGTTTTAAGATTTTTTAAGAATTCTTTTTACCTACAACAAATCACTGCTACATACATGTCTACACATCACAGCTCTAGGCCCCGTTTGGTGAGGCCAGAGGGAATGTGCATGTATGTCCCTCGTGTGAATTTCACAACCTGTTTCTTAACGCACTGAGAAGGAAGGCATAACCAGGTTGGTATTGTACTTATTGTTAAAATTTTCAAGAAGATTTTTTTAAAGGTGAGAATGTAATTTACCTTAGACGTGCATGTACATGGATATGTTGTTGTATCATAAGAGCTCTTGGCCTGTTAGGTGAGGGAAGGGGGATATGTATCCCTAGTCTGACTGTTAAAACTTGTTTTTTTCACACATTGAGAAGGAAGCCATATCCCTGTTGGTATTGCACTTGTGCATGTCTTTGCCGCTGTTGTAGTTTTAGCCCATCTTTATGTCATTTACCATCATTTTATCTGTCTTATATCACTCTTTTATATCACTCTTTCAAGGCAGTGACACTTGCTGCAATTTTAACAAGGCCTCATCAGTTTGAATTACAAGACGTACATGTAGCCCAGAAAATTTCATGTCATAAATAGTCCCTTTCAACTCTACTGAAGGGCTCCAAGAAAGTCTCTCTGCCAAATCACAAAATTATCTCATACCAAAATTGCCTCTTATTTTCACAAAATTAAGTATCAGAAGGGCTCAAAATTGGGACAGATATATTCGCCAATGCGACTAACATTCTCTCCTTGGCACCTAAAAATTCTGGTTTAGTCTCCACCTTAGCAACCAGATTTCTCTATGATGTAGATTTAAATTAAAAGAGTAAAGTTAAATCTTGCTTTGCATTCATCATAAAAAATGTACCAAATAGCATAAACAAGTTAGCCAGTTTACCTCCAAATTTATACCAACTTCTTTCCGTGATATTTTCAAACAATCAAAGCTGATGGATACTATGAGCTACATGTACGTCATTTAGTAAATACAAACTTGTGACTATATTTCTCCAGTTGGTCGCCAAAAGGCGACAGGGGATTTTTTAATTTCAAGGCCTGAAATTCAGAGAAAATAAGCAAAAGCAACATATATATGGTATGGAAAAAAATCAAAAAACATGTTGTTCATGAGCCTAATAATTTAAAACATGATGTGTATTGTGAAGCCTTGACACATTCAAAATATCTTGAGAAGGTATAGTTCTAGAAATTAATGTGTGTATTTAAGTGATCAAGGTAAACAGGTGTTATGGTAACTTGCATTATAATTTTATCAAAATTGACCTTGAAAAACTACATGTAACAGATTGGATTAACCAAAAAATAGGTTGATGCCAACATAAAACATTTCAAAATACAAAAGTTCATGCACTAATTTTTCATATAAACAGATGAACTTAAAATCAGTAAAACTGAGCCACTAATATTGCATATGAATACATGAGCTAAAAATACTTGAAAAGCTATAAATATTTGAAAAAATCATTGAGAAAAATATTTTGAGCTCTTCACTTCAGGAACCCACATTTTCATTAGCCAGAAAGGATTAAAGAGACACTTAATTGACTCCCTAAATTCATTTATCCCCACAAATCAACTTTAAATCTTTTATTAATCAATGTGCTTTTACTTGGCACTTTTTCACAGGAAAAAGTCTCTCTCTTTTAAGACATAATTATTATAAATGTACTTTGAAGCTTTCTCAGAAAGCATGTATAATACGTTGTGTACCTTGCCACTACTACACAATATTATATGTTCTACTCTTAACAAATTTATACATTATAACATATATAGATATGTAGCAATCTGTGGAAAATAAATTTGTCATTACCCCAAGACGTAAAAGCCTATTGTCATTTTCGGAACATAAAATTCTACATCATCAGAGGTAAACATTTTTTTTTAAAAAACTGGAGTTAAATACATGTAATATGTGAATTCATTTGCAGTGTATCAAATAATCTTTCTACAAATAAAATAAAAATAACTATTTATGAAGATTAAAATGTTAATTATTCAACCTAAGATCAAAGCAATTTTCCATCGGGTAAACACTTACTTTTTCTGGATTATACTGAGGGTAAACTCCATCTCGGAATTGTTGCAAGACATCAGTCAACCTGCTCGTCTTCGCATCTGAGTATATTCAAAAAGAAAAATTTTCAGTGTTAACCAGAAAATGCAAAATAGAAACCAGGCCACCACATGCAGATGTAATTTAAGTTTACATTTATTTCACTTTAAAATTACTCTAAAATCACAAAGTAAATACCATACAGATCAAGGTCTCACATGTTTTTATCACCAAAAATACTGCTTGAATTTTAGCTTTTTCTCTTTCCTCTTTTGAGTAGTGGTTTAAAACACTTGACATTTTAAACTTGCATTTATCACTGCTTCATCAAGAGTTTAACTGCAATATGAATATTCAGCCATAATTACTATCCTTTTAAAACTAATAGCAATACATTACGCTGCTAAATTTTTTTTTTTTTTCACTTTCCAGAGTGACCTGACATTTGACAGTTTGATCTGGTTTCCCCTTTCAGAAAATACTGCTGGAGAAATGGAGAAATCACGTACTAACAAGCCAAATGAATTTTCATGTATTCTCGACAGGGGAATAAAATGGCTTTCAGCAAAATTCACTATATTTGAAGAAACAATCAATTTATGGAAATGCTGCCATGTGGTAATTGCAAAGAAAAAGTTTAATTGTTGTTAAGAGGAACTGAAAGGTCCAATGGAGTATTTTTGCTTGCTATTGGCTCCTTCTGTCTTTACAACAGCATGGGACAATTTAGACAGCCAACCAAAGCAGCTTCACTAAGTTTTAAACTAACAATTTAAACATTAAAATTCATCAATTAAGCAAATACTGGGAGATTCAGATAAAATGCATGTTTTGAGTCACACAAGTAAAGTAAATGTCATGAAAAAACACCGAGGGAATATGCAATTTTATACTCTATACAATTGCTGACTGCAGTGAACCAATGCTAATCAACTGAAGGCTGAAGTATGTGAACTCGGCATGAAAACAAGGCATACGCACATCATTTTAATAAACAAGAACAGATTATTTCAAGGGTGTTGACTTGAATACTGAAGTCAGTTTATAACAACAGTGACACAGAATCTAATATCACTTTTGAAATAAATCTCTGGACATGCTGAAAGAAAATAATGATCATTTAACAAAAAAATCAATGTTTGAAAAATTCCTATAATGCCTGGAAATCTTTAACTTTGATATTGGGGAAAATATGACGATATTTTGTTTGTCTCCCAGTGTTTGCATGCCAAAAGCTATAAATATTTTATGAAAACACTTAGACATTTCTTGGGATAATATAAGAGCTGGTGGGTGTAACATGAAAATATCAAGAATATGATTGGTAGGAAATAGGATTGTGATATTTCTAATTGAACCAAAATATTAAAAGGCTGAATTTTATGTCCTCTTAAATCTTGAAGAGGCACAATGGATTAAGGGTGGTGAGACAAGTAAGGTTTCCAAGTACCTGACATTTGGTGATGAGTGAAAATGAATATGATTCACAAAGCATCAACTTGTCACTCAAAAACCACAGAAATTACATAGCCAAGAAAAAGTGATGAAACCAACAAGTTGGAAAAATTTTTTGTACACTGCACCAATGTGACATTAAAAATTAAGTAAAATCTTAAGATTAAAAGCCGACACAAACGTCGCTATGAGCTGTTCATTTAAAGAAAGGGCTAGCTTAGAGACCTTCTAATAAGGGAAAGCAAAATGTAATAATTTGCGAAACGTCAATTAAGTGTAAACGTTTACGAACATGCCCCCTAAACCAGAAAAAATTTAAAGTTCGGTAAAAAGAATTTAAAATTGAACAAATTATAATATGTTAATATAACGCTAAGAGAGGAACGAAACAACAATCCATTGATTGAACATGTCTCTGTAAGATTGAAAACAGAAAATAACTTTGAATAGAATATTTAATAGCGCCCGAATTTTACACTCGAGTGTACGTGGTTTCTAAGCTAAAGTCTATTGTTGTGAAGAGAAAAGCTAAAACACAAAACGCACCTAGGCACAGATAAAATCCACCCACCCAAATCTTCTCTTGTATTTAAAATTACGAGCGGCATTGTTTGTACATGTAAAAAATATACCAATAACACTAGCCGCCATATTATTATCACTAGCGTGAACATGTTCCAACAAGATTCGATCAATAGGTAAGGTATTAAAACCTAGATTCGCTTTTCCTCGCAGACAATATAAATGTGTTATTCAGTTTGTAATCGGCTCGTTTTAGTGATATTAACACTTACACAGAGGCATAATCATAATTTCTTGTGAGTTTTCCCCGCAAACAGCATGGGTGCCTGATGTAAACACAAGCAAAGCTTCGGTCGTAGCAATTTTTCATAAAAAAATAAATCGTTTGCCAGTATATTCCAGCTTATGACTCAACTCCCGCGTTAATCTTACATTTCAAAGTAATCAGGTAAAAAGAATGTTCGTTTATGTTAACCTTTTAGTAAACGAAGACCCCTCGAAATTTTGACCTTCAAGTTCAGTTCACGGGCAGCATCATTCAGCCGTTAAAGACTAAATTTGCTTATCAATAAACTACAAGCATAATGGAGGATTCAAGAGCTTCCAATAACAATTAAGAAAGCAGAGCAGGGCTATCTTACACTTGGTGTATTCCTGAAGCTGTTGAAATTCTTCGGGCTTCAAGCGATTCCAAACTCCCGTCGCATTCTGACTTGCACATGAATTATTCGATGGACTGGAGGCCGCCATTTCTACCTTGAACAAAGCCCAGCTGTACTCGAACGTCTTGTTCCATTTGCTATCGGCACGCGTTGAACGTACATTGTGGGTGAGTAGGAACGCCAAAACAGATCTGACCTGACTTCCCACAAGGGCCTTCACCTGGCCATAACACACTATTAGTATTGTAAATATATTCACATGAATTTTTCTGTTCGTTTCATTTCTTGGCAGTGTGCGAAAGTAAACAACGGCGAGAGACTGGGTACGAGCTAAGACAGAGCCTGTGACATTGCTGAGATTTTGCATTAAGAATTTTGTCGATAATTTCGTGCAATTTCATGCCATGAATTCTACTGTAAGACTCTACCGACGTATTCTCAAGCTACACAGAAAACTTCCCCTTGCGTCGAGGGCTTTAGGAGACCAGTATTTAAAGGACGAGTTCAGACGACACAAAAATGCAACTCGTGAGCAACTCGCAGAGTTCATTCAGGAATGGAAGGTTGGCTGACATGTTGTTCATAAGCTTAATTTTAGGCTTGCTTAGATATCTTTTTAATATCCTGAAGAGATTTGCGTTATAGTACAGCCAGTTTTAATTAATTAAACCCAAGAACGTTTTAATTGGCATTATCACAGAATGAAAGGCCGATAATTCTTGGGTGAGTAAACGTTGATGTTATGCAATAGCTAAAATTGAACTTCTAATCCATTGCTCCTGGCCACTTTGTATTTACATCTTGTTGGATAAGGAAAGTGCTTATCGTGTTATACCTTGTTCTTCAACCCTTTAACCGTTTAGGTCCCAAGAGTGTCCAACATCAATTTTCTCCTAACAACACACCACATCAGCAGATCAACAAGAGTAAAGGTTATGAGAATTACTAAATTGATTACCAAAGGAGGAATGCTTTGACCTTAAACCAAATTCTCTCAACTGTTCTTTAAAGAAATGTATGGAGATCAGTTTGGAGAATTTGTATTTGGATCTTGGGCCTAAAGGTTTAAAGCCCCACCAATATCAACGAACAAATCCTCCAGACTGATCTCAGCCGTACATTTCCATAAAAAATTAGTTGGAAGAATTCAATAAAAGATCAAAGTATTTCCCTTTGGTGATCAATTTGTCAATCTCCATAACCTTTTCTCTATATTACACTGTACATTAATGGTATTGCTAGTTTGTACGTGATATCACGACAACCATTTTGGTGGTCAAGAACAAAAGCATTTCTCTCCTTTGGGAACTAAACTCTATTTTCATGGAAATTCTTTGAGAAAAAGTTCTATTGTTCTGACCCCCAACATGGCTGCCGTGTCACATGGTTGCAAACCAAGAATTGTTGGGATAAAATTGAATTGGGACTTAAGAAGCTAACATGTGACAAGTGGCTGGGAGTTCTGAAGGTATTACTGTGATGTTTTGCACCTGGTTTGAGTTCAATCCATGTCATAACCATTATTATTGTGAAAAACCTTTCAATAAATAAGATCTTAGCTAACCATTTTGAGTCAGTGCTTAACACTTAGCAGTATTGTCAGCTCTTAACCCTAATCATAATCAAATCGAGGATCAAAGGCAAACAGGGCAAAGGGGAGCAAAACCAGTTGTTTCCCATAAAACCGTGCCTTGTTTACATGTGACAATACATGTACTTTCTGGAAGCATCACATTTCATGAAATTAGAAGACTATTTTGGACGTAATTAGCATTGTGATCAACATCCATTTCCAGTTAATAATTATGAAATAGCTTTCCAACAAGTACTCTGTACATGGGGAGCAAGGGTGGCGCAGTGGTGAGAGCACTCGCCTCCCACCAATGTGGTGCGGGTTCGAATCCTGGCATCGACGCCATATGTGGGTTGAGTTTGTTGTTGGTTCTCTCCCTTGGTCCGAGAGGTTTTCTCCGGGTACTCCAGTTTTCCCCTCTCCTTAAAAACCAACACTTCCAAATTCCAATTCGATCTGGAACGCACGGACACGTTTCAGCGAGTTCTTATGAACTCCTTAGTGATCCGTGGGTAAACAAATTACAATTTTTTGTAGATTTTGACGAGTCGCATTTAAACAAAGAGCAAAGGTCTAACAAAAAAATTTTAAACAATCATTGTCCATTTGTTGACAGGGAGTGATTCCCACTCTGGTGTTGAAATTCTGTTTTCTGACGAGCATTTCTTGAAAGAAAACAAATTAATATTTTTCATTCCTTTTTTCTTTCTGCATCCAGATCTATGCTGATATGTTGGAGGGACAACAAAAGGAAGGAAATGACTTTGGAAGTCATATGTCAGAAGACCAGGTGTCAAATATACGCGAGGAACAGTTGCTTCAGCTGTATGCTCTTCATCAAGAAATAAACAGTCCTCCTGAGGGGGTAGATTCAGCTGAAAAAAGGTGAAATTTTTTGGAAGATCATGTCTTAAATCAAAGCCTTTGCTTTGCATCAGGCGATAACCAACTACTGGTCCAATCTAAGATTGAAGTGGGTGTGAGGAACATGTGCAGCAGAACCTCTATGGATGAAGAGCTCCTCTTCAGCATGGAAAGTGCTTTAATTACCACGGACAGTTCTGCTGGTCCCAAAGATACCTTGAATCATACTATTCCTACGTCCACAACTTCATACAGACACCTGTAATGCAGACACATCTTACAGTGTGTATAATGGGTATTTTTTTCTTCTTCCCTGTATTTTTTTTTTTGTGTGTGTGTGTGTGGTATTAACTCTTTTACTCCAGTTAGTGCCCAAAGGGGAAAAAATTAGAAAGGATCATTATGCGTCTCTGGAAACTGCCCACCTACGCTTCTCCTAAGCCAACAAAAACACTTACTTCTCACTTAGGGTAAAATGTTGGCTTAGGGGAGGGGTAGGTGGGCAGTCTACCAGAAATGTATGATGATCCAAAAATTACAAGAAAATTTAACTTATTCCTTTTCACAAAATTCTATGACATAAATAGTATTAGGCAAAAGTTAAGTGAAGGAGTTAAAGAGGTTTGACTTAACATTTATATAAGATTCAGAGAGTATCCTGCAACAGCCAATACCCTTCACTGCTAGACATGATGACTGTATCAATTTCAGTGAGGAGGTGGGGGTGGGGGTTGCAATTGCAAGCTTATTTTCGTGATGCTGTGATGGACCATTTTTTGTGTCCGTGAATTGTGATTTACTGAAAAACTGTTCTGTGAATCTTGATTGAAGTGCACTCCGTGAAACATAAACTGCCAAAATCCTCCATTGTGTACACATACAGTCGACTCTCTCTTAACGGACACCTCTATAAGACGGACACCTCTGTAAAATGGACACTTAGAGTTGGTCCCTGCTTTTCTTTAATCCTTTTATTTGACTCTCTATAAGACGGACACTTAGTGCCGGTCCCAAAGGTGTCCGTCTTAGAGAGAGTTAACTGTACATTGAAGATCAATTGAAGAAAATAACTTGTTTTTTTTCTTTTGGCCAAACAACCTTGACTGGCATTTGGTGGATTGATTGAACTTCACTTTTGAGTCTTTTGATGTCACTTCACACTTCAGTGTGCTCCAACTCATTTACAGCTGGCTTCCCTGGGGAATTTATAGCCAGGCAGAGATCACCCAAACACGTGGCCAAGATCAAAAGTGACTCGTGAAACGCAAAATTGTCATTTGTGCACTTGTGACGAGATCCCCCCTTGCCCCCCTTCTTCAAAGAACAGTTTCCTGTGTCTGAAAACAGCAGTGCAAAGCATAGATATGTTTAACCGCTGGTTTCCATAAGAGTTGAAGTCAGAGTTGTAAGTGGAGTCGTAAGAATGCTTATGACCTCATGAAAATAAGGAATAAAGGAAGTCAAATCAGAGTTGGAAAAATCTGAACCTGACTAATTTCTTCCGACACTCATGACTCTGTTGCTTATGGTCTAGTGAAAACCAGAAATGTCAGAGTCAGAGAGCTTTGTCTGTAATTTCTTTTAAATTCTCTTAATCTATAATTATTATTGTTGTAAGTTGGCCTTCTTTCATTTTCAGTTATTATAAAATAACTTGGGTGCTTCCTTACAAAACCCATATTATGACCAAATAAAAACAACAAGTAATTGTCGAGGAAAAAGGATTTTATTTTTCTTTATTTACAACTTGTATAAAGTAGTGACAACAACAAAAATGTCATCAATAAATACTAACAAAAATTCTTCTTTTAGTCTCCTTATAAAAAGGAATAAAACTGATATTATCACAATTTTTTTTGATAATTTATGACTCTTATAGTAGTAATTTTCTTTATTCTTTATTGTCATATGAAGTTACCTGTAATCTTTAAAAAATGGACATTGTTCAATGGTGCTGGTAATATTGATTTGATCATAGTGAAATTTTGCAACTATAAAAAAAGGTAAACATTGACTTAAGCTTTACAGACTTCCTGTACTGTTAAACAGCAGTCATTTTTTGGAAAAATACTCTTTATAACCTAGACAGGCTTTTCTCATGGAATTCAGGAATGTAGGTACTCCTGTCTGCAAAGAAATCAAACAGTATTTTAATTAGTATCATAGTTTCTTTACACTAGTTTTATTTCCATTTATGAAAAAGTTGTTGTAATCAGAAATGTAGAGCAAAAAAATCTAGTGAAAATCAAACCAACATAGTCGTAAGTAGAGTTTTTGTAATCTGTTCACGACTCCATCACTTACATGTACAATCTAATGAAAACTAGACTGTCAGAGTTGTAAGGGCACGTTGTTTTTTCTTTTCAAGATCACAAGCAAGGCAGTCATAATCATAATCAATTGTTATAAGACAATGAAAATGTTGTGATTCTTGCAACTCCAATTTTATTGCATCAAGTCCTGCCTCCACTAACTCCTCACTTAATATTTGGTTTCTCTCTAAAGGCCATGACCATGCCATTGTTTTTACCTCAGTTAATACCCTAACTGTGACTCTGTTGCCAGAAAGACAAGCCTTTCATGTAAACTCCCAAGCTCAACCTAAATTAGTTTTTTCCAGGCTCCAAGATAGCAATATTGTGCCCAAGTCACGAAAAGTGACATTTTTTTTTCCCTTGGCTTGTTTTCATGACGTCCCTACTATCTGAGAACCCAGCAGAAGCTACCCAGGTCCAACGAAAACAAACAGATCACAAATTTCATTTTGTACAATAATAATAATAATTTAATAATTAATGTTTATATAGGACTATGGTAAGGTTTTAAAATACCACATTTTTTGGGTAAGTAAGGTGCAGCATTTTTTTTATGAAAGTCTGCTTGATCGCCAAATTGTGCTATGCCAGAAAGTGCGGCACAAAACGTTCATTTTTTAAGCCATACAGGATTCATCCTGTGGATAACGCTATCCGATGTTTGAACAACCAGGGCCAGGTGATATATTTTTGCTTCTAGAATTTGTCGTTTTGTACTTTATCCAAGTTATCAAAATATGTGGCAGACAAATTGAATGATGTTTTGAACATAAAACTACAAGTGATTTTTATTCATTTAGAAGCCTGAAAAACACAGGACTTTTTAACTTCCAGCTTTTTTCACAGTGATTGCATTAATTTATTGCATTCATAATTATAGAAATCATATCAATCATTCATAATATCTGGTTTTTATACCCACAGTTCATATATGATTTACTTCCTTTTAAGACATCACTTTACAATGAAAACTCGTATATCGTGGAATTAACATAGCAGATAACAATGATTGATTAGTCGTGTTATCAACCAGCTTACTGTGAAAAAAGATGAAGCAAGAATTATTTTAAACAACTGTTATTTATTTATGGATTCGTAAATCGTCGTCACCATCATTAGCCATGATGAATGATGATAAGTTTTAATGGTTTGAGTAAAAACAAGTTAATTGATTGTTGAAATTAAGCAGCAGCTGTAGTTGTTAATCTTGAATATTCAAAGAATCTTAAAAAAATAAAAATAGATATATAATAATTATTGTAATATTCTTCAGCCAATCAAGAACTTTAATGTTTGAAAGAAGATAGCTATATTTCCTATCATAAAATTACCCTTTTCTTACTTACTGGTATATATTACCAACCAGTTGTTAAATCAAAATTAAAGGTTTGGTGACTTTGAAGCATACAAGGTATCATGTCATCCACAGGCAATATATAGCTGAAACTCACTTTTCTTACATTTTATTTTTTATTTTATTTTTTGTGTTTGTCGGTGTGTGTGTTTAGAGCCTCAAACTTGCTTAGCATGTTTTTACATCATACAGAATAGAATTTGAGAAAACTGACATGCATTATGCACTTCATCATATCAAATTTCTTTAGAATACATAAATTTTTTTTGGTCTGTTAATTCTTTCTTCATCAAACTCATATAGGCTACAGATAGTAGCAGTCAGTACTACAATACAATAGTTATATTAAAATATTATAGTTAGTTTGGAATGCATGCCTGGCATGCTTACAGGATGACTTAATTGAAGTATGATGCACCTAGCCGAAATTAAAAAAACTGGGTGAATTTACACTACATAGACGTTAAATTAAAAAAGGTTCTTTAAAAATATTGAGAAAAAAAGTAGCATAAAATGACACCACTCAGATTAAAACAAATGGTAATATTTGTAAAGAAAAATGTCAAGAAAAAAAGCAATGAAAAATGAGATGTGAATATTCTCTCTCAGAAAATAATAAAAGCAGTACAAACCAACAATACCTGCAAAATTATGAACAATAACCACACATTTTATATAAGTCTTAGCTTATTTTACAAATATTAATCAAAAGACATAATATTTGAATTAGGTTAATTGCATATTAACATTTTATGCACTTAACTAAAGAAATTAAAGCCCTTAATACCAGACAGTAATAAATGCCTTGGCAGACAAGTAAAGTTGTCTCCTAATTGGGCAATATGGATCCTTGCACTATAGCTTTTAGAAAGACATTAAAATGTCTAGACTGTCAATAAAACATGCAGCAATAAGCTTGACATTTGACTTTTGAAATGTCACATCTGTAACTGATATTAACACTCTACAAGGATAAAAGCAGTCACCATTTTTTAAAAATGTATTTTTAATAACCAAGTCCACCTTTATGGCATTGTGCGTAATAAATTATTGATATCAGCAAAGTCCAAAAATTATGAATAATGAAGTACACAAAAAATATATGTTGTCTACTTAAATAGGCAGTTCCTATTTACAGCTGTGAACATATCGTGGTTAAGCTGGGGGATTTAAAAAGATTGTTGATTTTCTTTTACTTTTGTTCTCTTTGTTACAACTTAAAATTTTTAATCGAGGTTGATTCTCTGTTTACCTCTCCTCCTAGCCCAAATTATTATGAATTAGGTCTAGGAAACCAAGGAAATGAGAATCAATCTAGGTTAAAAATTTTAACCTGAATATAATTTTGACCAGTAACATCTCCACAGAATTTAGTTATTTCAAGAGTCAGTTGACAAATCACCTTAAAACCTAGGTGACGGCAAGGCTGCATTCTCTGTGACCTTTCCACTCGTTTTTCTCAATTTTGGAACTTATTGTTTTATTATCATTTCACTGTCCATAGTTTTTTTTTTTTTTCACTAGTTTTTCCTGATTTTTTGAACTTATCGTTTTATTATCATTTCACTGCATGTTCATAGTTTTGTAGTAATGATAATTAATTTTATAACCAATTGATGAGTAGATTAGTAGGTTAGGTAGTGTAGTAGTTAGTCACAGGTGAAGAGCCATGTTTTTAGTTTATGGATATTATACTGTGAATAAACCATAATATTATTATTATTTATTATTATCATTATTATATAATGTTAATATAGAAACATGTGTCTCATGTAGGAATAAAGGAAAAACAAGCCAAGCGAAGGAAAAAGAGGAAATAAAAAAGAAACTACAAAAACAAAACAAAACACCACTTTCATGTCGTCAGAACATGAACATGAGATCACTCTTCATATAAAGCAAAGCAAGTTATTCCTCTTTAATACAACCAAATACAGTAGTAAAAACTATCACCTCTTCTCATTACGGACTGATTACAATAGAAAATCTTAAGTTTTTTAAGAACATGATTGTATGATAAGAAAATCACTTGCGTACCGTATATTTTTATTATTAGATTTTTAGTTAAAGGGTTTTCCAGGGAATTATTCTTTTATTTTAAAAAAATGCTTTCAGCACAGCACATATTTCATTCTGAATAAGGTTTGCCATTTTGTGGGTTGATTGAAGCATAAAGGGTTTTCCAGGGAATTATTATTTTATTTTAAAAAAAATGCTACCACCAAATTATTATAAACATTATAAATTAAGGATAACAAAATATATATTATTAAAGCCTATTTTTGAATTCCTTTAATATTTTTCAGCTTAGGCACATAGCTACATGTATGATGAATAATAATGATTAAAATGCAATAATAAGGGCAAGAAAGAGGACAATGTTTAGAGTTTTAGAGTTGTTCACTTTTAGAGTCTCTGCTTATAAATTTGCATTTAAATATATTTTAGTACTAAATATTATAACCCATGCTGAGTATTATTAGGGCATTATTAGGCAGGGGGACTTGGAAGTAATTTAAATGCCACATGATTATTCATATGATTTACCAAGGTTCAAAATAGCTACCAGTTCCCGGCAGAAAGAAAGCCCCTTAAGCAACTGCACAGGGACAGCTAATGTGCCCTTGACAGGGCTGTCAACCTACCACGTCTTCAAATATTGAGAATTGATGGCTGGGGGATGATAAATGACGCCATAATGCACAGGGCATGTGACGTCATTTGTGAAAAAAAAAAGTGCAAAAAAGATGTTTTTGGAATTGTAACATTTGACCTAATATTTGTCTTACTTCCCACCAATCACATTATTGCTTACATTACAATGGCATATTGAAGTTTGTAAGGAAACGTTCACTGCTAACAGTAAAATAGCTCAAACAACGCAAAGTATTGGAAATTTCATTGTCAGAAAGTCGATTCTTCAAGAAATGGCAAACTTCGGCAATTATTCAGGAGATTTCAGACTCTAATCTGGAAGACATGGAGAAACGGTTCAAAATCTGGAGTGTCCTGGATTATCTGGGAGAGTTGACGGCCCTGCCTTGACAAAAACATGACTCAGGCCTTTCAGAAAAAACTACAATCTGTAAATAATTTAACGATACAGACCTTTGCACCCCAGTTTATAAGCCAGGAAGGGATAAGTCCGCCAGGGTTATCAAAGTAATGCATAAAAGCTGTAAAAATATATATATATTTAATTAAACAAAATAAATATTGTAAGTAAATAAATTGGATAGTGCATTATCAGTAAGCCATGGTTATTGTTCTCAGAAACATGACTGCAATTTAGTAATGTTCACCAAATGAACATTTCTAGATTAATTTTTCAGTTACCATTAAAATCAATGTGTTTTAATTATCCTGGTGTGATATGGTGAATTTGAGCATTTTATAGGCTGTTATGTCTTTAAAAACAACATTTCCTTAGTTGAGAGAATTTAATAATGGGTCAAAACATCTTCCTTTTGGTGATCATTTTAGCAATTCTCATAACCTTTTATATTGATTATGTAATGAGATTGTTGGAAGGAATTTGATGTTAGTCACCCAACAGGGACGGGGGGGGTAACACTCCCTTATTTGGCCTAGGCAGGTATGTGTTGCTGAACAGGGTATAGGTTTTCAAGGTCCTGAGCCTTAAACAGGGTATACAATTTCACTAGTAAGCATCTTGAACAGGGTGTCTTTTTGGACTGGAAGCCTTTCAAGGACTTGTGATGAGCGATCTATATTTGCAATACCAATATTTTTTTTCCTTAATATCTATTTCCACAATTTTGGTGTGAAAAAGCACTTAACTTTGTATGCAAAACAAAACAAATCAGGGTCAGAAAGTAGTGTCTCCTATCTTAAACAGGGTGGCAAAATGAGCAATTTTTGTCTTAAACAGGGTCATGGTTTGAAGGCCTCGGCGGCACAGCTTTACCCGGACTTCCCTTCAGGTCAGTCACTCTTGGTACTGAAAGGGTTTAAGAGGGAATCCATCAGGAAATTGAGTAATTTTAATTTTCAGCAGACAAAAACCTTGTACCAGAATAATCTAAACAATATCGCATTCTTTTTATACATTTTTCAAGGGCTAAAGATATAATTAGTTAGCTGTAATAACAGCAAAGAAAATTTCTTATGAGAGCCCGAGAAAATTAATGTCAAATATTTTCACAAAATGACACCTTACACATTAAATTTTCAGAATTTTAAATGTGTTTTCATAATTCTCTTGAAATTTGACATTTATTTTCTTGGGCTAGCTCCCATGAGAAATAGTATTTGTTGTTAATTACAGATAACTAATATCTATAAGCCCTTGAAAAATGTAAAAAAAGAATGCGATATTGTTTAAATTATTCTGGAACAAGGTTTTTGTCCACTGAAAATTGAAATTACTCAATTTCCTGATGGAATTCGTCTTACGTTTTTGTCATTAAGGGAGAGAACCTACCTTTAGTGCCCACCATACCGTCACTCTGAATAATAAGACTTTGATGATACTCTTTAACTCTTATAACTCCACTTCTTTCTGGAGTCTTTGTCAATAAATTACTCTCAGCTAATACCACTACAGTTGGTATGCTATTAACTTCCAGCTCACGCAAAGCCCTTGTATATATGTACTGTTATAAAGTTAAGGAAAATATTCATTATAAGCACATTGTTTCTCAATCACTTCTAAATGCAGTTGTATCCTCAGGCTGCATATGTCCAGAGAGACCTGGAGTCTGTTTCTCAAAAATCCTGGTATTATTACCAGGCACAGAAAACTGCTGTGTTTTAATTAAAGATCAAGGTTTCAATAGTTATAACTGCAGTTAATACGATAAAACTGATCAGCGAACAAAAGAAAGTGGATTATTTTGTTAGCTGTTACCTATGCTTTTTTTCTAAAGATTTTGATTTCGATAATTTTCCTTTGGGCCTGAAAAGCTACCTTGACTTTCTAGGAAAGTACCCAAGACTACCCAAGATACCAAGATGTTTCTGAAAAATTCAAGACATTGCAGTAAAAAAACTTAAAAACATAGAAACTTCAATAAACATCACAAACAGTTCCCTGATTTTGAGATCAGATGAAAAGTTTCAGGAACAAGTTATTGGCCACCCTACTTGTTCCACATGTTTCATGGTTTGATGTATAATCATATGTTGGTTTATTAAATTATTTCTTAGAGATTCCTCTCTGGTTACTTCCACTATCCTACATCTTTAAAAATTAAACAATCTTTTAATTCAATTTTCAATTCAATCTGGCATTTAGTAATGTAAGCTACAGGTCTAATGTTAGTATTAAATACAGATCAGGGGATAATCTGAGATTTGCATGCATCACAGATGTAAAGTGCTGAAGGATACATCTCTATTTGACATTGGCCAAGGATAGTTCACACTCCAGTATATGTTTTTAACTCCATCCTCCTCAAATTCATAGAGTTCTATAAAATATATTAAAAACAAAAATATTTAATAATCACACAATGAATGATCGTGGGAAACTTATTGTGAGAGACAGGTTACTAATTGGGTCTTGACAAACTGCGAGCCAGCGAGCCACGCGAGTCATGCGAGGCATTAGTAAAAAAAAGAGGAAACACCAGTAAAAACTGCAAATTCACAGATGAGGAGGGGTTAAGCACTTATTGTGCTGATTGGGGTTAAGCTTTCACTTTACGGATTAGGGTTAAGCACTCATTTTAGCGCTAGGGTTAAGCGCTGTTTAGGGTTAAACACTTATTTACAACGGTTAGCGTTCAGTTAACGTTTTCCGTATGACTGTTTTCGATTTTTATGGTAGTTTTTTTCAATGATTCTTCAATGGGCTGCATGGCTCACATGACTCGCTGGCTCGCATTTTATTCACACTCGTTGGGATTTGAACCTGTAGAACAAGATTCAAGGGGGGAGGTTTTGTCCAGTGAGACATTTCTTTTGGGCCTTTGTAGATGGGGATTAACATCTGGGGTATTTTATTATAATTTTCAGTTAGGGATGCCTCACTTCAATATTTACTTTTTCCCATTGCTAACTTACCATAAACGTAATCATCCCAGTTTTTTCTATACTCTAGGTCCATGTACACCTGTTTGCATACATCGGGAAGAACATCTGAAATTGACCCCATTATTTTATATTCATACAATCCTGACACCTGTGGAACAAAGTAAGCGGTAAAAACAAGGTCAAGCTCTAACTGCATAGGTTCCCTGTGCCTCTTATACCCATCTTTACATAAGGCTTACCTTGCGAACGGAGTCTCCTGCGATCTTCCAAGAATCATCTAGGAAAGATCGAAGTGACTCTGCTAGCAGGGTACATAAGGCTCAGATACGGCACTTTCTTATTTGGCCTAAGCATGTATGTGCCACTGAAAAGGGCATGATTTTCCAAGGTCTAGAGTCTTGAACAGGGTGCATGTCTTTTCGGGCCAGAAGCCTTAAAGAATGTGAAGATTGGTGATGAGCAATCTAAACTTCTGATAGCAACAATTTCTTCCAAAAAATCAAATTTTAAAATATTAACATATACAGCTGTAGTAATATTAAAATCAATATAGCTGGGAGAGAAAAACAAAGTGGAGCGAAGTCTTCTTTGTTAAGAAAGCATCACAACGACAAGGAATTAACTAGGACAGATTCAAAGTTTGAGTCGTTAGCGCTTGGCTACCACATGGGCTCCACTACCCTTCTTTACATTAACCCAATCACCACTGAAGCACCCGTAACTGCCTGTGCAGATCCACGTCCTTTCTACCACTTATGACATCATCAGTTTTAATGGTCAAGGACAACTTTGTCCGCTAACTTGTGCAGAGTGAAGAGATCTTTCAAACCATACCAGAATGATCACCATTCAGTCAAGGACACCGGAGAAAAAGGCAAAAAACCATGTAAGATTGACCTGAAAATCTGCATGAAAATCTTGTTCCATTGCCCACCTACCTTTCCTTTCAAATAGAACTAATTAATTATAACTACCTAACTACCTAAAAAAATTAAACAAACAAAGAAACAAACTCAGAAACCCTGCCCACCCCATTAAGAGTTACACCAGTACAGGCGACAGTTCTCACAGGTGTCAGACAGTTCTAAGAAGGTTCTCAATGTCCACTTTTCTCACCTGGTTCCTAAAAGAAGTAAGTGTTACAGAACTCTTAATGTGCATACTTACTTTGGATCATATTACAGGACCAAAATATCTAATACTGTGTTTCCCATGGGTGGTAACTTATTTATTCTTGGAATCATAAAATTGTCTGAATTTCTCAGGTTATAACTTCGGTTGCTTAAATTAAAAATATTGGATATATAACTAGGGCATAAATTATAATTGACTTAGTACATTACTACTGCTATCCCCCGAAGCCTTCTGTTCAGCAGTGAGGGGAGTTTAGCCCTTACAAGAAGCTCATCGTATGCACTACTTTTATCATAATATACAGATCTAAGCACATTCTCTTGGAGTCTCTCAAACTTTCAGTGATCAGATTTTCCACAAAAGTACCAGACCATCTGACAATAAGTTAATTGTGGCAAAATAGAAGATTTGTAAATTCTAAGCTTGCTAAGGTTAGTTAGGACCCCTATATCAATTTCCCAGATACTCTTTTAGATAGTTCATCTAAGTACAAAAAGTGGGTAGTAGAGACTTCAGATGCTCATCAAAAGTGACAAGTACCCTGAGTGAACAGCTTCATTTTTAATTTGTGATCAATGCAGTATATGCCAAGCTACCCTCAAGTTAATGCAGTAACTCAGATACTTTAAGGTGACCACTTAACAGGTGTTTGACTGTAGATAAACATGTAACCAACCTCCTCATATTTTCTGTAAATTTTACACTCAACAGATTCCTTTTTGGATTCTGTTAAAAATTCAAATCCATCCAGTGTAATATTGTCTATTTCGTGGGCAGCTTCTAAGAATTTTCTTTCCCCAAAACCCATTTATGATACTGTGCCAAACCTACAGAAGAAAAACAAAAAAACAGAATCAGATGAATAAAATTATTTTTTAACCCATTCGCCCCTGAGGCACCCGTAAAGTGCCTGTGCAGATCAACCTCCCTTCTACCGTTTGTCATGTCATCAGTTTTAATGGTCAAGGACAACTTAGTTCACTAACTTGTGCAGAGTGGAGAGATCTTTCAAACCATACCAGAATGAGCACAAAATATTCAGCCACAGACACCAGAGAAAAAGGCAAAAAACCACCATTGACCTGGAAATTTCCATGAAAATCTTGTTTCACTACCCTCCTACCTTTCCTTTCGTCTAATCCTAATTAAGATCCTAAAAGCATCCCTGAAAACTTTTCCCGCGAAAATGAAGCCTACTAAATGCCAAGCAAAAGGAGAAAAAATGAGGCAGGAAAAGTGAAAAAAGAGGGGAGGAGAGAACGTTAAAAGTAAAAGTCAAGATTGCTAGTCTCTTTTAAACCCAAAAACTATCTCAAAATTTTGCTTTATGTGCAAGCCCGAACTTCGCAAGCTAATATTTTGCATCTGGAGCGAAGAGTATGACCTGTAAACAGCTTTGTGGTAAGTTTTAGCTCTCTATGACACGACAGTGACCAGAAAACCGCTCAACTATAGCTACAAAACACGTTTTTCAACAAAATCTCCAGGGGCAAAAAGATATTAAGAAATTGGTACAATGGGGATCAAAAGTGTTGGGATCTAACAAGTGATATAATTTTAGTAAACTGGCACCCTCTCCACTCCCTCCCAAACAATGTTGAATTGTGAGCAAAATGGGGGATCACAAAATTTTTGAGGGTGGTGGGTTGAAGAAGGGATGAACCCAAAACCCATCCAATAATTGTTTTTGTTTTTCCACCTTGTCCAAAATTCTTTTGATCTCCATTGTAGTTATCTGAACATTAACTCATTAGTCCAGCTAACTAGGGAAAGAGACAAAGGAATTGTCAGGGGCAAATCAAGAAAATCCTGAGAAAGGAGGCCAAGTTTTATGCTCTGCCGACCAGTGAAGATACCACTTATAAATTTGGCCGTTTCCTGACCATCCCAGATTTTGCCGATTGAACAAAGGAAAACTTGAAATGGTAGATTATTGCTGGTAAGTTTGAGATGGTCAGGAGCATTTCTATTTTCGTGACATGTCACAGATGTCTGCTATGGTCAGTGATCATTCTGGGATATACAAAACCCAAATTTGCACCGTCCAGAATGTACAGAATCGACACTGGCTCAATTTTCGCTCAGATCCTTAAAAAAATCCCTTAACAGCTTCTTAAGTGTAGCCTTTTGGATTCTAAATCAGAATGGCACCTGATTTTTAATAGTTTTGGGCCAATATGCATGTAAACAAGTCTATATGCATATGCTAAAAATAAAACCACACTTAGTTGTGGTAAACGTTAAATTAGAACAAACTAATAAAGTATCTAGATCATGATCAGACGAAAGTTTAGACTCGACTTCACTACTATCGGATTTGTTTGTTTCTGTTAATTTGCTCAGTCCCACCAGTCTTTTTTAATTAAAAGATCATTATTTATTCATTCACTTAAAATGATTTGTTTTTCTTATTTAGTGACATCTACAGCTTATACTACTAACTAGCAGTATAAAGAATAAAGTCAGTAACCCTGAAATATTGATGTTTTCATATCACTGCAAAAAGTCTTACTTCTTGGAATGAAAACCCGGCATTTGCATCACAATACACCTTTAATTATTAGTTTGTACTTAATTAAACACTCCACACACAGAAAATGGGATTCGTTTTCTGCTAATGCGACCTGTTATCTAACTCTAAATAAGTATTCCGAAAAGTATTCCGTTTGCACCATGATATGGGCATGTAGGAAGGAGACCTCAAATTGCAGTTCAACTAGGCCCAGTTACTTAAACTTCAATCATAGTTAGCAGAAGACCACCTATGCTTTAATGTACTTTGCAAGGATGGTTTAATACTTTCTTCAACAGAGACCCAAAATCGCTTTTTTTCGTGCTTTACCTGTGATGTAACGACACCTAAATAGTCCCAGAACTTCTCCAAGCCGTAGAAAATAAATGTAAATTTTAAACCTACCTGACTGGAAGAAGGGAAGAAGGAAAAAATACCCCTGAATTATTACCTGGTTACTCCAACCGCAAGCATAAAAAACTAAACCGCTGGAAAGCCCGTCTTACTTTTCAGGCCCGGCACAACACGGAAAATGTCACGCTTCAACAATATCGTATTCAAGTTAAGAGAAAATTAAGTTTGGTCTATAACTAATATTTTTCACTGTCGGCGAAATTCTAATTAGCGAAACACTATCGAAACACAGCGTCCTAATTTCTGTAAAATCTTACAAAATGAACATTAATAATGATTTCGAATCATTAAATCTGAAATTTTTTTTCTAAAACGTTCGATTTTAATTGACTTAATTATTTAATTCTCATAACATGCAGTGTTGTGACAACTATCGCTCGTCACCGTGGAGTGAAATCATACTGCTAAAAATGTGGAAATTGCAAATACCGCTTAATTGCTTTCATCCTATGTACTTGCTAATGTTCCACAGAGGAATTCACCACTCTTTATTAACAAAATCTAGATAAAATTACAGAGTAGGTTTTCAACGATCCATGTTTTTCGATACGAGTCATGCGATTTGGATCTTTGTTTTGCATCTGGTCGTTATTCGATGTCAACTTCCCAAACTTCAGCCCGGCGATTTAGCTCCATCGTTTGCGTTACAAACACTAAATGGGAGAATAGTTTACAGGAAAGGCAATTCGACTTCTAGAACGCCAAGACATCCAGTTATATTTCATTTATTTACGAGACGTTCGGCATTTTTAGAAGCCTTGTGGAACAATGACACATCGCTGGAGGAGTTCCTTGAGCTGTCCCCTGGCAATACTCATTATGTTTTCATGTCAAACGCAGATTCTAGGTCCATGTACGATATTTTATGGATGAGAACTCGGCTTCATAGAGCCATCGAGAAATATTATTTAAGGTAAGTTTATAATGGCATTCATACTGAGTTGAACATCAAAAGACAGTGGTTTTCTTGTAGTCACTCTCTAGGACACACAAGATTTCCTCGCATTTTTGTAAGAATTCTTTTAAGGCCTTACAAAGATAAAATGTGGAGGGCACTATACATCTCAAAGAAGTTTGATAATAATAAATGCGTACATGTATAAATCTTGCTCCTGTACGGAGCTAGGGGGGAGGGACACCCTTGCAAAAAGAGAGGGCGTGGCTCAAGAAGCTTTGTTTGACCTCTCAGACCCGTAGAGGGTACATGATGTGGTAATTTTAACTGTTGTGGAGACACAGTCATCAAGTGTTTTTTCCTTTTGTTTTGTCACTTGTAACTCTTAAAATCTCTTTTTTCATGGATACCCTAAGTGATACCAAAACGAGCTTTTTAGACCCCTCAAGAAGATGAGAGCTTCCCGACTCATTTCAAATAGGAGTTTCCCCACCAGAAACAAAACAGATTCTTGTCTATCAACAGCCAATAGGCTGCCCACACTCAGTGCATGGGTAAATGGATATTTTAGTTATCTGCCCATATCAAAACACTACACAGCTAGAAATTAAATGCAACTGCTTGAGGTACTGACATAATTTATATAGCCTGTGCCAGGCTCTCAGATAGTATAGAAGGGACATAAATAAAACAGGTAAAGCAAAAAACAGTCCACTGCCCTGTCTCTCCCCAACCCCTGTGCATTTTTCACGTCACTTTTTACTGAACAACTGCACAACTATCTTGGAGCCTGAAACAGGCTAGACATACAGGAGGTCCTGCCAGTGGGGAGTCCCAGGTCGCCCATCTGAATTTTAAAACATCTCGTGTCGGTGTTTATAAATGCTTGTCGCTTATTGTCGGCTTTGCCGTCACTGTCGAAATTTGGCCGAGGGAGGTTTTCTCTTGTCGCAATTTCATTTTACGCACTGTCACTACTTTTTGGGCCATGTCGCTTGTCAGAATTGACCCTGACAGGGCCTCATACAGTACTATGCCATAAAACAGCTTTTCAAGCTCTAAAATGCTCTATTTAATACCGTAGAATTCCAAAAATAAGCCCCGAGGCTTATATTTTTTAAAGGCCCTTTTTGAGCGGCTTATTTTTGAAGGGGCTTATCTACAGAGGGAAATTTGCGTTTCAAAATCAGTTGGGCTAGCCTTATAGTTGGAAGGAAATTTATGGTTTTTGCTTTGTTTTACTTCGTGTTTGAGAGCAATTTCCGAGTACAAGCCCCCCAGGGGGCTTATATTTGGAGGGGCAGTTTAACGGAGGGTTTTTTGCATTACGAGTTTGGGGGGCCTTATATTTGGAGGGGGTTATTTTCAGAATTTTACGGTAATATAGCTGTTGAAAGCTACTGGCAGTAAGGCTTACCTATTTTTAAGTGTTCAAGAGAGCTCGTCGAGGGGCTTTATGAATACAGTTAGAGTGGAAGGTGTGGGGGAGCTCTTTTTCTCCAGAAGAAACACAAAATGTCACTTAGAGAAAACAACAACAAGACTCCCTTTATATAAAAGAATCTCACTTTGTATTCCTGACTATATAACTCTATGTATCACACTTTAAATTTTTACTTACAATCTATTAATAATTTCTTAAATTAATAATTGTGCTTTTATAGGAAGATAAACCAGTTAAAACATAGGTTTAAGAAATCCTGTCAGCAACAATTCTCAAGCAGTGCACATCATTTTTTACATGCACACCATGCTGACAATGTGGAGAAAGAACCATTTGAAAAATTATCTCTACTGAAACAACACCATAGTGCTTTAAAAACTACTGCCTGTAACAAGAGCTGGACACAGTCATGGAAGGATCGTCTACATTTTACCAGCCTACCAGTGTATGAATTTGGAAATTGGATTCCTTATGCGTCAATGCATTGGCCTTGTTTTGGTTCGGGTTGTGCTCTTGCTCAAGTTATATTCAAGTCAAGGGAAGGTATTAAAGTTATATTTTTCTCCATTATTGTGTTTGTTTAGGAATACTGTGGTCTCTCAATTGCACTGTAAAATGTACCTAGTGTTTTATTTTTAACTTGGTTTTAGGGGCTTGACATTTGTGTTGGATGTCACCTCGGTTTATTCAGAGTGAGACTGCTGTTATTTTTTATAAGTATGAAATAAAGAGAATGTTTATTGAGAGCCCTGCCAGTAATTTGCCCTTTTACTGTACCTAATGACACAAAAATTCTTGTCAGTGATGAAATAATATATGTGCTTTGAATCCAAAAAAATGTACACTTTTGGAAATATGGGTAAAGTCCCATCCAAAGCACAAACAAAACCAAAACTCAAAAAACTATTCTATCTGGGAGATTCAGTGACCCCTACAAGAGAGTGGGAGATTAGTGCTGTATCCTGGAGATTCTCACATAATCTGGGAGCTGAGTGGCATATATATAAGGTTAATTTATATATATTTACATCGATAATTATTATAGATGTAAATGTCTGAGGGGTTTATTTATGACCACCGTTTATACACTGTATCCACGGCTTAATTGGTAGTTCATTGAATATTACCTTTTTTCAATAAATGGAGGGGTGTGTGGCCGAGTGGTTAACACCTCAAACTGCGAATCGGGAGGTGAGGGGTTCAAGCCTCGCCCGTCACATTGTTTCATTAGACAAGGAAAATGGGTACCAGCAACATACTGCTGGGGGTTAACCCTGCGATGGACTAGCATCCTGTCCACGAGGGAGTATAGCAATACTCTTTGGTGCTTCATGCTAATGAAACCAGGATAAGCTCTGGCCGTTTGGGCCTTTGGCTCGTGTGCGCCTTTACCTTTTACCTTTTTTGCAATAAATAGTTTATCTGATATCTAATGTCTCAGTTCACCCTTCAGTGTGATCTGAGCTTGTCATTTCGTTTCCTTTAAGGATTTTAATCAGCTGCTGCTTACTTCCTTCACTCACTTTACTTTATCGGCATCTGCTTGTAGCATTTCGGCTGTCACAGGGAGGTGAAGTTATCAATCAGCCATCTCTCCTTCATTATCCTTTTGTTGCCTTGAGCTTTGAAATCCATTCCCTGTCACTGCTTTACCAGAGCCCCATTATTTGCTAAATGTTTGGGGCTGACCCTGCCAGGTTTTCATACCTGCTCTAGTGGTCATGTAGCCTTTCGGATTGTAAAGACACCATCCTTTTTCCAGACATAGTAATCCTACACTTTGCTTGCTTGCAACCCCATCAACATCAGGGCTCAAAGAAACTCTGAATTCCAACTTGTACTTTGGGCAAACAGCTCTCACATTTTGCTCACACAGGGCCATTTCTTTGCTCATCTTAGTTAATGAGTTTGTTGGAGGATGAGTTGTTTGGATCCTTGTCCATTGGGTATACAGCTGTAAGTGAACTTTGAAATTTACTTACCCAGCCAGAAAATCCACTTGTTCCGGTCTACCCAACGGGACTTTTTTCGAGCAATAAGCATTTCTTAATAGGCTGCTGTAACATCATAATTTAAACACATCTTTCATTCCTGGTGCATAAACAACCAACACCTGCTTGCAATTTCTAGTACTTATATAAAGGTTTTCAAAGTGTGGATATACTGTGTTTAATGTAAATAAGCTATATATTGTCCAGTTCAATGTATTGTCTCTTTGTACCCACATAGTTCAGATAAAAATCCTTTGTTGTTTTCTGCATAGGTGAGGTGGTATTGGTGGCAAAAAGACTAGATGCAAGATATGACTGGCTGCCATCGCCGCACAGTTTAATTCACAAGCATTCCCACTTCATCGTTAGTTACTATGGAAATGCTTGCAACCTTAAGCCTGAGTGGAGAGTAGTTAAAAAACATCTTGATGATGATAAGAAACAGAAGAAGAAAATGAGTGAAGGAAGAATTGCACTTGTGTCTCCTGGTGATTGCTCTTTATTTACGAAGGTAATTACATTCCCAGCCTGCCAGGGAGGGGGCTTCTTCCATATGTTGGGTATATTTAAATCATAGGTACACGTATATGTATGTGCTTCTGCAAAGTTTATGGTTTTCAGGTAGTTTAGTTTACAATAGAGTATAGAAATTAGAGTGTTTGTGCCTAGAATAGAGCATTATTTCCAGGAAACTGATTAAGCTGGTTGAAGATTTTAATCTTAACAAGTAAGGGACCCTTAAAAAAATTAAATCATCAAATTTTAATTTCCTGCCAACATATTAATCCTTTGTATGTTTTAGCTGGACTGTGCCAGTGATCTCAGTTAATTTGTAGAAATTATAGCAACTCTAGGATATGGAAAGGATTTAGGGAGTTCGTCAAGTTTATATACCGGGTTAGCAAAATTCTGCTGAACTTACGGTGTTAGACTAAGGGATCCAGGGTTCCAGGGGCACATCTGGGTTATGCTGATGACAAATTCTAGGCCTTCTATCGATTATTAGAAACAAAATTGTTGACTTTTTATCTTATTAGATTCAGCACATGAGCCAGGCTGGAGTTCATTCAATTCTCCTGTACCCTGAAGCTAATGAACCAATCAAGGAACTGACCTGTAACAGTCCACAGTGCTTCATTCCACTTCATATATCAGCTTCAATGATTTCACACAAAGATGGCTGTCATATAAGAAAGCTTTTAGATGCTAAGATGAAGCTCTTTGTTTCCTACCAATTTACTCCTCAAGAGAATTTTTTCCTGGCTATCGATGGCCAGGGAAAACTTTCGGAAGTGGGCTTGTTTCTATTTCCATCTTTGAAGTTTTTGGCTTATGAGGCAAAATGGTGAGTATTAATGCTGTAGGAATAACGTAAGATAGGATTATTGAATACAACTCTTGCCAGGCTTTCAGATAGTAGGAACATCACAAAAACATGTTAGGTGAAAATAAGCAGTTTCTTATGTGCAGCACGGTGTACCTCTGCACTGCACAACAGGCTACAGTTGTATGTTGAATACAGGCAAAGCTCTCATGGTGAAACCTTGACTAACCTGCCTACTGAACAATTTTTCTTTGTCATTTTAGTTTGTCAGCTTTACTGGGTACAGACCAACCAAGTGGAAGTGGGCAGGGATGGGACTTCTAACTTCCATGCAAGTTACCCGCCCCTCCCTACCTATGCCCACAAGCCATGACATGCATAAAGACACTAATACTAGGGGTGGTCACTCCTTGAGTTTGTTACGTCCCTAGGGATCCAACATGAAATTGAACTTGGGCCAGCCACCCATTAGCTTGGACCACAGACAGAAAATAAATCCTGATTAAGTCCATCTGCAAAAGATAACCAGCCCTCTAATACTCTTCTTGCTTATTTTGTAAGGTTCAATTACAAAACTGATCTTATTCACAACCTAACTGGCAGTGCAAGAATTATCCCTGTGTTTAACTACTCTCATATGGAAGGAAAGTCTGGAGCTGTAAAAAGTATTCAAATACCACCTCTGGAAGGTTAGTGTTGTCTTAAACTAAAAAAGTAAACGTTCTGTGGATTATATCTGAAATTCTGGCTGTAGCAAAGCTTGGTAATTTTTACCTGGTCTTCAGTTCACAGAATGGCGTTGCAACTGTTAAGTTTGCTGAAGAGGTTTTAACACAATAGTTTTCTGTCTGTGGTCCAAGCTAATGGAGATTTTACCACAAAAACGCGTTTTGAAGCTAGTCGAGTGGTTTTCTGGTCGCTGTCGTGCTATAAAGAGCTAAAACTTACCACAAACCTGTTTACAGGTCGTACACTTCGCGGCCTTCTGATCCAGATGCAAAATATCTTAAAGCAAACTATCAGCTTGCTACGGTGGCTCGTAGGGACAAAACACTTCCCAGATTCCAAAAACACGACCCAGAATCCAAAACACGTCCCAGAATCCAAAAACACGTCCCAGAATCCAAAACACGTGCCAGAATCCAAAAACACGTCCCAGAATCCAAAACACGTCCCAGAATCCAAAAACACGTCCCAGAATCCAAAACACGTCCCAGAATCCAAAAACATGTCCCAGACTCCGAAACACTTCCCAGAATCCAAAAACACGTCCCAGAATCCGAAACACTTCCCAAAATCCAAAACACTTCCCAGAATCCAAAAACACTTCCCAGAATCCAAAAACACTTCCCAGAATCCAAAACACTTCCCAGAATTCAAAAACACGTCCCAGAATCCGAAACACTTCCCAGAATCCAAAAACACGTCCCAGAATCCGAAACACTTCCCAGAATCCAAAAAAGCTTCCCAGAATCCAAAACACGTCCCAGAATCCAAAAACACGACCCAGAATCCAAAAACACGTCCCAGAATCCAAAACACGTCCCAGAATCCAAAAACACTTCCCAGAATCCAAAACACTTCCCAGAATCCAAAAACACGTCCCAGAATCTGAAACACTTCCCAGAATCCAAAAACACGTCCCAGAATCAAAACACGTTCAGAATCCAAAAACATGTCCCAGACTCGAAACACTTCCAGAATCCAAAAACACGTCCCAGAATCGAAACACTTCCCAAAATCCAAAACACTTCCCAGAATCCAAAAACACTTCCCAGAATCCAAAACACTTCCCAGAATTCAAAAACACGTCCCAGAATCCGAAACACTTCCCAGAATCCAAAAACACGTCCCAGAATCCGAAACACTTCCCAGAATCCAAAAACACTTCCCAGAATCCGAAACACTTCCCAGAATCCGAAACACTTCTCAGAATCCAAAAACACGACCCAGAATCCGAAACACCTCCCAGAGTCCAAAAACACGTCCCAGAATCCAAGGATCATGATTAATAGAAGCAACCTGTAGAAACATAATCCTTCTGGAATACCCATCGATCCAGCCACCTATGCAAAATCCAGAAAGAGCTAGCTTATCATATCCGTCAATGTGCCAAACTGCGTTTGGACCTGGGCATCTGTACTGCCTTCGTTCAAATCGTCTTTGTCTTCTTTGATTAACGCCATGTGGATCAATATTCTTTAAGAGTGATCTAACAGTATGCCTTCCAACCAAAAGATTATATTTCCGCCGTAGTCGTCTCGTCATAGTTCGATAACCAAGGAGTTTACCTGGACCATTCAGCTCCAAAGCAATTGGTTGGCGTATGTTGGCAAGTGGTGATTGATTGCCTTTTCTTCGCAATCCTAGCTTCTGGTTTATAAATTATTTAAATTGTCTTAAGAGTCCAGTGAATGCCATGATAAGCGGAAAGAAACATCAATATGGCTGTATATCGATGCCCCTGCCTCCAATACGCAGCTACGCATTCATCGACTGTATTGAAAGTTGCCGTGCAAATACAATCTGGTAATCCCACAATATCAACCACATTTTGAATCAATAATAATAATATTACTATAGCTGGTAATCTCATAATGATCCGTGTCAGGCAGCTTGACTTGACAACCAGGCCTCCTTTGATTGTAAGTGCATTCTGGGAACTGTTTTTTTTGGGAAGCACTTTTGGATTCTAGGAAGTGTTTTAGATTCTGGGATGTGTTTTGGATTCTGGGACGTGTTTTTGGATTCTGGGACGTGTTTTAGGATTCTGGGAAGTCGTTTGGATTCTGGGATGTGTTTTTGGATTCTGGGAAGTGTTTTTGGATTCTGGGAAGTGGTCTGGATTCTGAAACGTGTTTTTGGATTCAGGGAAGTGTTTTGCATTCTGGGAAGTGTTTTTGGATTCTGGGAAGTGTTTTGGATTCTGGGAAGTGTTTTTGGATTCTGGGAAGTGTTTTGGATTCTGGGAAGTGGTTTTGGATTCTGGGAAGTGTTTTGGATTCTGGGAAGTGTTTTTGGATTCTGGGACGTGTTTTTGGATTCTGGGAAGTGTTTTTGGATTCTGGGACGTGTTTTGGTTTCTGGGAAGTGTTTTTGGATTCTGGGACGTGTTTTGGTTTCTGGGAAGTGTTTTTGGATTCTGGGACGTGTTTTGGTTTCTGGGAAGTGTTTTTGGATTCTGGGACTTGTTTTGGTTTCTGGGAAGTGTTTTTGGATTCTGGGACGTGTTTTGGTTTCTGGGAAGTGTTTTTGGATTCTGGGACGTGTTTGGATTCTGGGAAGTGTTTTGTCCTTATGAGCCACCGTAGCTTGCGATGTTCGGGCATGCGCAGAAAGCAAAATTTCGCTTTCTCTCCTCCCCTCTTTTTTCACTTTTCTTGCCTTATTTTTTTTTTCTCTTGCTGGGCATTTAGTAGGCTTCATTTTGGTGGGAAGAGTTTTTAGGAAAGCTTTTGGGATCTTAGGATTAGGTGAAAGGAAAGGTTGGTGAGCAATGGAACAAGATTTTCATGCAGATTTTCAGGTCAATGTCACATGGTTTTTTGCTTCTTTCTCCGGTGTTCGTCGACTGAATTGTGCTCATTCTGATATGGTTTGAAAGATCTCTTCACTCTGCACAAGTTAGCGAAGAAAGTTGTCCTTGACCGTTAAAACTGATGACGTCACAAGGGGTAGAAAGGCCGTGGATCCGCACGGGCGGTTACAGGCGGTTCAGGGGCGAATGGGTTAATAAACTTATTACGTGGACATGTGTGCTTTGCGAAGTGAGTCTAACTTTTGAGTCTGTGGATGAAATTCTATACCTTGGGTTTCAGGGCATATTTTTTTCTTATCGATACTGATGGTTCGCTCATTTTGAGAACAGACCTCCGGAGCCAGGGTAGAAATTCTATGGTGTGACCATTCAAATGAAACCTCTTCGGCAGTACATTCACATGGTGCTATTTGTTTAGTATGTAGTTCTAACTTTTGAGTCTGTGAAGGAAATCCTTTGGTGTGACCAAGACGTTTCTTTTGGGTCCATGACTATAGTCTGAACGTTAAACGTTGGTTACTTAATCAAATTACTCATTAATACTGTGTCTTTCTTAATATAGAGCTGCAACTATACAGGAACGTGGAGTTGGATATGGCCTTACACTGCCCTGGCAAAAGTGATTATTCCTGTCCTCATTGGGATCATCTTGTACGTTTAACGGTGTGTTGTGATAAGGAAAATCCACTTTGTGGTGAGGAGTTGGGACGATGGATAACACCATACAGAAGGTCAGTAGACAGGACTTACAAGACAGACAAAAGGGGCGTTACCATCCGACAACGGCGACGTCCATTAAAAGGTCGCTGAAAATTAGACTCCCCATCCCATTCTTTGGAACCATTTCGTGATTATTCCAAGTTGCCCAGGTACTAAAAAGAAGGGAATTTATGTTGGAGCTGAAGCCAGGGGCCTGTGCCCGAGTTCAGGCAGAGATGGTAGGATTTATCGCCTTTCGGTTTCCGTCCTCAAGAAAACTTACAATTTGGTCATTTCACGTCGTAGTCGTGCAGAAACGGCAAAGAAATGTGCAAACCTGATAATAAACAACTGCGAGTTTTTTGAACGGCTTCAAAGTCTCTGATATAGATCAACTCATTCTTGCACTAATATTTAGATTTGGGGTTATTTTGGTGTAAAACATTGGACAAAAAGTTTAGCCGTGTCTTTATCAGATATAAAGTCACTCATTAACATTTTAAAACTTCTTTTTGTTTTTTGTTTATGAATTATTAATAAGAGTTTGAATTTCGTCTTGAAGTCTAAGTTATTATCAGCAGCGTTATGTCTGATTTCTTTTTCCTCATGTTATTTAACAGATCTGTAGGACGTTGGTTGACGAACATTACACCTCTGCTCCCTCTATTTACCTCTGAAAACTGTACTTTACAAATGAAGCATCCTTTTTGGGAGAGAGCCTGGAAGCCGTCTCTTAATATCAGACTGTCCGATCACATCAAATGTAAGTATGAATTATTAAGAGGGTCTACTCAGCCAGGCAGTTGCTTATATGGAACAGGGACAATCGTCGAGGAAGAGCCAGGGGACCGATATTCCATATAAAGGCCTATACGGGGAGGCTCCGCCCGAAAAGGGTGACTGGTGCAGACTTCAGGCATTTATAAAGGGGGAGGGTTTTTAGTTGAAGTATATGAAGAGGGTTGTGAAATCATTTAGATATTTAAAAGGGTCTTTAATGAAAACATTTCGAACAGATAAACCTTAAATGATATATTAAGGGATAAGGGGTTGGACCTTGGGGACAAACCCATCCGTGTGGAACTTTGCCCCTACCCCAGGTAAGGATAACCTCGTGATCTTCCTTCAGGTGTCGTAATGGCTACCTGTAAGCAGTGTATGGATGCATTGTATGTATGTATGTATGTATGTAAATGTAGATCAATTGAGTTCAACACGGCGGTAGCATGACGTTTGGAAAGGGTCTTACTTTGCCTTTTTCGTTTTCAGCCGTTATATTTCTCGAACGTTTTAACCATAACTTTGGTTAAACCCTTTTTTCGAAACATCAAAGCAATATTAAAGCTTCTTTCCAACAATTGAACGCACATTATTAACTGGGAAAACTATCCTTTGACCCTTTTTTTAGTTTCAAAACACCAATACAGTGGAAAGCGCGAAGATGAATACAATGTTCCTTACAAGGTCATCAAGCTCTTCAGGGGAGGAAAATTCGATAAAAACTATAACAACAACAAGAAATACTCCCGTATGCATACGTTCAGAATACCTGCAGAAACAGAACGCGTCAAACTTGTAGCGACAATCAGCGGCCACGGCAGCGATAATAATGGCTGTGCAGAATTCTGCGTGACATCGCATCACTTTATCGTCAATGGTCATTCAAATGACAGAGTGTTCAAAAACGCGGCCACGGCCATGGGGTGTGCTAACAGAGTCAGCGAAGGCGCAGTGCCGAATGAGCACGGTACGTGGCTTTACGGGCGGGACGGCTGGTGCTGCGGAATGGATGTGGTGCCATGGGTGGTAGATATCACCGATCAAGTTGAAATTGGAGGAAGAGAAAACAAAGTGAGATACGTCGGTTTGTTTAATGGTAAAGCCCCTAATCCTACCAGAGATCCGGGAAGTATCGAGCTGAGGTCATATTTGGTTTATTACAAATCTGTGGAAGACCAGTTCTCTGGTGGTCCTTGAGGAATGGTAAAGGAATGGTAGATATCACCGTGCCTGGGTATGGTGTATTATAGATCCACAAAGGATCGGATAATTATATGACAGTCCTTAAGGAAACAAGTTTCGTTATTGTTCGGTTGAATAAGACCGATCCTTAAGTTTAGATTTAACTACGAGATCGAGTAGTGGTACAAAGTCATTGGCGCAGGACCCAAGCCCGCCTCCAGGGCTTTACATTTAAGATTTAGCCATGTATTTAAGAGTGTGCTCTATTGATCGTATTCCAGAATAAGAATTCGCAGAAATCTGAGACAAATCTCTCCAACCAAAAATTTTGAAATGCGACATTCGCTTTAATATTCATTTCTACCGAATTGCTGGATTTAACCATTTCTTATCCCGAAATACGCGTCAATCGAAAGCTCCCCAACAATTCAATTGATATTTTGAATATCAAATGTTCCTACTAGGCGCATGAAAAAAAGTTTAGAAAACTATTTTTCCCCATGTACAGTATTCTTTGGGAAGTAAATTTAAGACACTCTTTGATATCGTTACTACAATTTGGTTTATATTTATTACCAGATTCCATGTAAAATAGTTTTCTAACAGTTTTTATAAACATCGTTTGGACAAAGTGTTACCAAAAACCAATTGTAACATATTTATTGGTTTGATCCTAAGATTCATATTATAAGGAGATCGATATAATCGTTACGCTGAGTGTAGACCTGATTAGGACTGTTGACGACGGTTAGAAAACCTGTACTAGCGAATTCATCCGCATCATAGTCACCAGGGAGTTTAAGGCTATGTTGACACTATACTGGATGGCTTTTGCGCCGACACGAAAACCATACGGGATAGGGTTTCAGTTTACACATAAGAGCGGCGATTTAGGCGCGATTTCTCTAACGGTGCGAAGCTGCGTCGCGCCGATAAAGTGGAGAGTCACATATCGGATAGGGGTTCACACTGTATCGGAAAGCTTCTCGTGTTGGCACGAAAAGCTATCCATTGTAGCGTGAATATAGCTTAATTTGTCACGAGGGCGAAAGCAACGAGAACGTCAAAAGAGCAATTGATTGAAAAGGCATAACAACAACGTGCGTCACCCTTTTTGGTACATTTCTTTGCCGTTACTGGACGATTACGTTGAAGTTGAAGTTTCCTAATTTCACGTTTTCTGGAAGACATAAACGTAAACCAATGAAGACAAATTTTTATTTCTCTTTCTGAATTTTGCCGGATATGGTTCTTAGGAATTCAAGTCCATTAGAGGTCGCCTACATTTGACAATTGATCGAGACTGAATAATCGCGATCAAGTATGATCGAACGTGAAATCTTTTCTAAGTGATGTTTTCGCCGCCTTCGCTGTCGTGATATCTCCCCAGTATCATTTTCTAACCTGAAGATGAATTCATAATCAACTCTGATTGTGCTGTTTCGTCGAAACGTCAGTCCCCGTCACTAATACATGTTCTGCATCGTAAAGCCGTTCGCGCTAATTCTGATCACAAAACCAGGGCCATTCCTTGGGACTGCCCAAATTTATTTCGTAAATACATCACCCATTCAGATTGTACGAAGAACGATCCATCCTCATTTTAAATATCTGAGGCATGGTTGACAACTTCGTTTCCCTAAAATATTTATCGCAAGGCTATTTATTGAATTACAAATCTGTACAGTATTTTTGTATTATTGTACATTAATAAGTTGTATATCACCTGCACTGTCAATCAGCTGAAGAATGAATTCTTTACACATGACCGTAATACTTAAAAGGGAAACACCCATGTCATTCTTTTGTTTTTTTTTCTGTTTAATTCAGTAACTATTCTCCGCGCATCCTCCGGGGAGGATGTGAGAAGAGCATGGAGATCAAATGTATCCTAGGTCTACCTCGACGTCTCTCAAAGCGGAAGATCTACTTTAGTAAGAATGAGGTCTTTCTTATTAATTGTGAGTAGAGGGAGAGGGATCTTTCAGTAGAGCTTTACAGTCCGAGATTGATGTACAAGTGGACCTTACAACAGAAAAATATACATTTAAACAGGGGCACCCAACGAGGATATCATTCAAAACCACTCAACATAGCATTGTTGAACGTAGTTTAGTATTTAAACTGTAGATATAGGCATATATATATTTATCCCCTAAAAACTTTTCATCTGTTCGGATTTCCTAGCTGAAAGTCAAGTGATCCGAAAATTATAGGGATAAAAACTTAGCTTCTCGAAAATTTCAGCCAGGAAAAGGCTCCCGAAAATTCTAGGCGGCCTTTTTTAGGGTCAAAATCCGTTAAAAATGGGCAATTAACCATTTTGTATATGTTCGAAAATCCTAGGAGAGGCAGGCAAGCAAGAAATTTTACAACAAATGTTCCGAAAATTCTAGATCTCAAATCGTCTTCCGAACAGATATTTTCCGAAAATTGCCGCTGGGTGCCCCTGATTTAAATACATAATAACTACAACTTATAATAATCAGATATAATAGAACCTCAATGAGCACTAGAAGAAAAATAAACAATTAACTATTATTAAACAATTTTTAAAAATAGGATTATTAAGAAATGTAGGTATAATCGTTGTCTTTATACTGTTCATCAAGAGTATTAAAATGATTCTCTCTAAAAGTCTTCCTTGTACTGTCGTTTACGGAATTACGCTAGCCGCTCTGATAGTGCAAGAGTGCAGTTTGTTTCGCAACTTTCAAAATCTTGTAATATCGGTAGCGTCCCCGGGGTTCACGTATCCTTCACGAAGACCTAACATATGGGTTGTCAGTAAAACGCAGGGTTGGGGCCTATCTTTTTTTGTAAAAGAATGCTGTTTTAGGGTTAGGGTTAGTGTCAACCCTAAAACAGCATTCTTTAAAAAAGATAGGCCCCAGCCCCGCGTTTTACTGACAACGCAACATTTGCCCATTTCATTTGACCTACGATCGACAAAATGATTACATGTTTGTGGACATCTCCAGGAAAAGCAACTTTCTTTAACACGATTACATAACATGTAACGAAGATATGAAGATATACTTTCAAAGCATTTGTAGATTTAAAGAATTGAGCCGACTATACGATTTTGTGGTTCAATTTCATCCTTGCTTTAAACTTTATTTCCCTTACTTAAAACTTCTTACCTGAAAACAAAGGAAAATAAAATTTAAAGCAAGAACAGAACTGAACCGCAACAGATAAAAAATCAAAAGTGCAACTATTTATCCATTCAAGTTCAAATCTCTTCTGACACACTTCACGTCACTAAATATTATCGCAGCCTTGGTGACCTCTACTTTCGTAAGTAAGTTTAGAATTCACACAGTGTTTTTATAAAATCCATCATAAGTGTTAAAACTCCTGAGATTAATTTGAAACACTAAAACTTCATTTACAGTGCTTGAAAATTATTGAACAATTAAATATCAGTCATCTCGAATGAGGTTAATTTCTTTGTCCGTCCTCGTCGAAAATTTGAGACCATTATACTCAAGTATTTTTTCTTTGACTATTTTTACTCTTTCCTTCAGATCCAATACGTCAATAACCGTGTAAGGAATGGCGTTGTCACGTAGGATCGTTTCCATCTTGTCAGTGTAGTCCAGTAACTCGTCCATCTTCGGAACGAGGCGAATGTTGTCGGTCTGTACGCATTCTGAGAAGGGTCGAACCACGAAAACTAGCGAGTTCTTATATCTGTATGATGAAGAAACAATGGAGAAATAAGCTCTTTACAACAGCAAAAGCCAGTCTAAAAACAATTAATATTTTAACCGATTAAAAAGCTGAAAGTCTTTTTGAAGTTGACTGGCTGGTGAGAAAACAGAAGCACAGCGAAACGTCAAAGTACAATGACACCTGGTTGATACGGACACCAAGGGACATGCAGTGGTGTCCGTATCATTAAGCAGACTGTCAGAAAAAACCTAGCCTGCGAAAACAGCCGTTTCTCCTCGCTCTTCGCTGCTGAAGACGTTTCGCGGACGTTTCTCCGCGCGAAACGTCCACAGCGGCGAAGAGCGAGGAGAAACGGCTGTTTTCGCAGGCTAAAAAAACCGCCACGGACGCATGTTTCATCAATTTTAAGACTAACGCAGGCGTGTTTACCAGAAAACGTTGTTTGATTTCCTAGCAGTAACTGTGAAACCCCGCACAAACGAATGCAACACAGTTGGGCAACGACTCCCAACACTGTTGGATGTTACATGTTGCGTCCCGTTGCACACCCTGTTGCATGTTGTTGCGCAAAGTTTGAAACCGGTCAAACTTTTGGGCGAACAACTCCCAACATTTCTTTTGCTCCGTAATCGCCGAAGCGTAGCGCAACAATGTTGGATCCGTTTACTCAGCTTGAGGCCACGCACACGGCGCATTACACATGGTCTCCTTGGAGTTTACAAAATTTTATGGTTTGTATCTTTCCACGACCCACTGCAGGTCCCAACAATGTTGGGGGTTGTTGCATCTGTTTGCACGTAGCTTAACAAGTTCATCCTTAAGAACATATCATAGTCTCAGATTAAAACTTACTTTCGAGTATTTTTGTTGAAATCCAACAATGAAATCCGTGACTTTACTTTGTACTCACGGTTTTAGTTTGCAACTCAGCCAGATGGAATGAACATTAGACAGAACCTTTGAAAGGTCATTCAATGTTTCTGTTAGGTTTCCAATGATAAGATACTCAGTCATAGACAGTGCGCGGAGCAGAACCAGCGTCCGTAGGGAGAGGTTGACGAAACATGAGAATTTGTTACTTGGGACACAGATTCGAGTCCGTATTAACCGGTGTCCGTATAAAGCGATTTAATTTTAGAGAAAATATATGAGGTTTCCGTCGGGAAAAACGAAACTGTTCCAATGTAGTACTTTTCCTTGAAACGTAGCTCAAAGCTCTTCCACGGCAGCCCCGACTGATGAAAAATTCTTTCCTAAGTAGTCAACATTGTTTCAGGGCAGTCGCAATGGAACATACTTTTTTAGTTTGTCGGTGCGTTTTTTAAGCAATCGATGTGGACTACAGCAGAGGGCCATTTCCGAAAAGCCCCAAGCCTCTGTTTCGGGGCGAGGCTAGGTGCGAAGTCCGAATGATGCGAAAATGATTTGTTATTCTCACCCAAAGAAAACTCACTTTCACAAGAAGGCTTTTACGCTTAGCCTCTTTTGTAAGTGAAAATTTTACGAACTCGGAATTGGCCTATTCACACCGAAGAATGTTCAGCCCGTTCATTAACAATGTCAATGTCAGTGCTACATGAGAAAATAAAAAATGCAATCCGACTTTGACAAAATGCCGAATGACATCCATGATTTCCGTCAGAACAACAGTAGCATAAGAAATGTTGACTAGACATACCTAACCTTTCTCTAATTTTCGATATATTAGAATTCATACTTGGCTCCGAGGCTTGGGGGAATAAAACAAAAGAAATGTGTTATTCATTGTTGAGCCTCAAGATGATTTCTTTTGGTTTATTTCCGCAAGCCTCGCAGCCAAGTATGAATTTTAATATATCGAAATTGGTCTATTCAGCCAAACGCCACGCCACTCAACTTAAAACATTTAAAATTAGTAATGTAGACAACCAGTGCAAGACCATGGCAAGTCCGTTTACACTACATAACTGATCCAGACGAAGCGCATCTGAGAAGTAGTCTCAATATTTTGACTGTTTTGGTTTAACCAAGGAGACTGTCGCAAGACCAGAATTCGTATAGATATCATGGTCACCACTATCAGTGTTACTCAATTTAAAATGTAAAATAAACATGCTTAGTTTTACATCTAGCCGGAATAAACTGAGGAAACACGAAACTGCAACAATTTCACTTCGCAACAAGAGATCTTGGTCGCTTCTTGATAAACAGTAATCGGACTTATATTTTTGGAGAGAAGGCTAGGGATTATACAACCTCTCTCAATGTTGTTTTTGCTTTCTCTTAAAATCGTCGCTCACCCCGTCCGTCACTCAGTTTGAGTGGCGCAAATTTTCACCGAGTTTCGCGAGGGTTTGTCAGGCATTTTTTTGAGTATACAGTACAAAAAAGTTGTAGGTTCTAAACATGACAATTTTATTGGCTTATAACAGAAACTTGCGATCACTATTACGAATGTTTTGCCAGTAACAATAGAGAGAACAGTCAAGCAAGTTTTTGTTTTGGGTTTTCCGGTTCGTTTGAGTTTCCGTTTCAAAACTTTGTTGTACAGATTGGAATATACAATCATACAGACACTCGCCTTGATTCACTGTGATATGTTACCGGAGGACGCTCGTAGATGTTGCTGATTGTGAAGCAAGTTTTCTTCAACCTGAAATTATTTTCTTAAATTTTGATCCTTGTCGGTAATTTTGACTCGGTTTTTAAGCACACTCTAAGACAGCATTGGCACGCGTCCGGACAAATTTCGGATCCGTGCAAGTTTGGACGAGGTCTTTTAATAGTATTAAAAGACTGTGTTTTTCTCTCTCGTTACATCTGTAAGTAGCGAATAGTCCTGGTTTAGTGGAAGTACAATTTATTTTAAGCGTACTGTAGGCTATAATTAGTTCAGTTTCGCCTGAGAGAAGTCAAAGAAAAAAACCAAACCGACTCACCTGTTTATGCATTCTTGTGAAGACGGCAAATTTAACAGTCTTTTCATGCTATCTTTGCCGAGGTAAACCAATGCATAAACCAAAGGATCTATTCCCCTGTCCGCTATGTACGATCTTCCAACCCTTGAATTTTGCTTTTCAGCTTCACACTGTGCTTCTAATATCTTTATTTGTAGCTCTTCGAACTTAGCAGGGTTAATCCTCGGATCAAAGTCTTCTCGTCGTAGATTTAAATCCTTGATGACTTTTCTCGCTACTTCAGCCTGCTTATGAATATTCGGCAACTCCTTTCCCACTTCATCCACCAACGTAGTTTTACCGACACTATGAGCTCCACAGATAAACACACGGAGCATTTTTGCACCGAACATATATATGTTTTTTTTCAAATGGTCCCTCGAACGCGTCGCTATGGTCTTATCGAACAATATCGATCCCTAAAACGAAACAACGTATTAAAAATCTCTCGTGCGTTCTCAGCCGTTTCTTGGATATCCACCTGACAAAGTTCGCCAAGAAAATAGCTTCCTATTCAACATAAAAAACCAAAATTCAAAACTCCAAAGCGAAAACTCTTTTCACATGCAAACTCCGTGAAGGATTACGTTGGGGTTTTCACTTGACGCTTGAGTAAGTTGATGAAATGACACAAAGCTCGTTAAATATGCAAAAACAAATTTGTTTCCCTTTAAACTTCACACCCACCTAGAGGGGACTTTAGGATAATCCACAATATGATTTTAGAATCTTCAAAGCGGAATACATTAACTTAGAGCAAAACATGTATTTACAGCCAAAGTTTTTTAAAAGAATTATCTCAAAGTATTGTAATAACACTTGCATTGAATGAGTGATGCAACATCCCCAGCCCACCCCTCCATCGGAGTTAAACCATCATGTGATTTCGGGGAAATTACCTGAGCCAAGAGACAAATTCTGAGAAGAGAAACAAGAAAAATCTCGTCCGAATCTTGTCAATCTTTTCTTGAAGTAAAACAGCATTGCTGCACGAATAAATTTCTCTTCGGCGCTGTGCTAAAATTTCATGTGGCTTCCTCTCATCAGTTAACAAAGAACAACCAAGGATCCATTAACTTCCGCCTTGTGAATACGACAGCAGAGAAGGAACTATTGATGTCAACATCCTTTTGAGGTAACAATGTATACCGAAATCGGTTTGAAGAATAGTTTGTTAGGTACTTATTGGAGAGGTTCCTTGCTCTGTTTGCTAAACCTATTTCCTACGATACGAATCATACCACAGGCAAAGCATACTCTACTTTAATTTGAAGCAAACGACTCCCATAGAATTTGAGCCGGCCGTGGTAATTCAAGAAAATTACTATAACCTGCTTTAACGTAAGACTTCGATCCAGCAACTTCATGTATATGTCTTTTTTTTCCTGCGGAGACACAGGCACTCATCAACAACTCTATGAAAGGATGCAGACAAACTATTATGAATTTTAATTGATTAAAAAACGAATAAATCATATTTGACTTTATATTTTTTGTACGATCGAAACCATTTCAGTTATCAAAAAAGTGTTAGAGAAAGTCAAGCTTTAAAGAGGCTTTGGCTTTCTTGATATTTCTATCTCTTCTCTCGGTTACGAACTGTCTACACTGGGGTATTAAAGCTCTACGTTTGCTTGGGTACAGAACACACTAAAACCAAGGACCATGACCGATCACTCAAAGCCAGTTAAAACACAGAATCATAGAAGTGATGGTGAAAATTTGCTAAATATGCGATGTATGATAATATCAAACCAGACTGGAATTGCAGCATTGAAAACACACTTTGTATAGTGCAAATGCTCGAATTAGCGAGTCGAGGGAGGAGGCACTAATTCGAAAGTTTCAACTTTCCGGGTCCAAAAAAAAAATTACCTCGCGAGCAGATCAGGTTTCTCTCTTGCATGGCTTTTAGCGTTCACGAAGTCGTTCGCGTACCTAGTCAGTCGCCTACGTAGTTAGTTCGTTTTTTCGCCACGGGAAACAAACAAACCAACTATGAGACTGACAAGCGACGCGAACGACTTCGTAAACGCTAATGCAATGCAAGAAAAAACCTCAGCTCCCAGGGTAAGAAAAACGTCTTCGTCTCCTGTCTCAGAACTCTCACGGTAAACCAGAACATATTTGTGAGACGAAAATTCTCTTAAAAGTTCTGTTTCCTGTTAGGTACTCTTGGTTGTGGTTTGCCTAAGTGCCTTTCCAGGCCTCCTCGGACAAAGCATTTCGGTGACGTATCCACGAGGAACGAACGAAGGGACTAGTATTTAGTTCTTATATCTCCACAGTTTAATAAGTTTACAGAATTTGAAACGAATAATGTAGGAAATAAAGAAAAATGGGAAAAATAGTAGAACTAATACTGAGCACTAATAGTTGAAAAAAAATATATATTTTTTAATTTAGTGGACGCAAAAGGAGAAATGTGAATGCTAGCAATGAAATTTAAGCTGGTTCCGCGGCACTAAAAAAAGCAGCCATCTTTGTTAGACATTGGCCAAACTTGTGAGCGATTTCTTTTTTCCTGGGAGATGGTTTGGGCAGCATGGCTAATTGGATATTTTTAGCCTCAAGGGGGCTGTTTTGAAGGCGGTCTTCTTTCCACCATTATGGTATGACTTTTTCTTACCACATGCCACTTAAACTTGCAATTGTTCTGTGTTAACATTTCTGATAACGATTTGAATAATGGAAGATTTACCGTCTACAATTTTTTTAACCCCAACAGGCGCCTTGAAACCACAAATGGGATTCAAAGAGATCCAAGATGACGAAAAAGGTCGCCCCTTGATTTATTTTGGAAGAAAGGAAGCAGGTTTGCAGTCGGATAAAGTCAAGGTGAAAACTATAGCAGTTGACATAACAAGACGAGACGATAAAACCTATGAATGGAAGGACTTTAAGGTCGAAGTCAGGGATGGTTCTCTCAACAGCATGTGCCCTCTGTATCGCGATTACGATCCAGTAAATTTTCTTATAGTTCATTTTAGTCCTGCCACCCCCTTTGATGCAATAATGATGTTTCTAAAGGATGGAGTCATCCTAAGATTCAAGAATCCTGCCCAAGAACGTTACGTATTCTTTGGCCATAGTGCGAGTCAGCTCAGAGAAAGAACTTGCGTTCTGTATAATGAGAAACAAGGGAGCGTTGAAGAAATTTTAGCCCATTTCGGTGAATTTGACAAGATTCAAGATGTTGCCAAGAGAGCAGCTAGAATAGGATTGCTTTTCTCAACGGCGAAGGTTGCCTGTTGCGTTCCAGACGAAAACATAAATGTCGTGGCTGATGTTGAACGAGACAAGTACAACTTCACGGATGGGTGTGGCTTTATTTCAACAGAGTGTGCACAGCAGGTTACCCATAAATTAGATATTGAGAATGTGTATGAGGGCATTAAAAGACCTCAGATACCGTCTGTGTTCCAGATTCGCATTAAGGGCTGCAAAGGGGTGTTGTGTCACAATCCTAATTTGGAAGAAGGACTGGAAATCCGTCCTTCAATGGAGAAGTTCACATGGAAACGTATGGGACCACATCCCCTTGGGATTGTAGACAAGGGATTTTCAAGGCCAAACGAATTTGGCTCGTTAAATAAACAGTATATATTGCTCTTGTCGGCTCTTGGTATTCCGGATAACGTTTTTCTGCAAAAACAAGAGCAGTACTTCAAGGAACTTAAAGATATCACAACAAAGCCTGATGTGGCCGTTAAGTATTTATGCGTAAGTGGAGAATTTGAGCTGGCAGAGCAGCTCTTGAAGACTGGTCGAATAAATGAGAAGATAAAGAAATCGCTTGAGCATTTTCGCAATCGAGTGCGTGAGCCCCAGCAATCCAAATCAAATCCTTTGCATAAAGCTGGAAAGTCTGCTGCTCTAAAGTTGAAGATTCCCATTGAGCAGTCTAGAAATGTTTATGGTGTATGTGATCCGTCAGGCACACTGAAACCCAAGACGGTTTTCTTCCAGCCAACAATTCGAGGCAGCCCCATCATTCTTAATGACATGAAAGTGGTGGTTGCCAAAAATCCCTGTTACCATCCAGGAGACATCAGAGTTTTGCAATGTACTGACGTTCCTGAATGTCACCATCTGGTGGACTGTATTGTTTTTCCAACTCAGGGAAGGAGGCCTCATGCTGATGAAATTGCTGGAAGTGATCTCGACGGTGACAAGTTCTTCGTTTGTTGGGACAACGATCTTGTTCCGAAGAGGGACATGAGCCCTTGTCAATATCCAGCAGCGAAGCCGTTCAAACGAAGCAGCCCCTCAAGGGAGGACTTCCTAAAATACTTTGCGAGGTATAACAACACCACCGTGGGCAAACTTGATAATCTGTTTGGTAGGTGGGCTGATTCAAAAGGTATCAATTCAACAGAATGCAAGGCGGTTGCGGCTCTTTTTTCGCGTGCCATCGACGCGGCGAAGACAGGCGAGAGAGTTCGTATCCCCCTAAGTATTGACGACGCACCACGCAAGAATGACAACATGGAAAAGTTCGTTTGGCAGAAGCTCTACCAACGTGCAAAGTTATTTGAAAATGAGCAAATCATGGAAAATACGATTCTTGGAAAAGTGGAAAATTTTGAGGAAGAGGACATGCTAAACGTTATTTGTAACCAAGAATCTCGCCTCGGTGAATACCGACTGTTTAGATTTTTGTACAAATGGTGCCATCAACCCCATAAAGAAAAGGACATTTCTAATTACATCTCGCACATCGACTTTACCAAGTTCAGCGAGGAGCAGCGCAGATTGTTGCCAGCAGATATCCCGCGTGCTGAACTGAAGTCTCTTCTTCAACCTCTTTATCAGTCTAGAATTCTTTCAAGGGATGACATCGAGGTCTTTAAGCTTGAACGCAGTTATGAGAGGCGCTGGAATCTGGTATACAGAGCAGAGGATGGCAACATATCCTGGAACGTCCTTAACAATGTCCTCAACTCTCCTTTGGAAAAATTACTCGTGTTTGACTTTCTACTGGGAGGAATACAGTGGGTAATTTCCTTAACCCTGTGTGTACCTTTAGCATCTTCTGAAGTACTAACCTTAAGCGACGACGATGGAACCTCTCAGGCATTTGTCTCAGTAAACGTTCACTCAGGAGAAAGACATGTTTTAGAGCTAAAGGGAGGCTACAGTTTCGCTTTAGAAGGAAAACGACTTGACATTTACACCGGGAAGAAGCAAAATACATTCATCTGTCTCCGTGAAGATGAAAATGACCATGTTCCTATCATGAGTGTTGCCCTTGACCGATTCAAGTCAAACCTACCACGTAATTATGAAACACGTCTCCGAAGAGAGAAGTTTCTCCAGATGGAGATTTTCTGCGTCTATAACCACTTTGATCCCGGGCAAAAGATACGGAAGTTATTATCTCCGCATTCTGCTTGGGATTCCAATTCCGCTGCAGATGATTCGAGCCTGAAAGTCAACTCTGGAGGCGAAGAAAAACACAGCGAGTTTGTCGCCAGGAAAGGTGATTTCCCAGATCTCCAATGTGACCCTGACGAACTGGTTAGCGATTTGGAGAAAGTCTTTCTGAAACTGCATAAATTGTTGGAGAAAAGCCAGCTAAAAAGTGGTGATCTGGATGAAGTTCACGACCAAATGATGTCCTTAGTTGATGAGAAGGTAAATCTGCAGTTGCTTTAAATAGTAAGAAAGTCATTGCTACCTAATTATTGATTTATAGAGTATGATGATATCACTGAGTACCAGACAGATCATCCACGGATCCTGTTAGACGAATATCTTGCCTTAGCGGAATCCGTTGCCAGGAGTATTCCTGGTTAGCCAGTTATCTTTGTATGCACCTAATTCAATAATGATTGTTTTGGGCATCAAGCAATTGCACAACCGGAAGCTATTGTTCGGTGGTCGATCAAGCAAATCATTGTAATGAGTTCCTTATGCCCAAATGCCCAATTTCCAGTGACCCATTGCCACAGCAATCTTGGTTGAATTAGGTAATCATGCAACTTTGATCACACAGGTGTTTGAAAACCAGTAAGTGCTAAGTGATGTTCTCAAAATCATTGTCAGTCGTTTCACTTGTCCCCTTTTCGTTTTCTTAGGAAAAGCACCAGATAGCATGCCATTTGGAGTCAGTTCTGTGGCGGTCTGGCGTAAGCATATCATTTAAGACAACCGATCATTACAAGAATTTGCTGATATGCCTTTTAAACGGACTGCAAGAAATCAATGTCGATGTTGTCCTTGGAGAGACCGTACTCATAACACTTGTTGGGCGTGTAAGACGATACTTGGAGTCCCTGTGGAAGAGAGAAGTTAGGTTTACTGTGGACCAAATGTACGAGATCTCAGATGCCATTATTCTTGGAAATGATTACAACACTGGATGTCGCATCACTCAAGTGATTCGTGAAGGTATATTGCTTTAAAAAGAGTGAGTGACTATTAAGGACGTGTCGGAAGGATCCCATATCCATACGTTCCCTTCTTTACTAGGCCTACCTCACTTGCGCTCTCAAAGCCCTCTATCTTCATTTCGGCTCACCTCATTAAGGGCAAGGATTGACGCAAAATTGATCTGGCTTTGTTATGTTCTTTTACTTTCCCATCCCATGCCTCCACGAATAAAATACTACCTAAATAGTAGCAAAACAAGTGGGTAAACAAGACTATGTAACTGGTCAACGTCTCTTTCAGGTGATTTTCCGCTGGATGGTTTCATATGTCATCCAAATGCTTTGCCGTACTTCCTTCACTGGATCTCTCTTACAACTCTTGAGTCTCTAGAAGAGATTAAGCAGGCGGTCCTAGCGTCTCACAAAATGCACCCACGAGACTTTGTCAAGGCCGAAGCTTTGCCATCCAGTGAGGAGGGACTGTCTTTCACAATGTTGATTACAGCTGGATGCCCCTTCTTCCGCCCAGCAGATGGGGTAGCTCTGAGTCGATCAGGTGTCTCCAATCGTGAATTCGTAGGCGAAATAACGGAAATCAATGGAATGTTCTTGTCTATTACTGTAGTATGGCCAGTGAATGTAGACGAAGGGTCAGTGAAGGACATTGGCAATGGTACATGGTGCCTACATAAGTTTCCGAGTCTGGTAGGATACAAGCGCACTACCTCTGCTCTCAAATCATTTCAGGATATGACCTCATGCGGACAAAGTGTCTATGAAGAAATTGTTGGCACCTTTTGTATAAGCGCCCCTGCAAGTCCAACAGCACATGACGAGAGTGGAAATGTTGAGGAAGGAGTGAAAGAAGGTAACTGTTATAAGAACGTTCTTCTGTTTATCTTGGTTTACATACTATATATACGATACCTTCTTAGATGCCAACACTCCAAACACTGGGCACGGCTGTCGGTTGAGTTTTATCTAGCTCAAAGGGGCTCTGTCACGAGGATAGTGCTGTTTTAAGCCAATTCTGTGCTGAAGTCATTGCTGTTCTTAGTGCTTTTACCCACATATGCTCCTGGAGAGCTATGGAGATTATATCAAGCAATTCTCATCAGGGAGCACTTAATAAACCGTGATAATTCATTGCGGTGATTTTTGCCGGAATGGCATTAAGACTTGAAAAAGTTGGCCCAACTTTTTCAAGTTTCAATCCATGTCCATCCTCCCAATGTATCCGTTCCAACAGACGACAGGAAACAGTTTTAAAGCCTAAATATAGTCTTAAATAGTTAATTGATTAATTTATTAATTAATTATGTTTGGAATTCAACTGATGTATTTTAATAATTAATGCGAACGTACGTGTTAGCTTTTTAAAATGAAAGAGCCCCTTTAACAGCATAAGAGCGATGAATATGCGCAACATAATTCGAGACCATGTAATGTTACGTAACCTCTGTTCCCTGCCGATATAACATAGGAAGTTTTGTAGGTAAACAGAGAGAACTATCTAGTGAATGTCAGAGATTTTTGTAATGTTCCCAATGTATGTTTTTCGGTAACCTAAAACGAGTTGTTTTAGAGAAATACAGCGGAGGTCAGTATGTGGAGGCGGAGCCGATTTTGTGTAACTTATCTCTTAATCACCAGGTTCATTTAAGAGCGAGTCAATATTTAGCCGCTTTCCATTCTTCTTTTTAGCTTCAAATGGGATGCCTGGAGTACGAGCAGATAAGGGTGTATCAGAGTTGTCCAGTACTTTTCAGAGTTGGGCTTCAGGCAATGAAAGCCAAAATATTGCCGTCCAAGAAGCAACTAGACATGAGTCGGCAATAACTCTTATCCAGGGTCCCCCTGGCTCAGGCAAGACCGTCACATCTGCAGAGATCGTGCGCCGTTGGCTCTTAAGCAGCGATGACCAGGTCCTCCTCGTAGCTGAGACAAATGAGGGCGTCGACAATCTTTTGAAGAAGCTTTTAGTGCATGGCATACAGAAAGAAAACATTCTTCGTTTTGGAAGCTCAGGATGGAAAGTGGCCAAAGAACTTGAGGAGCTGACCTTCGAATCCAGGTACCGGGAACAAGTTTCTGACAACAAGGATCGAAAAAGAATCGATAAAAAGATTGCAAAAAAGATTATAGAGAGTTCCAAGGTTCTTTGCACTACCTGTATCAGCGCAGGGTCGGCGCTGCTTGAGGGGATTGTGTTTCGAAGAGTCTTGATCGATGAGGCGTCTCAAGCTACTGAGCCTGCCATCTTGGTGTCTCTCTCGCATGGCTGTCAAAAAGCTGTCTTAGTTGGTAGGTTTCACTCCATTTGATGAAATTGTCTGTTGCTAATCTTCGGCTTCTTTTTCGGTAATCATTTAATGAGTGTTCCAAACCTGGACTGTTTAACCTTTTTTCATCCAAATTGTCAGATATCCGTACACTTGAAGCTACTTGAGGCAACGTCGTACAAGCGAAAATAATCAACCTAGAGCTACTGACTAAAGTATTTAACGCTCACTTGAAGTAGGAGACCACCTTACCAGTTATCTTCCTTACTGGAAGCTTTTTATAGCGCCAAACCTGCAATCCAGTAGCTCGAGATCAACTCATGCCCTCTGGATTTGGTTTTCGGTTTTTCCAAGTCCAACTTGTAAGTTGGCCAACTGTTTCTCCTCCTGCCATTAAGGATTCCTAACCTTGTTATGCTTATTGAATCAATTGTTTCACGTATTTGCTTGGGCCCATTAGCCTTTGCGCTATAATGTAATATTTACTGTAACATGTATACTAGCTCTGATTTCCCTCTTTTTTTAGTCCCTATTCTTATTGAACTTATGTAGTATTTTTGAATAAGTGTGAATAAACTGAACTTGAACTTGAATAAACTAGAAATGCATTCCAAAGAAAACTGACGAACTCTACTGCATTTTCTTTCTAGGAGATGATCAGCAATTACCTCCCATGGTGCTAAGCGAGCTTGCCAAGGGTCCTGGTCTACTTTCAGAGCCCATGTTCTCTCGGTTACGAAAAGCAGGATTTCCAGTGCGCATGCTTGAGATACAGTACAGAATGCATCCATCCATAGCCTCTTTTCCTTCAACACAATTTTATGACGGAAGGCTTCGCAGTGGTGTGTCTGAAGAACAAAGAAAAGCTCCTGCAGGATTCGCTTGGCCAAATGTGAAGAAGCCTGTTGCTTTTCTTACCACGCCAAATTCTGCACAGGAGATGAGCAAGGCGTCGTCAAAATTGAATGATTTTGAAGCCGGGAAGGTCCGTCAAGTGATTCAGGATCTTCTGGATGCAGGCGACGTTACTGATAATGAGATCGGAGTTATCACACCATACAAAGCACAGCTGAAGCTTATCACAGATAAAATGAAAGGGCTTGCAAACGTTTCGGTTAGAACCGTAGACGGATTCCAGGGACAAGAACGTGACCTTATCGTCTTCTCCGCGGTTCGGTGCAACGAGCACGGATTTGTCGGTTTCCTTGACGACGCCAAGCGAATGAATGTTCTTCTGACGCGCGCGCGCAAAGGATTGATAGTCATTGGAAACAAACAGACTTTACAAGAGTGTGAGCTGTGGAATGATTGGATTCAGTGGGTAGAGAAGAATAAGCTTGAAAGTGAATGTACTCCAGATGGCGCCACAGGTAAATAAGCACTAGCTTGGTGGTTTTCAACTGTTCGTGGTATTATGAGAGGTGACCATGGGAAAGCACTTTTAAGTAGGATTCATTTGAGAGGTTACATATTAGTATCTCAGACAGAAACTGAATGCATTTCGAACCACCTTGAAAAGCAAAATATAACTTACGAAATAAAGCAGTCCTCAGTGGTTTTCATTGATTGATCACACAAATGGACTTTATCTCCAGACTTGTCAGTTGTAACAAAATAAAACCGCATTGCAGGCGAGTAAAGGTTCTCCCGTGGGATAAACACTTTCAGGAGATTTCTGTCGTGGTTCGAAGGTTGAAAAAGATCTTTTAATTTGATTTTTCCCCTTTTTTTAATTCCAGAAAAAGAAATTCCGGTGAGCAGCTCTGCAGAAAGAAGAGGCAGAGGCCGCGGTTTCTCACAAAGAGGACTGGAAAGAGGTCAACGCGGACGGAGAGGTGGCCGGGGGGGAGTAGCTCGCAACAGCCGGCGAACATGAGCCACAAAACAAAATGAGACATGATGTTTATAACGAGATCTTGCTGTTAATTCAAACTTCACGTTCTATGTTCTAAACAGCATAGGCAAGGGCATCACAAAATGGCGTCTATTGTCCAACTTGAGGTTGATACTGGGTCGTTGTAGTGTCCTATAGCTTTGTAGGACAGGTGGGATATGCCAGCACTTCGTTCGTTGGCTATTAGAGAGTGGCACAAGAGATTGTAACTTATTCTCACCACCTACAATACGGAGAGGTGGAAATGGTTGCTGTCCACAGGCTAGGTGTGGACAGTGGCACATTCACATGCGTTGATCATGAAGGCAGTGCACAGCGTCATGCCTGGGGGCTGGGAGGGTGGGTCGCTGACCGCCCTCCGAGATGTTATCAGACAATAGGGCACAATAGGAAGAATGGTGGTAATATATGCAACGCTACTAATTGTAGGATATCTATTGTTATGAGAATATTCTTGTTTTATTTCCGGTACTGAAAATGGGGTCCAAATTCGTCCGCCAAAATAGTCTTACATACAACTGGACAAAGAACCCGTTCAGTTGAAGGCTAAATCTTAAAATGCCAGTTGGCAAGAAGCATAATCGGGGAATCGAGGTAGAGCCAGCTTACAATGTAAACTGGAAAAAATGTCTCTGGAACTCATGGTACACTGAGAAAGTCCTTTTACAAAATAGCACGCATATTGTACTGTAACAATGGCTCACGCAAAAAAGACTGAAGATTTGGAAAAATAGGAATTGGATTTAGAATTTTTTCATCTTCTGGTCGACGCGGTCGTAAAAGTAAAATTAAACGGTGTAAATACTTTGATGTTTACGCAAAAACAAAGGCACTTTAGCATAGATAGCTAAAATAAAACACGCTGCCCATTTTGGATCTGAAAGTACAGGTAGCTCAAGGTCGGTAAAGAAATTTAAGCGAACGCTATTCATGAACACTATAGCAAACAGTATATTGCCTTACATTGTCTGCACGTTCACTTTCATCTATTGAGCAAAAACGCCAAGAAATCTCAAGAACGTGCAAGAAGTAAAACATCAGGAAAAGGTAATGTATTCTGCTATTTTAACTTCCAAATAACGATCGCTAAAAATTCCGATAAAACCCTTATAAGACAATCTTCAGATTGGGGTGACTGTGTTGAGAATACAAGACTGTTCTAACCACAATAGTTTTATTTTACCGTAAGCCATATCCAATATCCATAAAAATCAAGATACAAGGTCCTGTTCACCAAAATTGCTTTGTGCCTGCTACGTGGAAACGGGTTTCTCTTTCTACAGATCATGTTTTTAAACAGGTTGCTTGAAAAACAACCCTGAATGAATCATGTTTATGATAAAGACATATCTTTAATCTACCCTCGCTTTATTAGCATCATTTACATAATTAAATAAATTGTTTTGAAACAAATATTGGTATCTCTGTTTCTTGGTTGACTTGGTAAAAAATGCTCGCCGACTCATTATCGCTATCCTGACAAGTTGAGGGAACGTTGCCCTTTAATGTAGCAAACAAGTGTAACATATTTAATCTGACAAGATGAATTTCAGAACTGAGAATAACTTATTCCCCTGATAATTGAAAACAATTGAATTTATCTACTGATTTCTCAAAGACACTCGGCCTGGTGAAAACATATTTCTCATCATCTTGAGGAATTTTTACGTAAGCTTTTTGAACAATATCGCATTGAAAATTGTGGCCAACAATATTGAATATGTGTGGCAACTGACAGGTTGTTTTTCTTTTTCATTATTTTCCAATACTTTTTATTTTTATTGTAATTTGTTTTGTTACTTACTGACATATTTATTTACTTATTTATTCTTTTACTTTCTGCCGTGTATTAATGTTGTTAATTTGTTGTCAACATAAAATTTAAAAAAATCATCTTGAACTTGATATCAGGCATTATTGTTCGCTAAACTATTAAAAGTATAATCATACGTAAATAAATGATCAATTCAACCACATCTGCCACAAACACCACAATTGTGACTATGGTGCTATCAAAAACAATACGCCTTATTCAAAATCTGCGGCTGAAAAGTCATATCAGTTCAAGATGCAGGGTTGGCTGTCCAACCGAAAGCTACTGAGTAGTACCAGAACCATATAACACTGACGCCTTTAAATTCCCCTTATTTGTTTGGAATCATGCTGAGGGTTTTCAGCCGTCAAATCACAAGCACAGATATTTTTTTACTCAAATGTAAAATGAGAGAATTGAATGCATCCCTTTCGAAAAAATAGGTAATAAAGGATTTTTCAATCCTTAGCAGTCCTGCAAGTACGTCCATGACTCACTGGTACAACGGTCTTTAAACATTGCCCTTAATATTAAAATAGCGAACTTAGAAAACTATGAGGAAAAAATAAAGTCACGTAATGCTAACGTGTACACTTTTAAGCGCGCTGGCTTTCGTAAGGGCCGTAAGATTTTACGTCGTGATACTATAATTGCCGTTTGGAGCAGTTCGTTTACATCGCGGTACAAGGATTTCCTAAGAACTCGCGCGACAGTCAGTAATTCCATGTTGGGAAGTAAATTTTGATTGGTTCTCCAAAAAAACCCGCACTGGAACAGGGTTATACGCTTCAGGGTTACAATTATGCTTCTGGTAATACCACCTTTGCCGCTTTTAACAGTGACCTAAAGATTTCACTTTGAGTATGAGCCAGAGTACGACTTTAAAAATTTTTAGCTAACCGTATTCCCCGAATAATAGCCTGCAGGCGTTTTTTGGAAACTTGTTACAATTCGATCGCGTTGGCCCACCATTTTGGAAGCAAGTAAAAATGGACAGGAGAGGCGGGGGAAGGAAGAGAAAGAGAAAGGTATTTTCCCCTCTCCTTGAACCCATTGCACCCCTCTCCCACCTTGGAATCATTTTTGCCTCGCCACAACCTTCGGTCAGTTTCATCTTCCAAAATGGCGATAGAGTAACTCGCCCATCAAAACTACCGAAACTAAAACTCTTTCCTGATGGTCACTAGTACATTACATTGGTGTGGTAAGTAATTATACGAGCCAAATGAAGTTGGTTTGAAAACTTGTATTTGTATTCAATGTCGTACTCGCAGTCCAATCTTAAGGTCCCTAATTATACACTAAGGCAATAATAAATGTTGCCTGTTGTTACAGGGCTGTCACTTAAGGCTGGGGGTTGGGGATTCCCTCCAGCTACTAGATAACAAAGGGAAAATAAACCCAAAAGAACTTATTAGCGGTTTTATTCCCCGATTTCTAATTGCATTTATAAAATACCTAAGACAGTACGCGCGTTCTGATTGGTTAAAAACCTTCGGTTTATTGTGCCGGTAAACTCATAGAAAACTTAAAATTATTTTATAAAAGTAATGGACCACACTTTCCATGGGTTTACCGGCGTGACAACCCACTTGGGATGTTGGGAGAACACGAGAAAAGCTTGTCAATCACGAGCCGAAGGCGAGTGATTTACAAGCTTTTCTCGCATATGTGATGTAAAATCTTAGTGACAGCCTTGTCTATACGAAATACTTCTCTTCCTCAGTGAATCCCAGTGGAATTTCAAACAAAGTAACCATGCAAGGTATGATGGGAAGAGAGAAAATGCATTTCTAACCCGTCCCATTCTCCCTGGCCCCTTCCTTTCCCCCAACCTACCCTCCTAGTGGCACAAGGAGGCCCATGTAAAGGGAGAGAGATAAAATTGATTGAACTCTAAAGCCTGGGTTATTTGTTTACTATTTCAAAGACGGTAACACTAAAACCAGTGCTTGTGTTAAATCAAAACAATAAATATATATATTCTCAATTGAAATTTCCCTCTGTTTTCTATTCTACAAATATGCATTCATAAACATCTGAAAAGGGTGATATATATAGTTTTTTAGGGTAGCATCACACGGCTTGAAATGGATTAACACACAACCCAAGCCTGCGAACTAACTCTCTGTTTAAGAATATTGTGAGAGTTGAGAGGTCCTGCCAGGGGGGGAAGGGGGGGTCCCATGTCACCCATCTGAATTTTAAAACATCTCCTGTCAGTGTTTATAAATGCTTGTCGCTTATTGTAGGCTTTGCCGTCACTGTTGCAATTTGGCCGAGGGAGGTTGTCTCTTGTGGCAATTTCATTTTACACACTGTCGCGATTTCATATTATGCCATGTCGCTTGTCAGAATTTACCCTGGCAGGGCCTCAGTTGAGTGTCTCCTTCCTCCTACTGATTCTCATAATTTATGTAGACCCTGCTTGCAGGCTGAAAAGATCAATTCTCTAAACAATAAACAATGTTTCCCAAAAGGGAACAAAAATTTAACATTCTCTCTTTTTTCTAGGATGTAGACAAGAATCTCCAGAACAAATATATTATTTATCATTAATCTAGTTCATTGATGATGTTGTTGCTTTTTTTTTTTTCAAGATTCTTTCACTTTGCAACAGACCAATGAAATTTTGGAACAGTAGGTAGTCAAATTGAAAGCCCATTTAGGAGGAAAAATGTATTACAATTTCCTTGGGTTGGGTATGGTCACAATATTGTGAGCCTGCACGGCTTCTGAAGTAAAGGAGAGTTCCGCTTGTGGTGGGAAATTTTCTGGAGCAACAGATCAAATGCATTTACATTTTCTCAGAACTAATACTGTCTGTAACAAATACATGTAAACTTCATTAGAGTCTGCTTTGTTTGATTCATGGCTTTGCTGCTGGGGGTACTACGCAGACAGGACACTGCGAGTGGTGGACCACATAATCACTAACACTACCAAGTATTGTACGTCGAGCTGCGCTTTGTCCACGGTTTCCAGTGACGATGAGGTCAACTTTTCCATTAGAAGCTTCTGTACATATTACATTGCCAGCAGGTTTACCAACCACAAGAATAATTTGATAATGTAACTACATGTTAGAAAAGAAATGACAAAGTAGATCAGATGAGAGCTGTGTTACAAAGACCCATCCAAAATCAATTTGCCACAACATTTTCCCTCCAAATTGGTCTTACAAAAGGACAAATTTATACTCCCTATCAAATGAACCTGGCAGTTTATTTAGTTAAATGAAAAATTTAAGAAAAAGTTCACTGCCACAAGCTTAGCAGTCTCTGCGGATCAGCAGTCAAACTCCCAAGTGAAGGCTCACATGGAACAATGTTGCTTTACACAGCTAGGATTATTGAGTCTTTTTCTTGAGCGGTTTTTATAGCAGTTGTGTTTGTGCAGAGCAGTTTGAAGCAGTTGTGTTTAGCATTTCCCCACTCTCCCTTGGTACCCTTTATGTCTCCTTGCACTAATTAATTTTTTTTGTGTTTTTGTATTCTTCAGGGCAAAGCTAACAAAATAAAAATAAAATAAATAACAGGTGCCTGCAATGGGGGCCCATAGCTGAGTTGCGGGGATTTGCCAGCCACTGGGACGGAATCTATCTAGGGGCTGGTTGGCCTGGATACCTCAGACACCCAAATTCCATTTAGCAGGGCAGCTGGTTAATTTAAGCTAGCTCATTCCTCAGGTTGCTCTGTGCACTCAAAAAATAATATTATTGAGAACTTGAAAACCCTCAACTGATGAAATATGAAATACTAATGATTGATCATATTTAAATCAAATTATGGTTTACTACCTTAAGTGTTTTACATCTTTCCTCATATGCCCTCATCATCTCTTTCGCTTGTTCTCTTAACTCACCCACCATCTGGCTCCACTCTTCATAGTAAGCAAAGACAACTATGATAACAAGAAAATAGTACATTTTACACATTGTTTCATTCAATTTCAGCATTATCCTGAGATTAAAAATGATTTGAAATCAATCTTCCAGCTATATTTACTGGCCTTCTTCAGGAAAATTAAGAAAATAGCCACAGAAAAATCGCATGATGCTCTCTGTGACCATGGCTGGAGCCATTGACTCATAGACCTCAGTTAGGCCCAACTCTCTAAGCCAAAATCAAAATAACAATTTGGCAATCTTAGCTGGGAAATGTTCAAGTATTTACCATTAATTACATGTAACTTACAAGGTCCTGAGGAGTATGGAAGAGGAGGAATTTCAAAAGCATGAAGAACCAGTAATGAATCCTCCTTACAATATATGTTCTTCAAATAGACTGCAAATGATAAGAAAACATTATTAATAGTTGAAGGCATCGGTGGAACAAGGGCACATCTGACAAATATTTAGGGATTTTTTATTTACAAATACATTCTTTCTCAGAAAAGAAAGGCAAACCAATGGAAAAAATCGGTGAATTTTATTCTCCCGGTCAAAACAAGTCTATATGCAAAAGTCCAGCAATGTTTTTGAACCATTTCAAATTTAGACCAAATTAATTTTGTTATTCACCAGAAAAATACAATGTGAACAATAAAGACCAGGCTCCAGTTTTAAGTGAATTATTTTAAAATTAAGTGCACATTTTTTTAACCATAATAATAATTAAATAATAATAATTAAAAATTTATAACGCGCCTTTTCCATGCAAATATGATCAAAAGCGCGTGACAACAGGTAAATGTTAAAAGAAAATAAAAGCTAAAATGAGTAAAATAATTAAGGCTAATTAAGAATAAACAACGCTAAAAATTAAATAAAGATAAAAAACACTAAATATATTATATAGTAGGTCAAAAAAAATTACACATCAAAAGCTAGTCTAAAAAGATGCGTTTTAAGTCAAGATTTAAAACATTTAATCTTTGTTCCAGAGGAATTTTGTGCACAGTTTCATGGATAATTCAGTTCAAAGTGAAAGATCGGTGAGTATAGGAAACACAAACCCTACACACTAAATTCTCTAAGAAAAAAAATCAAACTGTTGACGAAAATTCTCAGTTAATCTAAGATATCTGCAAGAACTACGTAAGTCATGTCTAACTCCCTCACTCATTTCTTAATAAAATGTTATTCTTTGAGCTCTTTATTCACATATAAACATTAAATGTTTAACACCTATTCACCTCAGTGACAGTGGCCAGTGATGCATAGTTACTGCGCTGCAAAATGGTCAGGTAAATTTCCACCACTAGCCACCGACACTGAGGTGAATAATATTGTTTTAGTACATACTAAAACAGAGAGATAATTCAGCAAAAAATGATGATTTTTAACTCATTTTTTGCTGCCAACGATGACAAATTTGGCACGCAATTAACCAAACAGCTGTCACATTTTCTTGCCATTAAATAAAACATTTGAAGGCATTTGTTTAGCTGTTGCAGAGTCATTTCTTCAAAAAGAATTGTCAATTCTCTCTTTATTTGAGACCATTCTGTAAAAAAAACATTTAATTTGGTTTTGAAGTTATTTATGAACATAAAGCTAAATAAAGTAACTCAACACTTAATATGCATCTTTTGTAAACAAAGAACTTTTTCATCGGTTTCATCAATGAATCCAGGTTAAACAGACAAAGCTTTACCTGTAAAAATTGCCAACCAAATTTCATTGCCTTCTTCCTGTTTTTCTGGAACAGCTTCTTTGATTAGTTGTAAAATTTCTTTGTTTGTTACGGTAGCAAACCAGGTAGCCATTTTGCTAATAACTTACACAAGTTTGGCATTGTTTGGAGGTCATAGCACTGGATATCCCGAGTTTGAGTAGCCAATCAGAGCACATGAAAAGCACTATCCACTGTTTTAGTTTATACTAAGGATAAAATAATAGCTTATTATTTATTTTCAATCTGAACATTAGCCCAAGCAGCAAGGGGCCCACATGCCTGATCAGGTCCACAAGACCAGAGTTTACCCCTATTTCTGCAACATGAAGCACCCATGTTCTTAGACAAGATTTTTAGAATTTTGGACTTTCTTAACCCCTGGACACCCATCCCAAGGATTTGGTACTGCAATAACCCCTCCTCCCACCCTAGCCTGGTCATTCAGTCATGCGTAGAATCCAGTGGACTTCAACATTGTTATTCAGGAGGAGTATTTGTAGTTCCCAGTGCTTTCAAGAGCTTTCTCTTTGAACTACACATGGAAATGTCCTATTATCTTAATGTTTTTGTCCAACATGGTAGGGTTGTTATTCACATCCCCTTAATGGGATGTTCAGGGTTCCTAAATTTTTGGCAAAAAAATCTGAGGACTTTTCAAGGACTTTCAAGGACATATTTCCCTTTTTTCAAGGACTCTGTTCAGTGAAAAAGAGAGCCTTGAATCTATGTCTTTTTTAGTTCTTCTGCAACATGACCAATTTTATCCTGAAGGTCTTTCTGTGTTTGCTCCCTTTCCTTTGGATCGGATAAAGTTAGCGCTGAAATTCAAGGACATTCCACCACTGACTGTTATTTTCAAGGACTTTCAAGGCCTTGAATTCCTATTTAAAATTCAAGGACTTTCAAAGTGCATGCAAACCCTCCATATTAGTCCCAGAGGTTGATGGTTGCCCACTTGCTAGGGGAAACTAAAAATCTCCCAGTTGGGCAACTAAAATTTCAATGAACGTTATAAATTAACAACAAATATTATACAGTTCTTAGTTTTTGTGTAGTCTGAATGAAATATATTATGTCAATGTAAGAACAGAAAACTATTTTTCTCAGTATAATCAAAGCTGTAATATTGAAGGCCATAATGCAGTCGCAGAATTTGTCTGTTGTAGTTTATAAACTAAGAAACACCCAAGTTTTGTATCTCAGGCCCTTTCCGATGGAATAACCCCTAACCCCCTCCCCAAGAAAAAAGATTTAAATACTTCTTAGGCTAAATAAGCCTTGGACCCGGTTTAATATCGGCTCATGTGAAGAACGGGATCTGAACCGGGCCTAACTTTACTACTGAGATGAAAATGTAGGATATTTGCATTTTTACAGAGTCAAATTTCAAACGACATCGAGAGGTTTTGACTGAAATTCATAAAATGTTAATTTATAAGCTTATAGCTTTTAAAATGTAATCACGAGATGGCGTGAAGTCTACTATAAAAATACTCAGACCAAATTTTGCAACACCAACTAAATACAATTCTGATCGATCATGGAACTTTTTGTCCAATTTCACATTCCAAGCGATCTAATTTAGGCGGCTCGCAACATCTTCGCATCATAAGGCCGAGCTAAATAGTGTTTTATGCTGAAAACATATTTATGCTCTCTACAAAGCAAGCATTACTACAGTCACGAACAATTTGTGACGTGTGGCCCGTTGCCAGACCTAAAGTTTTTTAGATCAATAGAAAATATTTTCACCCTACTCACATTCGAATGCTCGATCACTGTGCTCGCTGCCATCTACTGCAATGAGGACTTTCCTACCGTTTGTTGTCTTCTCCGCCATTGCACTCTTGTTTCACGTGGCAGAGCTGTGAACTGGTACCTGTCGGAGCCTGCTATAGGGCGGGCACAGCGGGGAATATGTAAGAACGTGCGATATTCCATGTATTGGTGCGTTTCTGGGTGCGTTTCGTGCGTGCTGGATAGCCAACCTCCCTAGCGATTTTGTTGGGACGTGCACGCAATCGTCGCTGCCAAAGCGCGTGCGAATTGCGCGCATCTCTGAACCACCAAAAACGACTTCCATCCCTACATCACTATTGAAAAGAGCGGTAAGGCAACTCTTTTCTTTGGAATAACTGAACTACAGTCGAAACTCCAATAACGGCTACCTCTCCAAAAGGGCCGCTCAGTTCTTTCAGCTTCTTTGTTGTCCCGGCGGACAGTCCACAGCGGCTACTAAAGCGCGTCACTGCCAAAAAAACCTCTCGAAAACGGCAAGATTTTTCAACGACTGATGAAAAAGTCGAGAATGGTCATGAAATTTGATCAGTATGGCGCGTATATTAAATGTCACGTTAACATTTTAACATTTAATATGTATGAACTTTTCACAATAAACATGTTATACTCCCTAAAAAAAAAATTGTCATATTTACACCCCTACCTCCTCATAACGGCCACTTTCTTCTGTTTTCAAGGTGGCCGGCGTTGTGGATAGGTTCGACTGTATCTAAAGACCCATAGCACAGTAATGTGTTCAATGTCTGTGTCTTTTGCCAACACCTTCATAGCAAAGTCACAGAAACAGATGCCCTTAGCCGAAGCGACACAAAACTGCTCTTTTAGAAATTATTCATGGACTACTCGGCTAAAATTTGATTTTAATAGAAAAAGCTTCCGTAAATTTGGAAGTGGAAAGGTAGAAAAATGTGAAAAAATGATTATAATATTTTCATTCTTGTTGGTAGGTGGTAGGGGCACTCTATGTACATTAGCTTCCCAGCTACGTGGCTCGAGTTTATGAGAAAGAGGCCGGTACTGTTTCTCATCATCAAAGAATCTTGGCTTTTACAGGGACCTTGGAGAGGGAAGGGTAGAGAGTCTTTTGCCCCCCTCCCCCTCCCCCCGCCTATGCACCACTTGCCTGGTTATTCTACAATGGTTCTATAGTCATTCACCTGCTCAAAACGTTGTAAACTTTGCAAACGTCTCTTAGTTTTTTCCTTTTATTTAAGACTTTTAATCCAACGCCTTGCGCCAAATGGTTTCAAGAGACGGTAAGATTATCGACAGTGATAAATTGCTTCCACAGTTTCTATAGAGAAACAATTTGCTTTTGGATCAAAGTTTCTCTGAGTTATTGGTTTCTTGCAGCTCTTTTAAAGCTGTTTTTCGCCATCAATGTTTCAAAAAGCTATGATTTCTGAGAAGAAAACAACGGAAACATGAAATAGCCCCAAGACGACTTTTTTCCACGAAAACGTCCATTGAAAAACTGCTGCTCGGTGCCCTCAGTTGCGGCTTAGCCGCGACAACGAGGCGCAACTTGTCAAAGGAGATGAAAACTATTTTACTCCCATGGTTTATTACACCCTAAATATTTTGAGGTTGGAACAATTTTACCTTTTCACTTTTTTCAAGTGGGTAGTTTAAACTTCTTCTGCAGGCTGTGGCCTGACTGCTATGTAAAAGTAATCGGTCAAAAATGTGAAAACTATGCATTACTTTTAAATAAGCAGGCCGATATCACGAAGTGTTTTACAGATGGCCGTCCACAACTAAAACTAAATGAATTGAGTGAAATTTCTATGGATAACAAACATATAAAAAGAACTTAGGTACTTATCACTGAATTGGAATAAGTCAAGAAGTAGGAATAAAATTAAGAACAATGGGCATCCTAAAATTTGCGCTAAGTAGGGAATTGAAACTACGGCTTAAAATTTGTCCTTGTTGTACAAGCCACGCCACGGCATCAATTTAAGCAATATGGATACATCTGTAGCTCAGTTTAGAGTAGTCTAATGTCCTCGTTTTTTCAGAGCAAAAGATATACGAATATTATTATTATTAGATCAATTACTATAATTATGAAATGAGATGACTGGACTTTGTCAAAATGTTAACAGTCAGTGAAAATAGCAATAGAGTCAGTTCTACCGAGCATCGCATTGCCGCTATTCACATAGATGTCAAGAGTAAATTGATCAGGTTTCATCCAGTTGCAAACGTTCAGCTTAGATTCAATTTCAGAAATAAGTTTCTAGGAGAAATTAAAAACAGTATCATCAAACTGGGGAACAATCGGCAATTCATTCACAAAATATTATAAGCACCGGCAGTGGCCCCAAAAAGAGCCCTGGGGACCTCAGAAGGATACTGCAGCTTGGTTAGTCTGTGCATTGCCACAACAGGTATTAAAGTTGGCTAATTTGTTCTTTATTTACTCATGACTAATATAAAAATCACGTTTACAGCAAGTAATATTTAATTGATTTAATTAATGATAACCAATTGAAAAATTAACTCCATCTACAAACGCCTGCTTGCAACGCGGTGTTAACCCTGAGCCACTGGCTTTGGGGTCTCATAACTCCCCTCAGTGACTTTTCTTATAATTGGTTGACATAAAGGCCCTAAATGGGTGTGATAATAAAGCCTTTAACCTTTTTACGTATCTTCTTGTCACTTTTCTCTGCAGTGCGGTTGAACAGTACTAATACATCTTCATTTTAATACAGCTAATTAGAAATCTTGATTCTTGGCACACTAATTCAGCAAAACGGTTTCTCGATCTTATGCTGATAAGCCAAAACCTGTGCAAACCTTTACGCGAGACAAAAAGGTATTCATCAGCTTCGTAAAACTAATGATTCAATTTGTTTTGAGAACCAACAACCAGATTGTGTTTTCATCTGTTCTTAGAACAGTGCTCCATGAATATTAAATGAGCAAAAGATACAAAGATCGGCATATTTAGACTTTCCGCCATTTTTTAACCTTGCACACATGTCCACATACTGCTGGAAGTAACTAGTATATGCTATAAAAGCCCTCACAGTAAACTGAAGCTCAAATCTGCGTTCTGCTTGTAACTGAATGAGTCAAGATCAGAAATAAAACGACGAGTCCACTTCATGTGAAGGTCCCATTTAGGATCAGGGAAGTTCTCAATCGAAAGAAACCATAAATGATCATACATGGTCTCAATGAAGATGAGAAGGTAGAACGACCAAAACCGGGATATGGGCATGATGTACACAGTAATCACTGACACTGCCAAGAATAGTACGGCGCAAAGTTCCAATGCCACGTGACCCTATTACAATCAGGTCAGCACTTTCGTCTTCTGCCAGTTTACAAATCACTTCTCCAGGCCTTTTGCTCTCTTCCTTGTACATCTTGAACTTCAGCTACAAAAAGAGAAAAATCGATTATTAAACTCTTTGGTTATTCCTTATGCACCTGACTCGTCTCCGCTCGCCTCTTACAGTTTCATAAGAGGTCAAGAACCAGTCGCAGGAGACCGGTTCACGCTATCTCGTTATATTTAAGACAGACAAAAGAGAGGTCTGGGGACGAGTCAGTCGTAGTGTGAAACCAATTTGGAGAGAGCTTAGTGTAATGCAGTAGGATATCAACCTTTGAGTGAATACACCTTGTTCCAAATCCTTCCAGTAGCTCCTTGACTTGTTTATCACTTTCTTCCATCAAATGCTGACATTCTTCGGGCGATGCAGAGCCAGCTAAAAGAATGCAAAAAAATTCAACTGTTGTTACGTTTCTAGGATGAGGGAGGGGATGGTGATGAAAATACAGTAGAACCCCGGTAACTCAAACTCTGAAGGGACACGAAAAACAGTTCGAGTTATCGGGGTCGATTTAATCTCTAATTTACCAACTTAATATTTATAGTTTACTTATAATTCAGCAATTCAGCATACACCAGAGTGCAAATTAAACTTATCTTATCAGAAATTATATTGTAACACGTTTACGCATTTTTATGATAATTCAGGGAAATGATTGTCAAATACGTGATCTGTTCGTTGCACTTATTTAACAAATTTTGTAGTGTTAGTTTTAGGTATTTTACAGATTGCATGACAAGAAAAGAAAAGCTATAGGGATGACAGTCGTTATGAGTTGCAAAAACCAGAATTCGAGTTATCGGGGTAAATTTCGGTGAAATTTTGATCAAGGGAAACGAAATTTATTTCGAGTTAGCGGGGAGTTCGAGTTATCCGAGTAAAAGTGACTGAATCCAAGGGAAATTGTCCCTTTGGAGTGGAATTGTATTTTACACTTATTTTGCTGTTGCCTGCTGGAGCTCTGAAACCTAACTTCGAGTTTGTCCATTGCCCCCCTTATAGTGGCAAAAAAATAACAATTTACAACTATAATGAGATTTTAATGATATTTGAAGCACTTACTGGGATAGAACCATCCAGAAATGATTGGGTATTTTTGAGCATGGATGATCATTACAAGGTCATTTTCTTTGGCAATATTTTTGACATACCCTGAAAACAAAACACAATATGAACGCAATTTCCTAGTACAAAATAAGCCACCATGCAGGTTCACACATAAAAAATTACCGTGATCGATGCGCTATTTGAATGACATTTAGTCTCAAATAATAGTAATGCTAACAGTCTCCTCCCCAGCTGGGAAATCGCCAAAACAATCATCTTATATCTATTATTATCCATATTAGAATCCCTGTCAAAGCATTTATTTTGACACGATACCATTGCAGTGATCTACATCAGTGCTATTTTCATCCCCGAAGTTCCTTACCCGAAGTAAAGAATATAAAACCATTTATAGCTATCGGGAGAATATATTAAGCTTTTATAAAAAAAATTCATATTAACACTACTGCACGAAAATTCAGAGTGAGAAAGTTATGGTGTTCCGAAAGAGGTGCCAGCATAATTCTCAATTCTTTAGCAATCGCCACAGATCAACAATTCAAGTGACGGGAAAAAATGTCAATATTTTGTTCACCTTATAATTTCTAAATAGATCTTTTTTGTCTATAAAAATTGAGGGTGGGGATCATTGACAAAATCTGCTACAACTTTCAACAACAGGGTCTATACACTTTTTCCTTACAGTCAAATGCTCTTTCGCTGTCTTCACTACCATCCACTCCCAAAACGACTTTTCTACCAAATTCTTTGTTCTCACCCATTGCTTCTTTTAACAGCTGCGTGTTGCGTAAACATTGTGGCCAGTTTATGGAATGATGGCTTTATGTAGAGGACTGAATGGCGTGAAGCCAGAAAAAAAAGAATGGCAATTTAGCAAACAATTAGCCATGCGACACGTCTCATGACCAGTTAGACAAGAGAATTTTTGGCTAGGGTCTGCTGACTTATATACGTTCATAAAATCACAGGTGAGCCTCTGTATCGGAAATTTAACTTTGAAAGTGTTGTTTTCTGTCTTTCTTTAAAGTTTCATCCCAATTTCAGCGACTTGCAACAAGTAACACGTTTATGAAATTGAATAAATTATTATTCTCATTATTTTTAATTCATTGAGGAAGTTCACCTGTTTTAGTCTATTCATTTGTTTTAACTTTATTTCTCATTTTCATGGTAAAAATATATCACGTTTGAGCAGCCTGTGGTAAAATTCAAGGATTATGCTTCACAGGGTTACCCACGAGATAGGCCAAAGTATTATCATGCCGAAATTATGCTCGCTTTGGGGATATTTTGCTCCTAATTTAATATGACAGCTGACTTAAGTGACACTTTTTCCTCCCCTACGTATGAAATTAACAGTTGTAAGCAGTCTTTTATAATACCTGTGTTTTTATGATGCAATTCCACACGACCGACCTGCTAGTGCTTAATTTGGAGGCGTGCCATAACGAGATAACCAGACCTTTCACTACACCAAAATACATCGGGCCTGAGTCTCTATAAGGGTTCGTATAAAGAATTAGACTGTTCGCATTCTTTCTCAGACCGTCCAAATTTTTGACTGTGAAGAGTAGAGCTCATAAAATTCTATTAAGACTGATTTTATGAGGGCAGAAGGTGAAAGCCACTATTGCGTTTTGAGAACCATGCCCTCCGACAAACTGTTGCAATCTTGATCCTCTCAGACTCCATTTTTTAGGAGATCTTCTACCCTTCTGAAACAAAAATTTCTGCAATAATGTTCAGGAAATTGATCCGAATTTTTTGTTTTCTTTACACTGTTAATTATTATCCGTCATGGTCAAAAATTGGTCTTATTCTAGTTGCTTTTTTTAATTGTCTTAGTTAAGTAATATTAGTGTTGGGGTTATTATTAGCCTTTTAATCATAGCAGCAATTATGTTTGGACAAACACTGTGGGCCTCCATGGAAACCAGCCTAGTGTTGTTGGGGCTAGTGTTTTTCTTTCAGTGTGACTCAGATCAATTAATACCTTAACGTACCTACCTATTGCAATGGGCTGGCTGTCTCATTAGAGACCTTTTGGATTCCAGGACAAGGACGACTTTAAGGAAAGCTTCATTTTACTCTTTTGAACAGAAAAGTTAACTTTAACTTTACAATTCAAGAATTGGGTTGGGCACGGTAGACGCACAACGTATGAACTAAGACAACTCAGCCTTATTTTTCCTTTCCTTGCCCTTCAAGATATGCAAGAAAAACTCTAACAAAATGGCGTTGAGCAACTTGCAGACACGTCAAGAGAGAACTGGAACTCTGAGCCGTCCGATGGAAAACGTCATCGTCTGGACTTTTCTGTTGCCTTTGTTTGCTTTTGTTAGGGTGACAACTACCGGAAACGTACCCCGAACCTTAACAAGTCCCTGTACGGCGTTATCCCAGTCCCTCTCGATCAATTTACTTCGGTTACGTATCTGAGGCGCGGAGTGCTAAGACCACATGACCCGAAACGCTTTGGCCGCGCGAATAATGAGGCCTACGGACTAGGCAACTTCGAACCTAAGCTTTGTCAATAATTGGGCGTCTCGTCATCGTTCAATTTTGCTAATATTTCTACAGGTCCATATGAAACTGCAACAATCAGACACTGCATTTGCACACACCTGCAGACCTGCTAAACTGCATACGAACAGTTAAACAGTCTCTCCTTTCCTCGAAGAGCACCCCCTAGGGGGTAGTCCTGGGAATTTTTGGTGGGGGTGTAGCACCCGGTTCTCCAAATCCTGACCCTATTTCAGAAAATAAAATGTAATTTTCCACACCTGTTTTCAGACCAGACCTCTAAAATCCATACCCGTTTTCAGACCTGGCCTTAAGGCAGAAATTATGTCATCAATACTCAACCTCGTCCCAAGGCTTTTCCCTTAAAAAATGGGTGGGCCACCCATTTTTTAAGGGAAAAGCCCTGGGGACGAGGTTGATGAATACTTAGATTAGAGCGCAAACAAAAAATACTTCAAATCTATTTCGAATTCGCATATTTCTCTTTCTTTCTAACTCATTTGGAATTGAAACGATAAATACGGTCATACACTCCCGTAATTTTCTCGAAAACCAAACCCGATTCCAGACCAAAATGGTGCAAAAACCTTAGCCGATGGGGCGGCACATACCTATGTAGGTTATATATCCCAGGGGTTGGACTAGGCGTTTCCCTCTCTGCCCCATTATTATCTCTTGGTTACTGACATCCAGACAAAGATTATTACGACACAGCAGATTTTGATGGTTCGTACTTCGTGAAAGACTTTACCGTAACTCCCCTATTAAGCCCCCCTGGGGGCTTATTTATTTCAAGCCCATTTGAGGGAGGGGGGCTTATTTACTTTAGAAAAAACGATGGCATCAGTTCTCCATAAAGAACTAGAATACAAAGTGGAAAAGCTCAAGTACAAGATGTTTTAGGTCATGCACCTGAGGATCAGAATCAAATCCGATCTTCCAGTTGGTAAGTAAACCATCCTGGATCAGTCTACATGAAGTTTTACAGTCATGGTTGATTAATACAGTCTATCATTTATCAGTGCAGAATAAATAGGGGAGGGGAGGGGGTGGCTTATTAACTTTCTTCCCCTGAAAAGGGGGGGTTAATTTAGGTGAGGGGGCTTATTTGAGAGGGGGGGCTTAACCCTTTAAGTCCCAATAGTGACAAAGATCAATTTCCTCTTAACAATATCCATACAATGTCAAGAGATAAGTTATGAGAATTAATAAAATGATCACCCAGGAGAAAATGCTTGATCTATTATCAAATTCTCACAACTAATTCTTTAAGGAAATGTATGGAGATCAGTTTGGAGAATTTCTATGTGGATACCGGGGCTTAAAGGGTTAACAGACGATTTATGGTATAATGCCCCAAGCCACACCCATGGTACAATTTGAGTTTTATTTTGGAACGGGGGGATGGTGATGCAAAACAGAGCCTTTCATTAGATCTCCAGAGGATGGTATCTCTGATATGTTTTCAGAATAGCAAGTACCATTCTAACTTGTTGAAATGAGCTTTATTGTAGAGCAATCTATCAGTGTAAAACGCAGACTGCAGACCATTGCTTTCACCATGCAAATGAGTATGTGACAACAATAATCCCACTGTTTTCTAACCCTAAAAACAATAGTCCACAGTCACTCTGCAGTCTGCATTTTACACTGCACCATAGCCTAATATGTTTAGCAATCACTGCGTGTATCTGACGTTTAATGATGAACCAGTAACAACAGTGGAACAAAAAAAACATTAAACAATCACTGACAATGTACCTGATTCTTTAATGATTGCCTGGACTTACAACAGATTACAGAAATAAGAACAGGAACATGAAGAAGGAAACAAAAATTCTTCAAGTGTTAAACACGACACTTGTTAGAATTCACAACACATAGTTTACAAGCCCATACCCTATTCATAGATCCCACTGAATTCATCAGTAGCTGCTGCTTCCAGAATCAAAATAAAATCTGCATTCATATAGGCATATATTGAGCGGCACAGTTTAGGCTAAAAGTATTTAGTCAGATTTTAACAACTTTCAGACTTTTGAAAGGATAAATTCCTACAAAAACGATAAATACAGGACTGAGCCTGAAAAAAACCTTTTAACTACCTCCCAAATGAATAGCTCAGAGGCAGGAATCTTTACTAATAAGGAGGTTCTGCCTGTCAATCCTGTCTTTCCTTCCACCCTTTAACACACCGTTTTAGTTTGTACCATGTAACCTCTTGTTTTCACACCTGAACTGTACAAGGTTATTGCACAGTTTGGACAGAAAAAGCATGGAGTTTAGTTATGCACCTTTGATAAAAAAAGCCATTCAAATGCTGACACTTGCAAAAATTTGTATGGACTTGTGTTAACAGACTTTGCACAGTTCCCTGTATATGGGTTGCACAGGCAAAATCTGTCCTAGCCTGCGTAGCTGGCAGGATTAGCATGGGAGTGCTGTATTGTTATGGCGGCGGAGCCACAAGAAGAGTGGGTAAAAGTCAATTTGGATTTTCCTTCCAGCTTTGCTGCTCGTAAAAATCCCTCACTTCCCACAGCGCCTCTGCCACCCAGAAAGTACCCTGTGCACAAGAATCCCGCCAGCTATGAAGGCTAAATCTGTCCGGATCTTAGAGATAAAATAAGCAGAGTCCCATATCATTATCAGGCTTTCTCTGGATCTGTCATAGTAATTCACTGCTCATAATAATGCAGACAGGAAGGCACAAATGAATCTGACAGCTGGAACAACTAATGGCTTCAATTTTTAACTAATCAGTTCATTAACCCTTTAAGCACCAATGTCCACAACTTCTCTATACATTTCCTTACAGACCTTACAGACATAGTCAAGAGAAGTTGGTAAAAGATCAAAGCATTTTCCCTGTGACAGCTTTATTTGATTCTCATAATTTTTTTCTCTCTATTATGTATTAATATTGTTAGGAGAAAATTGATGTTGGTCACTCTGGGACTTGAAGGTTTAATAGAATCTAAAGAAGTTTACTGGTTTGACAATAAAAACAACACATTTTTTGTTATATTTGTTTGAATTCTATCACCATCAGTGTGACACCTGCAATTACCTTTTCACAACTCAGCCTAGCTTGGCATAATCACAATTTTCCATACGTTCAAAAAGCAAATACCTAACAAGGCGGTAAGGTTATGTACAATTTCTTTGAAAGAAATCGTAAATAGTCATTAACTTGATTTGGTATGGTCGTCATGACGATTTGGAGGTGGAACAACCACAACCGGGATATGAGCGTGATGCACACAGTAATCGCTAACACTGCCAAGAAAAGTACGGCGCAAGGTTCCCATACCACGAGAACCCATTACAATCAGGTTCGCCTCTTCGTCTTCTGCCAGTTTACAAATAACTTCCCCAGGCCTGTTGCTTTCTTCCTTGTACAATTTGAACTCTTGCTAAAAAAAAAGACAAAAAAAGTCAATTAAATCTCACTGTCAATGTACATGTGCTAACTGTTCATAAGAAACCACTTTCAAATACCTTTTCCCGTTCCTTTAAGCGTTTGCACTTTGTTCCAAAACACTCCAACAGTTCCTTGACTTGTTTATCACTTTTTTCCACCAAATTCTGCCATTCTTCATAATATGCATAGCCATCTGAAAGCATGTAAAACATGTTCAAATGTTGGTTATACTTCAAGGGTAGGGGAAGATGGACAGAAACACCAAAAACAGCATTATCAAGACAACAAATGAAACCTTGCATTTTGATATTTAGGGCTTAAAGGCTCAACAAATGACAGTTAAATAGTTTGGTTACTTCTTCTCCACAAAACATGGAATTTTCTGCCATTTTCTCTATCCCTATACAAAACCAACTGGGCTAATGCAACCTTCTCCCCATGTTTTCTTTGATGCCATCCCTTTTTCTTATGAAAGCGTGTCGTATTGAAAACATTTTACCAGTTATCGCAACTGTCTTACAAAATTTAGTAACTGCTAGCTGATTATGAAAGAGAAAAATATTTTGAAGGAATAAATAACAATTATTCACCAAAGTGGAGGTGGCTAGTATTGGATATTTACCGAGGCCGCGAAGCGGCGAGGTAAATATCAACTACTAGCCACCGACACTGAGGTGAATAATTGTTTTAGTATATACTAAAACAGTGAGATAATTGAGCACAAAATGATGATTTTTAACTCATTTACTATTGCCAACTATTACAATTTTGGCGTGCGATGACCAAACGGCCGTGGTCGTCACTTTTTCTTAGCAACAAATAAAACTTTTGAAGGCATTTGTTTAGCTCTTGAGGGGAAGTTTCTTCTGTAAAAAAGATTATTAAATTTAGTTTTAAGCTTATTTATGAACAAGTCAACTAAATAAGGTAACGCAAGACTTAAGCTTAAGTTGCATTTGTAAACAAAAAACTTTTTCACCGGTTTTATCGATAACTATTCAAGTCAAAAGACAAAGTTTTACCTGTTAAAACTTCCAAACTGAACTTCGTCACCTTCTTCATGTATTTCGGAAATAGCTTGCTTGATTAGTTGTGAAATTTCTTAGTTTGTTACGGCAGCAAACTGGGAAAGCATTTTGCTCGCAACCTACGCGAGTTTGGCGTCGCTCGCTCGGAGGAACTGGAGGTGAATCAGTGAATAGTGCAGGATATTCACTGATTGAGTAGCCAATCAGAGCGCGCGAAAAACACTATCCACCGTTTTAGTATATACTAGATAAATATATTTGCATTTGTCAGAATGCATCCTTATCTGGTGTTCCTGTGGCATAAAGGCAGAAATTTTCGAGCTATCAGAGGTGACTGCTGATTAGCCGCCCCTATTGATTTTATAAGGGGCATCTCTGCCGGGAAACTGGACCCCTCTTGACTCAATTTCGTTTCTGTAAGTGACAAACATGAATCCATAATCAACGATAACCTCTAGTTTTAAGTATGCCGTACCTCATGGTAATATGTGCAACATTAAGTTTCGCTAAATCGGGCAGGGATGTTCAAACCATGTAGAAATATGTGTCGTGTTATTTGTTAAAAAAAAAAAAACATGTTCCAGATCGCCACTGGCTACCTGACAAAGACTTCAAGAGTTTGACGGTTGAGCAAGTGAGGTTGGGTTGACATGGTGGGATTGGGGAAAACTATTGGGTCCATTTTTTCAGTTTTCTCAGCTGGGTGAGCACCTGGTCATCTGCTGTACATGCCACTATTTTTAGCTTTTTCTTCTTACGTTCTTTTTCGCTTTATGAAATACTTACAGGGGTAAGGTGCAGCAGGAATAGTTGGGTATTCTTGAGCATGGATAACCAATATTTTGTCAGTTTCTTTGTATATATTCTTGACATACCCTGAAAACAAAATATGCACATTTTCAATTCAATGTAAGCATATATAAGCCAATCCTATTCATCATTATGTCACATGATAAGACACATCCACAAGAATTTTCCTCATAAATATTTTTAATTAAGTTTATTTGCATGCTAAACATCAACAAACGCTACAATTGTAATCGATGATTCAAAATTAAAACTAAAAACCTCCTATCGTAGGTACACCACGTCAACAATATTTGGGCTAAAAAATATCTCAAATCTATGGTTTATCCATTCATAACCCCCTGCTGCACAAGCCTTAATTAAGTTGTTCGCTGGACCCGTGAAAGCGTGTTCGTTGACACGACTTATGCAATGGTCTACATTAGCGGTGTTTTTATCTCCCAAGTTCTGGACCCAAATAGAAACACAAAACAATACCCACGAAGAAAAGAATTGGGCTTATTTTCATTTGAAGTTTGTCACAAACGCCATTGCACGAAAATTCACACAAAGCGACTGAAGTAGGAGCAGCCATAATTTTAGATCATTGACAATCGCCATTCAATGATTGAATTTACAAAGAAAATAAATTTCGACATTTTCTGTTTGGAGTATTGCTAAATCTTGCCACCTTAAACTGGATTTTACGTTTATAAGATCGAGGAATCGAGGGTGGGTGGTCACCATGTACAACGTACAATGGATGTAGCTATTTTAACACTTTTCACTTACAGTCAAATGCTCTTTCGCTGTGTTCACTAGCATCCACTCCCAAAACGACCGTTCTACCGGCTTGTTCGCTCTCAGCCATTGCTTCGTTTAAAAGGTCTGTGCTTCGTAAAGATTCGTGCGCGATGGCTTTCTACGACTGCGACTGAACGAAGGCGCGATAAAAGCCAGGGTGAAGAGCGACACCTCAGCAAACAACTGGCCAATGAACGCACAGTTTTTCTTTAGTAGCTATGTGACATGTCACGCGACCAGCTGGACAAGAACCCCCAGCGGGGATGGGAGTCGGGGTACTAAAGACAAGTTGCAGCGACTGCGACAGATCACTCCGTGTTTGAGTCCATGTACAGATCCGGCAACAATTCTTGGTTTGCAACCACGTGACAAGGCGGCCATGTTGGGGGTCAAAACAAAAGAATATTTCCTCGAAGAATTTACATGAAAATAGAGTTTAGTTCCCAGAGGAGAGAAATGCTTTTGTTCTTGACCACCAACATGGCTGCCGTGAGGTCACGTGCAAACCAGCAATTGCAAGTTGTCGCAACATGTTGCGGCGACACCTCGCAGCAACAAATCGCTTCGAGTGTACTGGAGAAATTTTCTGAAAATCTTTGTCTTTGCAACAGAATTTTGTCGCCGCGACAAGTCACACAAAATACTGTCTGATTTGATTTTTTGCAACTTGTTGCTGCGACAAAATTCTGTTGGAGAAAATCCAAAAATTCTCTAGTACACACGAACCGATTTGTCACTGCGACGTGTCGTGTTGCAGCAACTTGTCGCCTAGTGTGTACCGACCTTAAGTTACAGCGAAAGCCATAGAAATGGCTCTAGGTTACACGGATGACCAGGTATTTTTTGTGGATTTGAAATTTTCAATGGAGATGGTTTTGGCGAGGAAAAATTGGTAAGTATTTTTTAGGGTACGTCTACATTTGACAAAGTAAGTGAGTTGGGATAATTTGAAAAAACCGGAAACCATTTTCAAAGCGACATTTTTGCTTCCGTTTCCGTCTTAAGGTCCCTAATGCACTTGTCACCGGAAACCCCCACCCCCCCGCACCCCGGGGAGACGTGTCAATTCCTTGACAAAAGCGTTTATAAATTGAGATGCAGCAACTGCAGGACGTTGGTCCAGACCAGCCTAGTTCCTAGACGTTCTTACTCCACGAAGCTGTTGGGATTAGCAGGGGAGTGTCTGTTGTCTCTTGACTGCACGAAACCGCAATCGCGAAGTCTGGGGCCGAGTGGGCCAACCTCGTTCCCAGGGTTCTCTCTCTTGCTTCGAGAGTTGGCCTTCTCTGTGACGTCACCACGCGAGAATATATTCCAGATTTAGAGCCTGTTTACATGGAGGTGCGGGACCCCAGGTAGGTGAGGTAACTCGCTTAGGTGGGGTAACCCGCCTGTCCATATAATCTCTCATTTTAATTTGATCACGTTTACATGATGGGTGGGGTGACCCGCCAAGGCGGGTAGCCTGGTCTACCAGACCGGGTTACCCTCTCAGCCGGGATCAACTTTTGCCATGTAAACGTTTCAAGGTGGGGTAACCCGCCTGGCCGTGGTCGGATTCGTAATAGTTCCAATTCGCGCAAAACACACTTTGGCGGTGGCTTTGCATCATTATTAGAGTTAACAATAGAAAGCCATTGCACTAAAGGTTGCAAGAAGAGCAACAAGGGAGTACAGAAGGGAGTTAATCACCAAAACACGTGGTTTGCCAGCATTCTTCTTGTTTACGTGCTTAGCGACCATTCAATAATCTTGAGAAAGTGCACCTCGGGATGGCGGGGTTGTAAGATTGCATGTAAAGGAGGGTTATTTTTTTACCCCCACCTAAGCAGGTTACCTCACCTACCTGGGGTCCCCCACCGCCATGTAAACAGGCCCTTAACCGAGCCTGAACGCTAAGGGACTAGGCTGGGTCCAGACTACTTGAGTGAGACCACCTGAGTACAAAATGATTCCCGAATTGTCTGTAATCTGGAGATCTCCATCTTCGTTACTCAACCTCGTTTCCAGGAGCGCTTCTCCCTGAGGAAAAGCGCGCTAAGGACGAGGTTGCTTCGTTTCTGGCTATATCCATTAATATATAGATTTAGCCAGGGCTAAAAGCGAAGCTCCCGTTAATAAATTCATAATTTAAATCAAACAATAAACTTGTAATCCACAGATCAGGGCACATTCATTTGACTTTTGAGGCAAAGGCTGAGTGATTTTAGAGAAAAATCAGAATTTGACCGTCCAAGAGTGAAACAAATTTTACATCAAGTTATTTTTACACCGAAAAATAGCAATCATGTTCGATCACAGTAGATTAGGCCTGGAAAACAAATAGACCTATTCGTGTATTGTATTTGCATTAGCTGTAGCATCATAATGTGGCATTCACCAGTCTCTCCAACATTGCTCCGTTAGAGAGACTATGGATAATTGGACAACCCCGAAAAATAATTTTAAGAAACACATGCGCCACGATAGTCCTTGGTGGCAGCCAATTTACACGTTGCATTCCTCTGTCTAAAAGAGAGGCCAAAATAAAAATCAGGCAGGATTTTTTGTGTTCTACAAGTTTAGTTTACTAGTAAATCTTGGTGACGAATCTGGTGGCGTGTAAACCAGCCTTTTAAACATACTTTTTCTCTTCACGTCTCGGGTAAACAGTACACAGACCTCGGACAGAATTCGTTCTTTTTTGCCCTATTTAAACCTATAATTCTGCAGTTTTTCACAATTTTGCAAGAGAATTTGCACTCATTCAATATCCACGACGATCAAAGCACGCGCTTCCTATGCACAACAAATTATAGCATTGAATTATAAAACGATTTCTGTTAGAAAAATCTGGTCCTATGTGATATGCGGGGTAATAATTATGGGCTTTTAATGAACACGATAAAAAAATTCCCAAAATCACTTTTCGGCCAGCCGGACGGGTTCTCACTTTTGACAGGCACCAAATTTGCAGTGCGATTAATAGAGTTACCATTTACGCTTCAACATGATAGAGAAATTGTTATGTTTAGGTTTTATTTCCCTTTATTCATTAAACTGTGTATGATTTTGTTATGTGTAATCTTTAAAAGCGAGTGATATTTACGCGCGGCGTTTTGAGTATTCCTACATGCGATGTTTATGTTCTACTGGAAACAACCGGTGCAGCGATGAAAATTGCGAGAGGGACTACTAACAATCAATAAAATAAGTTTAATTCGGTGAAACATGTACAGAGACAATAATTTTCATTCACGAAGAGAAGTATTGAGAGTAAAGTGTCTCAGAAAATCTTGAGTCAGGCAAGCATAAGCTTATTTATGTTTTAAGCCGGCTTCCCGGTGTTCGCTCTTTTTCAAGATGAACTCGAGGCAAGAAAATCGCTCAGAGCTTTCTGTTTACAGCCAAAATCATAACTAAATAATCTTCGGAACCTTTTCTTTGAATCTGCGGGTCAAAAAATGTCTAAAGGCTTTTTAAACCTGATACTATTGTAGGTTAGATCATTGCTCGTGTTTTAACTTAAGCCGCATAAACCATACGCTCGACTTCAGGAAACCGAAAAAAAAGAGTTTGACTAATAGTCGCGGGTCGCGGGTCGCGGGTCCAATATCGCGGTCGCGGGTCCAATGTCGCGGTCGCGGGTCCAAAGTCGCGGTCGCGGGTCCAATGTCGCGGCAGGGGAAAATGATTTGGAGTTCGAGGTAACTGAGTGAAAACGAGTGATATGAAAAAAATATAAAGGGAAAAAAAATCGTTTTTATGCATGATACTCTACGTTAACCAATTTACAGGTTACGGATGTTAGAGTCAACAACTTTTGTGTTCACCGCAAGTTCATTTTGTTTTCTTTCTATCGGGCCCAGTTATGTATAAATTCAGCTTTGAATGTACTTATGCATAACGGTTTCTGATAAAAAATGTTACCATGAGTTACCATTGTTTTCTTCTTGTCTATGAATTGCTCACAAATGCTTAGGGGTGAAAAATGTGCGATACACTTCATAGACTATAAATTATAAACGTTACAACAACTTATAAAAACCTTTTTTAAAAAAGGCTAACTCGGGTTCGAAAAGCTACGAGTCTGTCGGTAGAAGAAACGAGAACTGTTTCAATTTTAACAAATGTGTTCGGCAAAAATAAAGAAACTTCCTGGTCGCAAACTCCCAAAATAAACTCTTTGCACAAGTAACTGGAAAGAGGAGGAGAGACGTTGGGCTTGAAGTGCCGGTAAAGTACATTCAAGCGGGTATTCAAGGCATGAATTTAATATAGAAACAAGTAATAATCCACAGCAAGAAAGGATAAAGCTCGAACTTTATCCTCTCTTGTCCACAGAAAGGAGTTGTTCCCACTAACGATTGAAATCCGGAATCCAAGTTCTAACAAGAGAGAATAGATCATAGTCTCTTGGTTCTACTGAGACTTGAATCCAGTACCTGGAATCTGGAATTACTTACCTAATCTATTGTCTTTTCTTAGCTCTGGTGGAGTTGATAACTTACCGTTTTCATTGTCTGGTTTACGTTCTTTTTCAGCTTCATGATATCGGGCGTTATTATTTCCTTACACACTTACTCACTTAGTTACGATGCATGTTTTCAAGATTTGACTGAGACGCACATTGAATGGCTTCCTATTGTCAGGTTGTCCTGGTTGCCATTCAGGTGAAGAGAACAGGAAGGTATATTGAACACTCTGGGTTGCCGTCTCAGTTGTAAAAATAAAAGCATTAAGCGAAAATCTTGCTTCGAGAAACAGACTCCTTTCTGTGGATTATTACTTGTTTCCATATTAAATTCATGCCTTGAATACCGCTTGAATGAAGTTTCATGCGCCTATTTACATTTTCTTTCAGTTTTGCCGAAAACATTTGTTAAATATAAGAGTTCTCGTTTCTTCTACCGACAGACTCGTAGCTTTTTGAGCCCGAGTTCGCTTTTTTAAAAAAAAGGCTTTAAGTTGTTGTAACGTTTATAATCTGTAGTCTATGAAGTGTATCGCATATTTTTCAGTAAAGCAAGCATTTGTGAGCAATTCATGGACAAGAAAAAAGTAATGGTAACTTATGGTAACTTTTTTATCAGATACTGTTATGCATAAGTATATTCAAAGCTTAATTTACACATAACTGGGCCCGATAGAGAGAAAACAAAATGAACTTGCGGTGAACACAAAAGTCGGCCAGCTTTTTCTTTTAGGTCTTTTCTTCAGACATTATTTTGTTGACTCTAACATCCGTGACCTGTAAATTGGCTACCGTAGAGTATCGTGCATAAAAAAGATTTTTTCCCTTTATATTGTGTTCATATCAGTCGTTTTCACTCAGCTGTTACCTCGAACCCCAAATCATTTTCCCCTGCCGCGACATTGGACCCGCTACCGCGACTTTGGACTCGCGACCGCGACATTGGACCCGCGACCGCGACTTTGGACCCGCGACCGCGACATTGGACCCGCGACCGCGACATTGGACCCGCGACCGCGACTTTGGACCCGCGACCCGCGACCCGCGACTATTAGTCAAACTCGAAAAAAAAAAAAACATCAAAAACAATAATGGCTCAAGCTTACCAGTCGAGATGCTGCTTCTGAAGGTCATCAAGTGTTCCAGAATCGCTTGAGACTTTTCAACCTTCTTACGCCTCAAGCAAGGGCAAGTGAGTAAGCTCATTTTTGAAAACGATGCCATCCGAAATCGGATTTCCATGACTTTGACAAGCGGTGCATTTGTCAACAAAAAGCGCAATAAACAAGCCAGCCACGAATTACAGAACAATCTTGATAGCAGCTGTATTTCATTTTGTACCCCAAGTAGAAAAAGACAGTTTAAAACATCACAAGATGACACAAAACTCTCTCAGCTCCAGCTATCAGTAAGCAAGTTTCCAGACGCTGCGAAAATTTTCCGCATAAACTCACCTGTCAAATTTTGACCAATCAGATCATAAAAATTGGACGTACAGCGTGATCAACGCGTGACAGTGAGAAAAGTCAAAAGCGATTGCCTTCCCTGCATGTAAATGTAAAAGCCGGTTGAATTTTCGTGTCCGAGATCAGTTCGAAATCAACATTTTAAAAGTGCGGCTCATGAAACACGACTTATTTCATATGCATTTAAAAAAAATTGAACTTGAGCCTGCGATCATTTGAAAAGTAGCAACTTGTCAGCGAATACCTTCTAAATATTACTCGAACTCAGGGGGTCGATACATGAGCCCGCGATACGGTCAGGCGATACTGGTCAGCAGAAACACTGTTTTGACAGCTGTGAATTAATCAAAACATGGATGTACAATATCAGGTTGCAGGCTCCCAAACTAGCTAGAAAGTGTGAGATTAAACATTGGTATACCTGTGGTGCGGAAGGACGGAAGGTCGGGTGGTCGGTGTACGGTCACGTGATAGCCGAATTTTCTAGGATGGATAGATTTTCTATAAAGCTATGGGGCTTCGAATTGAGCCCTTTGATCAAATAAAATATCAGCGCAAAACTTTAAACAGTACGTGACCTCAATAGATAGAAAAATGAGCCCGCGATCCACTCAGGTGATGATGGTCAGCGTATACTCTAATTTGACAGCTGTCAATTAACCTTCATTATAATGGGGAATATTCGAATTACCAGACTACGAGCGTGAGTAGGACATTTCCGTCCGGCATGTAGTGGAAAATGCCAGATCGTGTACCTGAGCGAACCTGAGCCCTCGTTATTAGTTTTCTGATAGCGGTCTGCACATGTCCCATTTTGACAGCTGTCAACTGACCTTAATTTGGCCTGCCAATGTAACTTTAAACGACTGTCAGCCAACTGACAGCCTTGCCCGGCGTAGTTTCGTTTTTATGTTGAATTGGTAAGTGTGACATATTATATCAGCTTATATATAGGGGCAAAACGACTGGTCTTTTATCTGAGCCCGCGAGACGGTCATGTGATAATTGTCAGCGGATGTCTGATTTTGACAGCTGTCAATCTAATCGTACTCATACGGATGGCTTACATAACTAAGAGTCTAGTCAAGTTGTGCAAGATCTATTGTGACATTTGACATCGTCTTACATGAAGTGTGTGTACGGACGGGCGTACGCTACGTCATAACCAAATTTTCTGGGATGGATAGTTTACCAAATTTTCTTACCCATGGTGCTCCGCGGGAGCTCCGCTATCATTGAAAATATGTCGTGCGTAATACTGTCCCTTTTTAGGACTGAAAAATTGTAATAAAGTCTGAAACATTTCTTTTCTGATTCCTACTCGTCGACTAGAAGCTGCGTGACAATTTACTAGACAAAGCTACTAGAAGGGTAACGTACCTAACTGCTAAAATCATTCGCATTGATAGTTTATTTTATTAAATTCAAATCTCTGATTGATCTGATTTTTCGTTCTATACAATCTTAGTATTTTTTTGTATACTAGCAAATCTTTTCACTCTCTTCCCCAACTTAAAAAAGAGTATATGAAACATAAGTCAGTTTTGCAAATCAACCTAAGAAATCGAAGCCTGCATTTAGCAGACAGATATCAACATAAACTTTAGCACCATCCTTTTCCTCTTTGATTTCTGCCAGGTTTTGTAAGCAGTCTCCTCAACTACTACTCTGTAATATTGCAAACGGTTTGATCAGCAAATGGATTAATGCAAAACGTTAAAAAGAGACTGAACAACACAATAGCTAATCAACGTTGATTTCCACAACACCAAGAAAAAGCCAGTTCCGTTTGTTCTTTGTAAAACTACAATTTACTTGCAAAATGGTACCAGATTGTCCACGTTGGTATCCTACAGTCACCCTCACGAAACAGCGAAATAGTATTAGCTTGAACGAGCATGGTCGCCATGGCGATTTGGAGGCGGGACTATTGCCACCGGAATATGAGCATGGTGTACGCAGTAATCACTAACACTTCCAAGGAGTGTGCGACGTAACGTTCCCATACCACGTGACCCCATTACAATAAGGTTTGCGTTGACATCTTTGGCCAATTTACAGATCACTTCTCCAGGCTTAGTGTTTTCTTGACTGTATGTCTCGAACTTCACCTACAAACGAGTTACAATCAAGTGATTCTCATGCTTAACTTTTTAGGATTTTTTTTAAAGTTTTACAATACTTGATGTATAATGTCACAATTGATTTCCATGCTTAACATTTAAGGATTTTTAAAGTTTTACAATACTTGATGTATGATGTCACATAGGCTAGAAATGTAATGATCTTTAATAGGCTTTCATCATGTAAAGCGCATTGAGGATAGAAATGCGCTTAAGAAGAATCTATATTATTCTTATTATTATTAATCGTTTTCATTTTAGCTTTATCGCCATCTTTATTAAACATAATTTAGCAAAATACCTGAAGCGTTTTTCTAGCCTGTGAGCGGAGATGCTTTTTTGTTGCTTGTTGTTTTTGACAACAGTTTATCTGTCAGGTATACTTCGCACAATAGGGACTGAAAAGCCCTGTAACGTTTTGTTTTTTCTTGTTCCAATGCTTTTCTTGATTTGCAGCGCAACCTCGTTCCCATATCTTTTCTCTTACAGATTACCCCTCTCAATATCTGAATGAAACAACCAAATTATGCACTGAAGCTCACTTGAAGGAGTGCTTTGCACTCGCTTCGGCGGTAAAGGGTCTTTGGTACGCGGTTTTAGCCCCGCTTATTGACCCGACGGCTATGCCATGCTGATGACCCCAACAAGGGCGAAACAGCTGTCCATGGCTTCCACTGCCGGGGTGATGTGGATGTGCGCATGCGTAAGGTACTGGCCATACCGTGGAGTTGGTACCTGCGCTTGAGTTCATAATTTGGTTGTTTCTGAATGAAACACCCTGGGTACAAATATAAAGATGTTTCTTGAGTTTTATGTTTTCGTCTCATGCAAACTTGTACCAACCAAAGAGACCTGTTAACATAATTTGAATTTAAATTAGAGTGTGGTTTTCTTCCCTTAACTCAAGCAAATTCAAAATTTGACACATACTCCATGAAGTTCGCATTTTGTTCCAAAACCATCTAAAAGCTTCTTCGTCTGTCTGTCTTTTTTGCCCACCTCTTTCAAGTAGACATCATAGAATGTAGAACCATCATCATCTAAAGTAACAGAAATAAAACAATTAAATTCCTCACGCACGGAAATCCCTTTAACCTAGTTGTGCTTAACTGGGTACTTTCTCAAGGGCGTGGCTACCTGTATGAGTGTACGCACATTGTCCTCAAGGCATGAAACATGGCCTACTTACTTCTATCAAACTAATTATTAGACAGCTGTCAGAATATAATATATGTTATTTTTCTTTATTCGCGTTTTTTTGTTTGACGATTTTAGTCATTTTCTGTTCTCGTATCTTTGCTCCTTTGTGTTAAATGTTTTAGCATATCGTATACAGCTTGGATTGCAACTTTTTTTTTAATGTTACCATTGTTCAGTTTAATGTGCGTGCTTTTTCTCTTCCACATGTTTCGTCCCTGAATTGCAACGCACAGCATTTCTTTATTACTTTGGGTCGTTTTGGAGAAATAGAACTGTTCAGTTACCGGTTTCACGCGTGGACGGTATCTGTGATTTCAATAATAAAGGATTATATTAACTACAAAAACCGTGGACGAAGATCCTGCTAGTTGTAAACGTTGGATCTCTAGAGAAGAGATTTAATCAGCCAAAATATAAAGAACCAAAAACGAAAACTGAGTCCAAAGACTACTGCAAAGCTGATTCAGAACAAAGTGTATTGTTTTTCTATAACAATATGTCGGCTTGTCATACCAGCCTTCTTCAGATTTACAGATGTGATTTCAGTGATTTCTGTGATTTCAGTGTTTCTCCACACACGTATGACGTTTTTCGCAGGGAGGCGAAGTGATTGGTGGACTAAATATTGACGCTTGTGTTGGAAGAAAGATAAGAAGATGGCAGTGAAATAGTTCAAAACCCTTCTATTTATATCAAAGAAGAAACGAGCAGTCACAGCGATAAGAATGAAACAACTCTTACGATCTTTGCGAAAATGATCATCGGACTAAACAACGCTGAGAGATCGTTGAGAAAAAAAATGGCCATTGAGAGCCATTCATTAACGTTTTGTAAACAATCAGCTTCGTTAAACTCCAAAAAAAAAAGAACAAGAAAAAGCAAAAGGGTTTTCGAATTATATTCATTAACTTTTATTCATCCATTTTCCTCTTCGTTTGATTAACTTGACTCACATTCAGGATTCTTGATTAGCATTACTTACAAGGCCCTGCTGAAGCTGGAATGGTGGGCTCTTCTTGAGAATGGACTAAAATCACATCATCTCTTTCCTTGTTGCATAAATTTTTGATATACCCTGTAAGAAATAAAATAATAAATAAAGTGGAAGACGAGCCACTACAGGCCTGTCGAAAAGGGGACGAATCGACCTAGGATAGTTAGCATTCTTGTAGCCTGCGAGCAAGATCTCCATTTGGAATTGGGGGATATCGTGAAAAGTACACGCGTGAGAGGCACGCGAGAGGACAACGAAAGCACGTTCTCGCGCAGCTCGCTTCACTCGCCCAAATAGGAGTGCTTGCTCGCAAGCTACCATTCTTGGTTCAAGAGCCCTCGGCTTTTTTAAGGAAACGAGGGGATCTCGTAAAGGAAGTAAAGAAAAAATTACACTTATCGATATTAATTAACTACATTCCATGCCCTTGGTAAATGAGATCCCAAAAAAAATAAAAAAAATGAAGTAACGCCTAAGACTTTTGAGATGTTGGTTAAATATCCCGGATTACTTCAAATGGTTATTTCTCAAGTACCCAACTTAAGTTTGCGGTCTTTTACGCTTTCATAGGAAGACACCTTAATTCTAATTACTTTTGTAGTTAAATGCATGATTAAAAAAACTAAAAACAAAATACTCGAAAGTGAAAATTCATAAAATCGGTGCGCAATTCTTTGAAGTAAACTGTTTAATCCCTAATGAAAGATATGTTTCAACAACACGGTTGCCATATTTTATTTTCGTGAGGTTGGAATCAAAAATCAAAATCGGTGCCCGCATATAATAATCATAAAAGCTTTCTAAAGAGCTTTAAAAATAATATTAAGAACGGAATATTGACGTTGCCAAAACACAACTTTCAATAATTGCAATCAGATTAACTATGCTAATTCGCAGGTGCTATAGCAACTGATTTAAATCGATTTTTTAATACCTAAAATTCCCTTGGAGCAATTATTAAAACACCACAAGATTTTACCTGGTTTGGTTGACTCTTTGTGGCAATAATTGCCAAAGTGATTCTTAAACTAAGGGGAGATTTTTCTATGTTACTGATGTTATTGTTAATATCTTGGACACCTTTCCCGGACCTTACCGCAAATTTATGTCTTTTTCAGGATTTCAGATTCAAAATCAAACTAATTATTTGCCCAACAATTCCTCCTTTTTTCATTTTCTTACTGACCACAATAGAAGATTTACTCAAGTTGGGTACTTCATCGCTCTTCTGTGTACTGATAACGCAGTAAAGCGCGGTTTTCCGTCTTTTTACTTGTGCAATGGTTGATAGGTTCTTAACCAATCAGAACGCGAGTAGTATTCTGCATACTTCATAATTAAGTATTCAACCCGTTTTGACCAGTTGTCGTCAAAAGGTTTGAGACCCCATATAAGGAAAACCACCCGTAAGATGAAAGGAGTGATGGAAATTTATAATATAAACAGCATAGGAGGTATTAAATATTAAAGAACGCAAAGAGTGATTCCAAAAACAGAAGAAATTGAAATATTACAACTAGCATACAGAGCCGTATAAAAGATGAGAGTTAACAAATGTCTTTTTAATAAAGCGGTCGTTGCTTATGACATTTTTAAAAACTTCTTTACATTTTCAAGATCAACAAATGGTCTTATCTCTTGTAGTGCCAAATCAAAGCTAAAACTCCCAGAGTTTGTATACATCACTCATGTAGTGGTGCCGGTTTGCCTCAAAACAAAATCTTGAATACATGTACAGTTATTCCTTGCTTATTCTGTCATCAGCGTCTCGATGCCACAACAAAAGTAATCTTCTCGGAAATCATCAAAATTGTAAACTTAAAGCCTATTTTGAAAATAAAATGGTTATTTATTGAGAAGAAGCTAATTAAAATAACTCGTTAGTTAGATTTGTTTACTTACAATTTAAGGCTCTCTCGCTGTGTTCACTAGCATCTACGCCTAAGAGTATCGTCCTACGGGAATTTTTATGCTGAGCCATTTCAGTTTTTTTTCCAGAAATGAGCTTTGTCAACGTGATCACTATTGTAAAATAGCAATGGAATTAAGTCACGAACTGCACCAGACGTTGAATTAAAAACCCAACATTTTGATAAGACTGGCCAATCACAAGCCTTCTAGATCTTTTTTGTGGTTTACCAATGTGACGGATCACGCGATTTAATTCTTTTTGCAGAAAATGTCACCAACACTAGAATTCCATGACATTTCCTTTCGATTAAACGTTCAAGAAAGAGAGGAAGAGGGAATTTGACTTTACGTTTTTTCGTGTATATTGAAAATATACACACCCCGGAAAGCTTCATTTTACCATTTTTCACTCGAAAAGTTAGCACTGTTAACTTAGTGGAGGAGGCTACACCCTCTCCCGATCGAAAAATGATAAAACTTCCAACATTTGATAACTTGTTTCCCAACCTCGTCCCCAGGGCGCTTTTCCCTGGCTTTGGAGGTGGGGCCTCCAAATCCAGGGAAAAGTGCTCTGGGGACGAGGTTGCTTGTTTCCGTCACTTCGACATTCTTGCTAAAATTCGTAGTAGAGTGACGACGGCTATCACGTTTTCCCGCCAAAATGACGCTGGTTCACACGCGAGCATTACTTAGTACTGACGAAGAAAATATCGTCCTCGTTGTCGTACTCGTCTTAGAATCTAAGGGTCTCTAAGTGTGGGCACTTAATTGAGAAACTGGATGGCAACAATGGGCTGCATTTGGCTGGCCATAATAGAGAGATTTAGAATCACGTTTATGACAAACGGAGAACGTTAATGTGTTTTTCCCTTTACTTTTCGTTTACTGTTCGTTACTTCTACGCAAATATTACTAGTTTCACGCAATTTTTATCCACAAAAATTGTTCCGAGCTGTTTTTATCTGCTCATTTCCTATTTTGATAAATTCCCAACGTGAATATGACTTTAGCCGTTTGCCTTAAACTTGATTCTAGATATCTCTTATGTGACAGTGTATTTCATGCCTTTATGCCTTGCGCTTCCATTTTTTTTTTTTTCCTCGAGAAGAGACTCTTCCGCTTACGCCTTTCTGTGGTAAAATAAGCCTTATATAATTAGCAAGTGCGTACACAGGGCTGAGGAGAATAGACCTTGTCACGGTTTTGGACGCCATCTTGACGAGTAGGCAAACGTGTTAGAAATTGCAGTGTTTGTATGAGAATCTAATGTCGAATAATTTCCGTAAAACGGCTGTTCTGAAAAAAATATCAAATGTAAACTGAAGCTACAAAGCAAAGGATTGTCCTAAAAAAATTGGGGGGCGCACCTGTGCTTAGATTTCTCCAAAGGCTTGCTTTAGATTTTTCATATATTTGTCTCTAATTTTCCCGGGACTTTCTTACAGACAAATGTATACAAAATTTTAAAAAGTGGTTTTAGGTCTTCTAGTGCATGTAACGCCCTCAATAATTTCAGTAGAATTCTTAGGAGAGAAGCTTTAGTTTGCAAATCCAGTTTTTGTCAAAACAGCCGTTCTACGGAAATTATTCGATATTAGCTTCTCATACAAACACTGTAATTTTTCACGCGTTTGCCTACTCGTCAAGGTGGCGTCGAAAACCGTGACAAGGTTTATCAGGTCTTTGCTTATAACTATTGTGATGTTTCAAGAGCTCAGTGGGATGACAGTAGCCTCAAAAATAATCCTCCTCTCTCGACTCCTCAGCCCTGCGCGTTTCTCGCATCAGTTTTCAAGATCTTGAATCCTGGAAATTGCAAAAGTGACCGCTACTGAGATTCATGGATGGGGAGCGTGAAGCTTAGGAACTAAAGAGACTGTGTGAAGCTGGCGTTTTTTATATATTCAATGAGATGTGTAAGGACTGGAATGTGAAGGGTGTGAAATTCTGTCGTTTTGGAACATTTTAGTGTGGACAGTCGAAAACGCATCGAAACAGTACATGTAGTGTGGATGCGAATCGATCGAAGTATGTTCGATCTTTTATCGATGCGTTTTCGATGAGATCGAAAACGAATACTTTTGAAAACGACAGGGCCTGGGGGTAGACTGAATTTCATCCGATTACCTCGAGTCGTTACTACTCCCTCAGTAACGTCGTTGTTGAGAGGAGAAAACGACTCGAAGCAGTCGGATGAATTTCAGGCTAGGCCTAGGGGCCGAAGAGGAGCATGAGATTCCGTAGATTGATCTTCAAGTCCAAGCGCACTTTGTAAACTAGAAAGGGTAAATAACAACTCATGCTGGCAATGCCACGTACAAAAACTACCAAAGACTAGCGTTCATCCAAACGCAAGAAAATACATATTTAATGAGGCTAATAAATACATCATTTTCATTTTTGCACCCCGTCACCTTATCTCACATTTTGATCCAAGTTCCTTTATAGGAACATGTAGTTAACTAAACCTACAAGGACGTCAAGTTCTCTTTTACAGATTTTTACAGTCTCTACGTAAATCGACGTTGCTATTATGATGCTGGTTTTCAGTGTCACGACATAAGAAGAAGAATCTGGGAAATAAAAGGAGGTAAATATACAAAGACCCCGTTCAAGATTCAGGTCAGTGCGAGTTTTCATATGCGAGATATTCAAAGAAATGATTTACCCAAATTTAAAGAGCTTTATATGGAGAAAATATGTTGGTGCCGGAAACCAACAGCGAAATCAGCGAGTTTTTCTACGAAAGCGTGTATTCATCTCTCGAGGAACTAATAAACATTTCAAAAAAGTAGTGCTATTTCTTATACTAGGTAACCTACACGACAGTCCTCTCGGTCGCCGTGTAAGTAAGGCGTCACACAACAGCTTAGAAATTCAGATGCACTCCATCACACAAACAATAGCTAAAAGAAGAACACTTTTGAAGTAAAATTTGTGTAGCATTAGTTTTTACCGGCACATCATCAAAGTAAAAACTCAGGAAGATCGTTAATTCTTTGGTTTGATTTTGATGACATTATCTGCAAACCAGCTATATGAGTTTTTAGTACTTTGTGTAACCCTCATTGACCACAGCCTTCGACTGGAGGTGGAACGACCGCCACAGGAACGAGGGAATGGTGCACGCAATAATCGCTAACGCTGCCGAGAAACGTGCGACGTATTGTTCCCATACCACGACTACCCGTCACAATAAGCTGAGCTTTGCTATCCGCAGCTAACTGACATATTACTTCTCCAGGTGTGCTGTGTTCTTTCTTGTACAACTCGAATTTAATCTGAAAAATAAAAATAAAAAATTCTTTCACAGTGATTCTGGTCAAGCATTTGGATAAATTGATCGGTCATTTTGCTTCAGCAGGAGCCTATCACCCTCCAGGCTTGAGACTGTGTCAGTGTCGTCTGAATTATACTATGGGACTGTTTTGGAAGACGAATGCTGACCCTTATGCTGACCCAGTCACCTGTAAAGTCACCTGCGACGGCAAACGAAAAAAAGTGTATTTGTACCACGTGACCAAGTTTCCCTTTACTTGTCGTTTACTGTTCATTGAAATTACATGAAACTCGGTAGATTCACGCCAAACGATAATACTAATAGTACATCAAGGAGGTTTCGGGCATTTTACGACAATTCCGCGTTATTTCAGAAAATTTTCGAAGGCTACCGACGATTCCCGAAGACTGTCGAAGATTTCCGAGGACTAACGACGAGGTTCGATTATTAATGAACCGAAGATGTCCAAGGAACCCTCCAAACAATTAACAGTATTTTCTTCGGAAACAGTAAACATTAAAAAATTGGCCAATTTAATAGTAAACACTAAAAATTATGAGCAAATAACACTCAACACTAGGACCCATTCAGACCCTCAAACTGGGGTGTTGTTAGAGGGGATGCCCATATCACTGTCACACCGCCAGACAATTGACGATTAGCATCTCCAAACTAGTCCAAGAGTACAATTCGTCCCAACATCGACGCAATCGTAAACTGAACTTCAAAGTGGCTGAATCAGAATCACAAACCTTTTGTTGTTTACATTTCTTTCCGTAGCATTCCAAAAGTTCCTTGACCTCTCTGTCACTTTTGTCCTTAATACTTTGCCAATTCTCAAAAGTCAAATAAGACCCATCTAAAAAGAGAGAAAAAAAATTAACAGCAAGTGCTTGTCAATTTTTCGCCTTAAATTATTCCCTTGTTTTCAGTGTTGGTGTATGGTCAAACAGTGCCCCCCCCAAAAAAAAGCCTGATCCAAGCACAGGTTGGTTTTCTTTTGGAGGTCTATTTCCAGTTTTCCAAAGGGCTTTCTCTTCCCTTCCATACGGGATTCTCCCCTTGGAATTTTGAATGCAGATGTTGCGCGTTGTCTTAGCCTGGATTATTTATGGCAATCGTGTTCGTTCAGAATTTAAAGAAGTTCGGGTCAGTAATTATTTTATAAAGTCGTTGACTCGTTCCCAGTCGTCTCCGTGACGCGCATGGCAGGGAATTATGGGTGTTTAGATTTACAAACAGTTTCCCAATCCGATTGGAAAGTTAATGAAACACGACTTTTTGGGTCGTTTCATTGGAAAATTTTCCCAAAAAATGGAACGTCTGAATAGGTAGGGAATTCGTGTTCCAATTCTTCAAAGCCATCTCTGATATCAGTTTCAGGCCTTCGCGGCCATTTTTCGGTAAATGGACATAATTTGTGCACATGGTAAACGCGATTCCAGGACGAAATTTACCAGTCCTGAATTTCATTTACCATTTGCCCAAACCGTGAACCGACTGGTTTGCCCATGTAAATGGTAAACAATCAGGAGCCATAATCGGTGTACCCCGATTATGGCTCCTGAAACAACTTATGTTTCCTCCTTCAGGCTTATAAGGCCCAACCTCGTCTTCAGGACTTTTCCCCCCTCCCGTCACATTTTTCTAGGGAAAAGCCCTGGGGAGGAGGTTGCATCAGGCCCTGCACGCCATTGGGAGAGGTTCATCGGAGACGCCTGGGTATGAGTTAGACTACCGTAAAATTCCGAAAATAAGCCCCGGGGCTTATATTTTTCAAAGGCCCTTTTTGAGGGGCTTATTTTTGGAGGGGCTTATATTCGGAGGGGCTTATCTACGGAGGGAAATTTGTGTTTCAAAAACGATTGGGCTAGCCTTATAGTTGGAAGTGAATTTACCGTTTTTGCTTTGTTTTACTTTGTATTTGAAGGCAATTTTTCAAGTACAAGCCCGCGGGGGGCTTATATTTGGAGGGGCTATTTAACGGAAGGTTTTTTGCGTTACCGGTTTGGGGGGCTTATATTTGGAGGGGCTTGTACATGGAGGGGCTTATTTTCGAAATTTTACGGTATTTTGAATGTACTTACGAGGATACATGTCATTTGGAGTGATTGGATATTCTTGGGCATGTACAAACATGACATGGTCTCTTTCCTTGTCACATAGGTGATTGATATACCCTGAAATTAAATCAAAGTTGAAGAAAAAAGTGTACGATCGTGCTGTCAAATTTAAATTTCCACTATTACACATCATTTCTTCCTTCCGTCTCCGTTTGTTTACATGAAGGGGGTACCCTTTCCCCACTGATCTTGTAGAATTTCATCAGGCCGATCGTGGCCTTGTTTGAAGTCTTCCCGCTCCTATAGTTCACTGTCTCCAAGGCAATAATCATGTAACGAATAGTTTTCTGCCAGCATTTGAGGAAAACGGAAGTAGCAAGTGTACTGTATAATGTTGCTGAAGAAAATTAAAATTAGATTTCTATATTTGTCCAATATTAGTACTGCTCAGAAACTTAAGATGCACGACGTATCCTAAAAGTTTATGGTGGTTTTAGTACAATACTTTTAATATGTAGAACCCGGGGCCCGGGATATAGAATTGCTTGCATGGTAATGGTTTCGCTTTTAATTTTCTATCGTAGCTCATTCTCCCTTTGCTTCTCTCAATAGCAGCTAATTGTTCCCTGGCCTCGCTTATCGATACAGAAAAAGTTATAAAATTCATAACAAATATGAGCAGGCTGAAATATGAGAGTCTAATAGCTTCTAGTATGGTTTAGTGACCTAAAATGTTGGCCCCGAGCATAACACAATAATAAGACTTGTCTCGGGTCAAAAACCATTAATAGTGGTTAGCTTTCTAAAAAAAAAACAGGGGCGGATCCACGATTTTTTCCAGGAGGGGTGCACTAGTCTCTTGCTCTACTTCAACACCAATAAACCACATAGTTTTTTTTTTTCGCAGAAAACCAGTTGTATTAGAAAACCGCAGGTCATCTCGTGGGGGGTTGGGGGTGCGCACCCCCTGCACCTTCCCCCTAGATCCGCCGCTGAAAAACTTAAACTCCTGTACGATTTTATTGAAAACCATGAAAGGTGTGAACGATCTGTGCCCTCTAATCATCATCATCGTCATCATGATGTCACTTTGAGTCTTAGCAAAATTATTTCAAGGAGGCAAGACCAGTGTCCCTTTCGAGGGCGTCAAAGTAAGTTAACATCTTTCCCCCACGTGAAGCTTGCCTTCAGTCACATGGGAACCCAAACAGAATTTACACCTTGACCAAACAGAACTGTCACACATACCCAAAGTCACAGGCTTCAAACAAGATTTAGTAGTATCAGTTTAAATACCGTGTGGCACGAAATTTTTGCGGGTTCTGATTTTTGCGAGTTCTTCCAGTGATCAGCAAAAATTTTCCCGCAAAAGTTTACCCCAGAGTATAAAATATTCTCTAACCGTAAATTCGCTGCAGCACTAAGACATCGTGTCTGTTCAATTGCAAATTGTCTCTTTCCTTCAGAAACAAAGCGGTATACAATGAAATACTGGTTTTACGTGGTATAGGGTGCGCACACTGTAGTATTGTTTAAAAATATGTATTTCTATTGCAAGTACTAAAAACATTAAAAATTAATTCCCAGCAAGAAAAACCTATCTGTCGAAATCGCAAAAATTAGTTCCGCAAAACACAAAAAATCGCCAATCCTCAAAAATAAACTCTTGCAAAAATTTCGTGCCACACGGTACCGTACAATTCTTTGAGGTGAGGGAATACTTTTGTAAGTTTTAAAATGTTTCGGAGGCCATGTAAAGGGGTAGGCTGTAAAATGAACTATTCTTCTGAGAGTATTTAAAGTGCGTTATTACAGAATAGGTGTAGACTAAACTTCAAAAACAGAACGTTTTCTTCAGTTTACTTACAATCAAATGCTCTCTCACTGTGTTCACTCGCATCCACCCCAAACACAATTTTTCTGTCGGTTGTTTCACTTTCTGTCATTGTTTAATTTCTTGCTCCAGCAACGACACCACAAAGAAGAAAGTTAGGTAATAGATGGCGAGGAGAATGGAAGAATGATCAATAAACAATTACATATCAATAAGTAACGCTATCGCGAGAGTGTCACGAGGGGTCACGGGTATTTCGCGCATAGGCAAGTTATCACTGGGATCACTGGGTCAAGCTCGTCCGATGAGCGGGTCAGATAAGTGTCATCTGTGACGCAAGCTACCTACAAAGTGTGGGAAGCTGGAACTCTTTATGACGTCAGTATCACGTGTTTTCGTTTTGGAGAAATCTCATCCCCCACGAACTTTTCTCTTGCTCGAAGATTCTAAATGGTTTCTGATGTTGCCTCTGATTGTTATTTTGAGAGTTGGTTAACCAATGCGAACTTGATTATGGAGAAGACTGGATTATTGGAGAAGACTCTATTAAACAAATCGACAGGAAATTAAGATGCCAAGCACCAGCCTGAAGCAATTACACTATGCACACAAAACCGGATAGATGCTACGCGGACACGTAAACCATACCGGATAGGGCTTCGGTTCACACCTTCGAACGGTGATTTTGGCGACATTTTTGTAACGAAGCGAATCTGCGCCGCGCCTAACTCGAAAGCGGAGAGTCATATATAGGATAAGTACTGTGCCTCACTTTGGTGTAGTGTGATCAGGTATTCGAACCGTAGCGGAAATGAATAATTAGAAAAGAGGACCGAAGTCTATTGAGCAATTAAGTAATTATTCAGGAATGAGGACTGTGATTTAGCTCACCAAACCCTCTGGGACAACATAGTGTAAACAAAGCCTATAGAGAGCTTAAGATTTCGTGCATTAGTTTCAAGTTTAAACATGGTTGAATGGCTGAATCCGCAAAGCAAATCCTGTGTTCCAATTGCCTACCCAAACGGGCAAGCCGATCCATCTTGCCCATTAGGGATTTCCTGCATAGTTCCTTTAACACAAAGTTATCCTTTTCCTTTGTCGACCAAGCTTGTCAAGTCAAGCCTCGTTGTTTTTTTAACTTAAAAAAGAACGAGGCCAATGTCCACTCATCCTGGTCATCTTGGGTCAGTAACGTAAAATGTTGCCTGCGTGCAGACGTCTCCTATTTCCTTTGCAAAAAAGGAAATAGGAGACGTCTGCACGCAGGCAACGTAAAATGAAGAACCCAGCTGTAAAACGAGTCAGCGGTGACCTCTAAATCTGCCTTGGCAGAGGATAGGCCATGTTTTCTGAGGTTTGGAGCGAAGCAACAGTTAAAGAAGATCAAAACAGAAATATGTCTTCAATAACAAAAATATGATGTGGTTTCAAATACCGTGCTATGTTTTTCTTAGCCTAAGTCGCAGATTCAATTTAACCTCGGTTAGTCTGTTCCAGGCTCCGAGATAGTCGGGTCCGCTGAATTGAGAAAGAGCGAACACCGAACACGAAAATAAAACGGGAGGAAACTTTTCTCGTGCCTTTCTCTTTCGCGTCTTCCCCACTATCTGAAAGCTTGGAACAGGCTAAACCTTGGTTACTTTAGAGTTTAAGCTTCACATACGAAAAACGGCAAACATCAGATTCAAGTTGAGAATTTCTCAAAACTACAAAATGAGTAGATAAAAACAGTTCAAAACAATTCTTATGAATAAAAAATTGCATGAAGCTTTTAATTAAACTAGTGTAGAAATAATGATCAGTAAACGACAAGTTAAAAGGAAACTTGGTTACGTGCTACAATTTGACGTAAACCCAGCCTGCGTAGCAAACGTTTCCGTGCGGTTTCGGAGCAAAGAATGAGAAACGAGATTCAAAGACCGCCCGAAAAAATGGCGCAAGTACAAGAGCGGGGAAAAAAACCGAGAATCCCGCGCGGCCAAAACCGAAAATTCCCTTCCTCGGTCTTTCTTTGCTATGAAACCGAAAGGAAACGCTTGCTACGCAGGCTAACGTAAACCAGACTAGCGCCACATGTGTTCCAAGCTCACTCTACGCATGTGGAAAGTAAATGAGAGTCGGTGTCGCGTTACAGGCCACGTTTAGACATTGTAAGAGAAATAAAATACGGAGGTCTGCGAACGCTAAATATCACTATATTTTACTTTTTTCTATTACATAAATAAAGGTGTCATACCATTGATGTATTCTCTTTGTTTTGGTGTCAATTCATCGATTTAGTCGTTTTTTTGCTGTTAATGTCCGGGAGGGGGGGTTGGGGGTACTGCCATATATGAGCTCTTTTGATGGGCTCCTGATGGGCTATATAGGTATGTGCCGCTTTCAAGGGCATGATTTTCAAGCAGTTTCCTCTGGGATAGGGTATATAAATCAGAGAGTTTGGGTCTTGGGTCGGGTATCATTTTCCAGGAAACTGATCAATTGGTTGAAGGTTTTAGTATAGACTAGGGAAACCGGGAATTGTTACTCACAAATATAAAAAATCAGGTCGGCAAGTTTACAGTTAGTCAAGTTACGCAACTCCGCCTAAAAGCTACTCTCGGATAGGGGGGATTTTGGGAGTTTAGTCTAGTATAGGGAAGCAAAATTCACTTGACAGGACCCATTTTTTAAGGGAAAAGCCCTGGAGACGAAGTTACTTCATAGGGGCACCCAATGAACCTGTTCCTCAAACCATTTGTTCTTTAGGCCAATTTTTGCTGGCTGGGAGATTTGGAAAAATTATTTATCCTTGAAAGAAATGTTGCTGGGAAATAGACGATTAAGGGTGTCTAAGGGGAGTCGATGTCTAGAATAGTTACTATGTGCTATTTGTTGCTATTTGTCAGAAAGCTTGCCACCCCTCCCACTCAAGGGCTAAATCTTGCCCTATGTCCACACCCGATTTGGCCACTAATGTCAGTCTGAACATACGTCTGCTGGGAAACTTCCCAGTAATTCAGATTGCAGGTTGTAGGTGCATCTTGCTGGCTGGAAACTCTTCCATCAGTCTTGCTAGGAGGGTGGAACAGATAAATTTATCTCCCAAAATGCTTAAAATGGCTTCAGAAAGCTTTATTCATGCTTTGTTGTTGGTTTTAGGTATTTTCCTCAAATTTCCCGTTGGGTGCTTTGACTTGAATTAGCTTTGGTGTAGGCTAGGGGTTCCAGGGTCCCAGCGGCTCATCCCCACCCCGAAATTCCTAAAGTATCCCCCGGTGTTCCCCAGTGTTATTGTGTGACCATTGTCACTCCCTTCCCGTGATATGGAAATGATTTTTCATTCTTATGCCTCTCTCCTCCGCAGAGGTTTCTTTGTGTTGTTAGGGGGTTGAGAAGAAAAAAAAAAAAAAAAAGCGCGGGGAACAATCAACCTCGTCCCCAGGGCTTTTCCCTCAAAAAATGGGTGGCCCACCCAGTTTTTGAGGGAAAAGCCCTGGGGACGAGGTTGGGGAACAATGGGAAGGGGGAAGAGAGAAAAGAGGCCTTTTCCCGCCTTTCCCCTCTTCCGATCGTGCCCCGCGCACTATCTATTTTTTCTATTATTGCTATTTTTATAGGGATACCCAGCCGGAACCTCTGCGGAGGAGAGAGTTGAAACGCTGACAGAGTTCACTCATGTTGTGCGTTGTGAAAGCGAGGGTTTTTGGATCAGGCAACTTCCTCCTGCCACTTCCGAGTTGGGTCTCGTGAGCCCACGTTTCTTGCCGCCAACCAGTGACGTAGCTTTGGTGTTTCGTTAATTAGCGTCGGCGACTGATGGCGGAAGGTAGGTCCTCTTTAGTTGCCCTTCTTCTTCTTCTTGTTCATTTGCTCTGATGCTTTCGTTCTTGTCACTTAAAAAGCTTTGTCGCTGTTTGAGTCAATTAGAAAACGTGTTTTCGTATTGCTTCTTTAGCATTTTGTGTGTTCTTAACGGACGCCAAACGCGGACAACTTCGCGCGATCGAAGCTCCCCTGTCGACGGGAGTAGAATAGGCTTATAAATCTTTAGCTTGCGTCTGTCTCACATTTCGCAGCATTTCATGTGCTACTGTTCTGTATATTAACTGATACTGAGAAAGTTTTATCCGTATAACCTACGTGTTGGCCTAGCTTTTCCTTTGAATCAAAGTTTATCGAGTTAACTTGAATTTCAAAACCCGTGTGATCATGTCCTTTTTTAATATATAAAGCTCAATTAGATTTCCGACCATTATTTGAAAATCATTCAAAGCTGCTGCTGCTGCTTTTTCTCTTAATTGTCTATGAGTGGTCAACGAGAATGTTTTGCTATGTTTTCTTTCTTTCAGAGGTCAATGCCTAAACACGGAGCGGCGATACTTGTCAAGCATGCTCGAGCACTGCTGAGCACGCAGATATCTACAAGAGCACCGGTTAGTTACATTTGGAGAATTTTAGAAGCTACACAAGCGACTTTTCCGTAAAATCATCTCCTTCCTAAATGAACTGCTATGTGGTTTGTGACGGTAGTGCTTAAGCGTCGGTAAAACTATCCATTGAGCTTTTTCATAAGTATAACTCGCAGAGTGCTCCTTTCATAATTTATATTATTTGCCTGTTAATTGGGCAAATGTTGTTCTTTTTAGTTTGTGGAATTGAATGCAGAATGAAGTCTTCCCCTAAGAAAAGAAAAAACTGGTAAAAGTACACAACAGCATCCAACATCACTAAGGTAAGCAACCCTATTTTTTATCAATTATTGTATGAAAGACTTCTTTGTTTAATGGCGGGAGGCCTCCCAACAATTTCTAGTTGTTTTCCTAGGTCACACTGGTACACTTTGACATGTAAGTGTATCGCTTGTTATCGTCCCTTGTAGAATTAGAGACTATGTAGCCTGTACCAGGCTTTCAGATGGTATATTAGGGAAGTGAATAAAACGGAATTCGAATAAAACAAGCAACACCTTTTACTAAACGACTGCACCACTTTCTTGGAGCCTTGAAGAGGCTAGACACTAGGTAGAGTCTGTGCAAATGCTATGTCACAAAGCTGTGTAAAACCTATATGAATAAGTTATACATTGCTTTTACCAGATCCTATGCTTTTTCCATGCCAGGACTATTC